AGGAAAACATGAAATGCGCTAACCACTTACCAATCGGGACTAGGGCTTCCCACACGGTCGAAATTGAGCTCGGCGAATTCCACAACTTTTTGAGCTTTCTCTTTATCATACACCACCAACTCTTCGAGGAACACCCGACAGATAGAAATCACCAATCATGGTATGTTGCTCTTTGTTTCTGCTCCGGTTTGAGCTGCATCTTCTCTGGCAAAAGGGAACGATGTAGCGCTCAGCACTGCTACCCCGCCCTTCGCACCTCAAGAACATCACTGACGACGCCACCAGTCGGACGGAGAAGACGATACCAAGTCCCAAGTCAGCGCGGCCGCCGAGGTCGAGGTCTCTGCCGATGCTTCCGGCGGTAAGGGCCAGATGAGCGTCCTCGAGGCTCTCAAGGGTGTCCTCAAGCTCTCCCTCATCCACGACGGACTTGCCCGTGGTCTGCGCGAGGCCTCCAAGGCCCTTGACCGTCGTGAGGCGCACATGTGCGTTCTCAACGAGGCCTGCGAGGAGGAGGCATACAAGAAGCTCGTCGTTGCTCTGTGCTCCGAGCACAAGATCCCCCTTATCAAGGTTCCTGATGGCAAGCAGCTCGGCGAGTGGGCCGGTCTCTGTACGTTGCACTCTGTGATAGACTCATAAAATTGAACAATGGCTAACAGATTAATAGGCCAGATCGACCGCGAAGGCAACCCCCGCAAGGTCGTCAACTGCTCTTGCGTCGTCGTCAAGGACTGGGGTGAGGAGTCCCAGGAGCGCAGCATCCTCCTCAACTACTTCCAGACCGAGCAGTAAACGTGCCTCACCCGCGAGCGCGATGCCCATCAACATACAAATTTTTCGCACAACCAACCCTCGGCTGCATCAGTTTAGTCGCACCTCGGCATGACACGGAGCTTGGGACGGATGGCAGGGCGAATTTAGGGTTATGATGTGATGGGTTGCATGGATTTAGACAGGTCTTTTGGACCATGATACCAAATGAGAAAGGACTGAACGAACGCCAACACATCTGAATTTTGTCCATGTAAATTTGTGATACTATCGCTGTGACGTTTACGATGTGTGGGTCAAATCGTAGGGGGAAATATATTTTCATCCCCTCCCCCATACTCTAATCGCTATGTACTTTGTTCTGCATGGTGTATGCATGGGAGCGAAAGTCATGTGGGACATGTCTTTGAACGTACATGGCGGCATGAAAGCCATACTCATTCTAGGCCTCTACGCAGTCTAGGTGACGCTCAGGCTGTTTCGGGATCCTTGAAGGTGGCGGGTACTGGCCGTCTTCTTTACGCTTTTCTCTGCCACAACATAAAGGTGAGTGGGAGACAGTTCAATCTCATCCCAATAACAATATTTTATATTCTTGACCTGCCCGACTTCCACTTGTTCCCTGTGCTATACGTATTGCTATCTGATAATGCTAATTCTTGCCAACATGCTATGCGAACGCTTCAAAAGTGCAGATGATGGATCTAAATTTCGACATGCAAACAAAACTCGGCACGTCTAGACATCGCGAACGGTGCGACGTGGAATCTCAGTCTCTACCATTTCTAACCCGCTCAGACTAGGGTACCTCTTGCTGAAGGTGTCAACGTCAAAGTCATCACCACCGTCGCGGCTGACGGGCGGAAGTAGCTTCTCTTTAGCTGTAGGGGCAGACTTGACAGGCGAACTTTGACCAGGACCTACTGAGCCCCCTGTTTGCAGATTTTTAGGCTTGGGGGCGCGTGGAGGCGGTCCAGAGGGGTTGCGAACATTGATTGTTGGCGGTGCTGAAGCGGAAGGCGCTGGTGGGGGCATATTCGGTCGGATCGAAGACGGTTTTGCGTAAGCAAGGTCTTGAGGCTGCTGCGAGGAGACATTCATGGGTTTGCGGGCAATGGCGGGTGGCTGTCGCGCACCGCTTTGGTCTTGTGGCCGCATGGGTAGAGGTTTTCCCGTATCAGTATACTTCCCGTAGCCCTCAGCCGTACGATTGGACGCTGCTGGCTTACTGCTTTCATCGAGCAAGTTCTTGACGCGGTTCTGAATCGATGAAGCCTTGGATGGGCCGGCTTTGGGCCCTCCCTGTCCCTGCGAGGCAACGCGTTGCTTGTACTCGGCAGCAGCAGCTTCAACACGGCGCTCTTCTTCAGCTAGTTGTCTCTTCTCGAGTTCTCTTCGAACCTCTGGTGGTAGATCCTGCGTTTCATCGATTTGGCTGCGATCGTCATCGCTCAAGCCACCTGTAGCTTCGGAGCCGGCGATAGGAGTCAGGCCACCCTTGGAATCCACGAACTGGTCGGTTGGCGTCATGGGTGGTTGATCGCGTTCATGTTCGGGCGTCTTGGTGGATTCAAAGCGACGGAAGGCATCGCCAAACCTTCCCTTGACGATGTTTGTGATGCTCCCGCGCTTGCCATGTTTGCCGTGAGAGCTACTCCGGCGATGCTTATGACCATGCTCTTCCTGTTCAATGGAGCGTAGGAAGTCGACACTCGACCTAACATTCTTTTCCTCTGGCTCGGAGTCATCGATTGCATTTGCGGTGACACGACGCTGTAATGATGGAGCATCAAAGTTACGACCAGGAGCCATCTCTCGATCACGGAGATAATCAAGGTTTGACTCTACGTGCATACTGGCTGGACGTGCATTTGAGTTTGCAGATCTCGATCGGTCGATTGCAGAACCCATTTCCATAGCCGATGGGCGTGAGCTTTCCAGAGAAGGTCTAGAAGAGGCAGGAGATTGAGGAATGTTGAGCTGGGACTTTGATCTCGACTCAAAAGAAGGGCGTGCTGGCAAAGCAAATTCGGGTCGCAACGATGGACTGCTCAGAGGACTTCTTGGTCGACTCTCCGACGCCTGTTGGCTCAGAGCACGGTTGTGGTGTGTTGAGAGAGGCACCTTCCAGATTGGCCGGCTGTTGACGTCTGGGAGTTTCGGCTGTGCGGAAACGGGAGATGCCCGCGGCGACGTTTGGACACCAGTAGACACCATACCGACCCGCTGTGGGATGGGCGATTGGATGTTTGTGCTAGCGTTTCGTGGACTATCTTTGGCTTCGTAAGGTTGTGGTTTTCTCAGAGAGGTGGTCCTGGAGACGCCCGCGGAAGACACTGCGGATGAGGGCTTTATGCCAGGTGCTGAATCAACCTTGGAGAGCGGAGGCGATGCAAAAGCTTCATCCGCAAGCGCATCTGTCACACGCTTAGTAAGTGCTGGGTCAGAAGTCGTTGGTGCTTCGCCGAATTCAAACTTCTGGCCTCGGTCATGCAACAAGGAGAATTCGTCCAGAGACGGGAAGCGTGAGGCTAGCTCGTCAGCAGCAGCGCGTCTGACCTGAACATCCTGGGAGTCGAGTGCAGCGAAAGGATCAGATGTCGTTCCTCTCATGGGCGATGGACTTGGCCTTGCTGCTGGAGGTGCCTGAACTGGACCAGTAGGTCGGCCTCTCCTCATGGGCGTAACGTCTGGTATCTGCTGAACCTGCACGGTAGGTGCAACTCTTTGTAGACCGACAACAGGAGGCGGCGAAGAGACCTGGGGCTCGGTAGGCGGAAGCTGCTGGTTCCGTCGCGCTTCTGACTGTGTTCTGCCAGAGTAGATCTGGCTAGTCTTAGCATAGGGCAGTAAAGCCAGAGTGTCAAACATACATCCTTGATAGGAATCGGCCGATGTCGCATCGAGCAGACCTCGGCGACCACCTGGTAGATGTTGGGTCTATGCTGTGGATTCTCTCTCAGCATCGAGCCTGCTTACAATCAGTCACTGTCCATGGTCTAGTTGGACTGCACGAACCTATGAGCTTCTTTATCCTGTCGGAGAACTGGGGGTAGGCTGGGTACTTGAATGAGGCGTTCAAGATGGCCATTTGTCCCACTTCTTCGAAAGGCGTCGTATAGTAGCATAACTTGTACAAGAGCACACCTAGCGCCCATATGTCGCTCTTCTCGTCTATTGGTTGTTTGCGATATACGTCGATCATTTCCGGACTGCGGTACTGTAGTGTGGTATGCCGTTGTACGTCGTCCTCGATCAATCTCCCTTCGGCGGCAGTTGTAGCGGCAGGTCTCGGGGGTGCAGTGGAACCAAAATCGCATAATTTGTATATCTTGTTGCCTGCCACGGTAGTGATCAAGACGTTCTCGACCTTGAGATCGCGATGGAGGAGCGGCGGCTTGAGGTAGTGCATGGTTGCAACGCCCTCGACGACATCGGAGAAGATGTGCAGAATCTCAGGCTCGGTCAACCTATGCTGGAGCCTGGTGTTCATGAAGTCAATCAAACCGCCGCCCGAGCAGAATTCCATGAGCAGAAAGACTTCATAGCCCCCAGTCTTGAGCTGTGAAGCATGCGAGTCCATGTATGTGACGATCTTGCTGTGGCCCTTGAGCTTCTTCATGGTCTCGACCTCGGTCCTCATGTTGGCGAGTGCATCTTTGTCTGCACAGGCTACCCGCTTCAGGACAGCCGTCTCGGGAGTTCCGTTGTCGGATTTGGGTACGCGGACGAGGTAGACATGCGCGAAACCGCCCTCGGACAGGTACTTGTCGATGGTGACACGGTGGTTGCCCACCTGGACCTTGGTGCCAGGCGCAAAGGTGCCTGGAGGGGCATTGGAGACGGCGATGGGCGCCGGAGCGCGGTATGCGGCTTGCTGGGCCATGGGATGGGCGGCCGAGGGCGCATAGCGAGCGGTGGACATTTGGGCGGTGAGGGAGTCTGCTGCGGTGCAGGACAACGACGAAGCTATATCTTGCGCATCGAACTGGCAAGAGGTTCGGCAGGGCTGCTTCTCGGACGCGAGAAAGGGGAGGGGGTGGTGAGGTTGAGCAAAGGTGGCATGCCTGGAGATGCTTGTGATCGTACAGTAGTAAACGGACCCTTGCAACTACGAGCGCATGGACGAAGCCACCCACGACAACGTCACAATGTATCTTTAGACCACTACGCCTCGCCCTCTCTCACGCCGCATGCAGACCTGCTTGTCTGCCTCTCGCCGCCTCTCACACGACTACTTCAGCCTCGCAGGCTCGAGCAGAGCCATAGTCCCGGCTTGTAGCGCCAAGCGGGAAGCACTTTATTCGGCAAAGTACCGTGCTTTCACTCCACGCGTCTTCATTGGGCAGAAACAACATGTCGAGATAATGGACAAAACATTTGTATTCTTCAAAGGACATGATATAGTTGGCGGCGCGGTACTAGTCTATTGCTTTTGCCCGGACTCTCGATGAGCCCTGGATAAGTCTTTGTTGCCACTGCACGACGTGGCCAGGAAGCGTCACCGGAAGGTAACCGTGAAGGAGTGCAGTCTGCTGCCAAAGACACACGGCCATGTTAACAGGATAGCACCACTGCTGCACCGACGCGACTTGGACGCGGCCATGTCATATGACCATGGTGGGGGAAGAATGCTCAGGCGTAGGCTACTCCAGAGCCCATGACGGCGTGGTAGTGTGAGGGTCGGGGCTGGAAGCAGCCGTGATGCCGACGAAAAACATGGTGTGAAGCATTTGCCCTGCAGTGGAAGCGCGTTGGAAGGCTGAACAGAGGGATCGTCGTCTGGAACAGGCAGACAAGGACGTCGTGTTTGGAGCAGCGGAGAGGGGAGTGCAGGGAAGGACCTTGGCGGGATGCGACGATGGGCAGCGACCCACCCATGACTGCCCAGACGACTTGGTTCCCTCTTTACCTTCAAAGACGCTCGTGTCGTGTCTTGTCGCCTCGCTTGTTCCTATTTAGGAGCGTGAAGAAACTTGACGCTTCTTTCATTGACCAGAAGGCTCCGCACTGTGTTTGTTGCATCTGCAGAGTGAGCGGGCTGCCCAGTACACCCGCCTACCGCCGCGTACACCATCACACCGATCGAACAGGTTAGACCGCCCTGTTCACACTCTCGCACACACACGCACGACGACAACGACTTCCCTCAACTTGTCCGAATAGCTGCCCCGTTGATTGCGACCCCCCAACACCTCCAAGATGCTGGCCCGACACACAGAACCGGTGCTGGCCCGACACCGACAAGGCAACATGGCGCGCTCACGACGACCCCAGAGAGACGCCAGCACTTCGCGCTCCGACTCTTCCGCCTCCACCTCTCCAGAGCGCGGCTATGACGACGAAGAAGACAAGGACTCCATTATGATGCAGTCCAACGACTCATTGTCATCACTCGCACCCTCGGTATCGCCAGACTCAGACGACGAGGCTCGCCGGCGGGCCATTGAAGAGCAGAACCGCATCTCGCCCGTTTCCCGCTTACCCGCCGAGCTCATGATCGCCGTCTTCGCCAAACTCTCGTCCCCCGCCGATCTCAAGAACTGCATGCTCGTATCCAAGACATGGGCAGGAAACAGCGTCGGCCTACTGTGGCACCGGCCCTCCACAAACAAATGGTCCAATGTCAAGAGCGTTATACAGACTGTCCAGACTGTAAACAGCTTCTTCGACTACAGCAGTTTGATCAAGCGCCTGAACCTGGCCGCTCTGGGCAGCGAGGTCAGCGACGGCACACTGAGGCCTCTTTCAAGTTGCAAGCGCGTCGAGCGCCTGACGCTGACCAACTGCACCAAGTTGACCGACTTGAGTCTGGAGGCCATGCTCGTCGACAACCGCTACATACTCGCCCTGGATGTTACCAACGTCGAGTCCATCACCGACAGGTCCATGCTTGCCCTGGCCAAACACGCAGTCCGTCTGCAGGGTCTAAACATCACAAACTGCAAGAGGATAACAGACGCTTCGCTTGAGGCTGTTGCCAAGAACTGCCGACACCTGAAGCGCCTAAAATTGAATGGATGCTCTCAGCTCAGTGACAGGAGTATCATCGCTTTCGCTAGGAACTGCCGCTACATTCTGGAGATCGACCTTCACGACTGCAAGAATCTCGACGATGCTTCCATCACCACCCTCATTACTGAAGGTCCCAACCTCCGTGAATTGCGCCTGGCTCACTGCTCTAAAATCACAGACCAGGCCTTCCTTCGCCTCCCAGCTGAGGCTACCTACGACTGCTTGCGTATCCTAGATCTTACCGGCTGCGATGAACTACAAGATTCCGGCGTTCAGAAGATAGTCTACGCAGCTCCGCGGCTTCGCAATCTGGTCCTGGCCAAGTGTCGCAATATCACAGACAGAGCCGTCATGGCCATAACTCGTCTGGGTAAGAATCTTCACTACATACATTTGGGACACTGCTCGCGTATCACCGACGTCGGTGTCGCGCAGTTGGTCAAGCTATGCAACCGCATACGGTACATTGACCTCGCATGCTGTACCGCTCTCACCGATGCCTCGGTCATGCAACTGGCTGCTCTCCCAAAGCTGAAGCGCATTGGCTTGGTCAAGTGTGCAGCCATCACAGATCGGAGTATACTCGCATTAGCCAAGCCGAAGCAGATTGGATCTAGTGGACCCATCGCACCTAGCGTGCTCGAGAGAGTGCATCTTAGCTATTGCACCAATCTCTCCCTGGCGGTAAGTTCTCTGCATGTAGCAAAGTAGTACCTTTCCTGACATGAATAGGGCATACACGCGCTGCTTAACAACTGCCCCCGCCTTACGCATCTCTCGCTCACCGGCGTCCAAGCTTTCCTCCGCGACGACCTTCTCGCCTTCTGCCGTGAAGCGCCTCCGGAATTCAATGATCACCAGCGTGAGGTCTTCTGTGTCTTCAGCGGTCTCGGCGTACAACGCCTTCGCGTCTTCATGAACACCAATGGCCGAGACGATGTTGATAACGAGGAAGATCCTTTTACTCTCAACGACGGTACCATGTACCACGAGGATGAAGATGGCGATAACATGGTTGTAGTCACAGCACAAGCGAACATAATGGCCATTGACGAGGAAGACGAATTCGGTAATGACAGTGAGATGGCAGGGCAAGACTAGGGAATTGTTGACTCGGTCTATAAATGTCTCTGCATTCCTAGGCATCGGCATCGCTGAGTATTCATCTTCGCAGTCTTCTCATCAGCATACATAGGGGAGTTTGGGCGGCGTTGTTAGTCTTTTCGGCATCTCTAGCGGCGCTATATGATATTATTGTTCCTGCAGACGACGCAGAACCGGACGGCTGGTCTTGATAGGACGCACTTTGGTGGCGATTATACCCTTTACGCGTTTCTTTAGTGTTTTGGTATGACATGGGGGTACGGGGATAATATACAGAGGTACCCAATTTTCCAAGCCAGGAGCATCACGGATACAAGGGCCGTACAGCTTATTGAAAACCATGTTTTACTTAGTCCCACTAATTGTTACGTTCCGTATCCTGTGTTGTGTTCTTCTTTTACCGCCAATATATTCACAAACCGACACAGACTAACAAACTTCCTTCGATCAACCCGGCAACTTTATTTCATCAACCCACACATACATCCACAGTCCGGTACAGGACACATGGCATGTCTGGCAAACCAGTCCCTAGCATGATGCCCATGAAAGCCGTGTGTACAATTCATACAGAACACCATCATCTTCGCTTCCTTGTCTTCTCCATTGAGCGTCTCATACGCCCCTTGTTTGCTTGGGTCAGGTGAACCTAGCCACAGCATGCACAATGCACATCTTGGCATCTGCGCCGCGCAATTGGGGCAATGCAGACCAGGTGTACTGGCGGATTTTGGAGGTTGAACGGGCTTCCCGCCTCCACCTGCACCGCCGCCACCAAAGGACAGAGAAGGCGTTGCACGATGTGTTGTCGTCGCTGTAGATGGAGCATTGTTATTTCCACCACCACTATGTTGGTTGGTAGTAGGAAGTAACCTTCTCGTACTGTTTCTCGGGTCTTTTCTCAACGCGAGGTTCTGCTGGCAATTCAGACAACGTAATGCTAGGCTAGGTTGACTGGGCTTGTTCACACTGCGCCCCTCGCGCGTCACGCTGAGCAGGTTGTGCTCTTTGATGTAGCGAGTGCGCTCGAGGAATGTACGCCATATTTGTTGTTGCTCGAGGTACATGTCTTTCCAAAGGGTCCAGCGTGGGTCTTGGATGTAGAGTGGACAAGCACGGGAGAGGAGCAAGACGGCATTTTGGAGGCCCATAGTGGGGTGGTGGGAGATGTGGGTCTGGAGGAGGGAGAGGGAACGTGTTGTTAGGCCGGTTAAGAGGAGGGCGGAGATGTCACCTTGGCTTGTTGCGGCATTTTCGGCTGCGCTGAGAAAGTTGGAGAGGTGCTGGTCTGGGAGGTATTTCAATGCGACAGCTACACGGTCTGAGATGGACAGTTGCGGCATGTGAACTACACTTGACCAATCCCCTGTTATGAAGTAGGTGAGGAGGGATTTCAGGTATGCATTGCTTGTCATGTCAGCCATCCAGGCACAGGCTTCTCTTTGCTCGGCTGAGACGCCAGAAAAGGGGGAGGCGCAGGCAATAACGGCTGCAAGACCGATATCGTCTTGTGGGAGTTTCTTGTTTGTGAGGCTAGACCGGAGGAGATTCAGAGCGATGTGTTTGTGGCCCTGGAAAACGGCGAGAACGATGGCTTTGTATATCTCCCCTTCATCGATAAGCCGTTGGCAATTTTGCTCTACGCCAGCTTCATTGAGAGACCAGCCGCAGAGGCTGAGACACAGTTGCCTATTCTCAGGGTACTCAGTGCTCACGCCTTGGAAAGCAGGAAACTCCATGGCTTCGACTATCTCTTTGACTGCATCGCTGAACATCTCATGGCTTGTCTTCGTGTCTGGATCAATGAGTCTCTCGTCGTACATTGTCAACTCATTTGCCCAAATCGAGCTAACTCCCAGGTACTTGAGATCGAGACCATTGCCCACCATGCCATCTCCTGCAGCGTGCGCATCCATGCGCTCAATTAGTGTCCACACATCTACCAACCAGGGGTCGTTGTGAACAATGTCTTTGTTTTTAGCACAATCCAGAGAGTAGCCCTCTTGAACACGTCGTTTGGGGGCCTGGAGGACGGCGAGGTAATCGGTGAGAGGTACTTTAAAGTCAGGATAGGCAAGATCGAGAAGGTCCTTATGCATGTGGTAACTGGGGTGTTTTGTCGAAAGGAGAGGTAGGCTTCGTTGGCTGTTGCTGAGGCTAAGCCTGTCGACACTGGCGGAGAGATTGGTCTTGTGGTCGTATTCAATATCGTGCTTCTCGCCTAGCGCTCTGTTTTGTACTTGTATCAGGTCTTCTGCTACCGTGCCATATGGTGAAGTAGGGCTCGCGATACAGGTACGGTCTTTGTATATCTCTTCCAACGCGCTGATATTGAGGCGAGGAGGCGGAGGCGGTACTTTGAGTACTTCAACCTCCCGATTTGAATGAAGGGCTAAAGCGCATTGCCCACTTAGAGGGTTTCCAGCGGTCATAAAGTCGTATGCCACGATGCGTTCTTTGTCATCTTGCCGATGGTTCTTGTCATATGAAGGATAGCGTAGACGATGTGAGGCTTTCGTGTAGTATGGAGAAGCCCATGCTCGAGCGAAGGGTGTGTCTGCTGTCTCATGAGGTTGATGGGAATGCTGCGCTAATTCAATGATTTTGAATTCTCCTGTGTTGGCGAGCACTCCAAATGTTCCTCTCTTGGTGCCCGAGTACCGAAGACTCCATATGGATGCCGATTGTGAGTTGTCTACAACTGGCTTGAAATCCAGTACCGCACCGCTGCTTGCAGTGTCGTTGGCAGCTATTCGCTGCTTGACGGAGCGAATGTCCCACACAGTCACAGTAGGATCACCCGCTGTACCCGCTGATAGGAAGTAGTTTTCGTCCAGTGGGTCTATAGCGATGTTGTGCACCTGACGCGTTTGAAATTGCGCAACACCCGTCGTACTAGAGTCTACAGAAAATGAGCAGGGGTGTGTTGGCTTGGTTGTTTTTCACCCACCTCTGAGGTCGTAGATGCGCACGTATTGCCTCGAAACACCCGCGACAAGCATATCAGGCTGCCCGGTGAAGAACTTGATACTAGAAATCGCCTCAGAGCTTGCCAGCTTCTTATACGGTTCGTCCTTGGCGGTGACTCGAGAGTCATTCATGTCGTAGATGTTAAGGCAGACATCGTTCCTGACCCTATCCAATCCAGTAGCAAGTAGATTCTTAGTGCTGAAAGCAATGGAGTTGCATTTTCGTTGATGTCGGATGGAGAACGAGTGGATGTATTCAGCATCCGGCTTCTCTGGATCTAAAGTAACGACGGTGGCCTCCCCAGAAGCAGAGCCGACGGCGACCACACTTGGATCTTTCTTAGACCAGTCGAAGGCCGTGTAATTTGGAAGCTTATCTCGGATACATATTTGCTTGTAGTTGACCTTGCTCTTCCTAAACTCCTCGATCTGACACAGACGCAATCGATTGCCCGCGACGTCGATGATTAAGAAACGAGGATTGTCCCGTGTGGAGTGCGGTGACCATCTTATTGCAGCTTCCATATTACTGGCTGACTATGGCAACCTTGGGATCTCGCGATAACAGAAGATCAGGGTCCAGCAGCAAAGAAAGGAAGTTTCACAAGTCCACGATGTATTGGCTGGAGGGACTCGGAGCAAACGATGCGGTGCGCATGTTGTAGTACACTCGGCTACGCTGCGCTATCATGCAGGGTCAAAGAGTGTGGATGAAGGCCCAACGCGTGATCTTGCTTGGCGTGCATGAGGCGGTCTAGCAACCTTAATTCTGCCGCCCCACTAAAACTTCCCTTCCTTCGATCCCAAAGATTTCCGCAGCCGACCAACAAATCACAATCCATACAGTTCCAGCCAGCAAATATGTCGCAAAAGCGCAAGCATGCCGACGCGACCGAGCCGTCCTCCTCCACACCCAAGCCTTTCAAGAAGCATCGCGCCTTCAAGCCGGGACAGAGCCACTCCAAACCAAAGAAGCGACCGCACGTTTCGAGCGACATCGACAAGAGTACCAGCACGCACGCGCTCAAAAGCCGTATACGAGACTTGAGGCGACTACTCGCGCACGTCGACAACGTAGGCGACCACAAGATGTCGGCGAGCAATAGGATAGAGAGGGAGAGGGAGCTCGAGGCTTGTCAGCATGAGTTACAGGAGAAGCTCGAATCTACCAGGGAAGCCGAGTACCGGAAGAAGATTATTGGGAAGTACCATCACATACGCTTCTTTGGTACGTCACGATTCACCCAAGGCGCAACAAAATTCAGCCCCTAGCAATTGCTAACGCGCCTCAGACCGCCAAAAGGGCACGAGGATACTGAAGAAGCTGAAGAAGGAGTACGAGACAGAGGAAGACCAAACAAAGAAGCAGCATCTAGCAGAAAAAGTGCACAATGCCCAAGTCGACGTCAACTACTCCATCTACTACCCGCTCCTGAAGCCCTATGCATCCTTGTATCCAAAGTCCAAGAAGAGCAAGACCTCGGACTCAGACGACGCAAATGAGGAAGACATCGACGACAAGGCGAATCGGGACGTCGATGGACCAAAAGGCGATCTGGATATGTGGAAATTAGTTGAGGTGGCTATGGCAGAAGGCACTTTGGATGCGCTCAGAAATCGCAAAGAGGACATGCCTGCTCTTGTATCGAAGAAAGAGAAGAAGACAAAAGAGCAGTCGCAACCGCAGCGAGCTGTCAAATCCAAGGAGAAGAAAGTGGAAGAGAAGCTGGCTGCAGCCAAGAATCGTCGCGAGAGGAGGGCACTTGGTGTCCAAGCCCAAGAAGAAGCAGAGGAGAGTGACGGCGGTTTCTTTGAGTAGCTTCATGGCACAGCATACTATGTACATCTGCATCATATACCCGGCGATCAATCGTCAAAAAGACTCTTCTGGAGCAAACACGCAAATCTCTACGTCTTCACATCCCACATGTCTTTGGAAGGATCCTTACGTCTACTGTCCAACAAGCCCCCTCGTCGTATTCCCACCCCTGTAGACCCTGACCGGATGCGCCTCAGTATTGTAGACCCATTCATTTACCCCGTCCCTACTAACCTGCCACTCTGCGTCCCCCGCCTGAATAGCAAAACTATACTTCAACACCTCTGCAAACCAGAAGCTCTCTTGAAAATCCGTATAACCCCCGCCTCCAACGACATTTACATCTTTGATCGAGCTGTAACCACTGCCAACCCTCGTCGTCGCGTTGATTGCCACAAACGCATCCCATGCCCAATCCTGATACTTTGGGTCCGAAGTCGCGCGGTAGGCGTAGTAGTAAGACTCTATGACTTCAGGGCGGAGTTGGTACCCAGCATCTTCGATGAAGAAACCAGTCCTGTTAAAGAAAGCAGTCTGGTTTGCAGGTACGGCGGAAGTGTTCCAGGAGAAGATCTCAGGTCCGATGCGCGTGGCGGTGGAGATGTAAGTTTCATGGCAACCGTTTACAAGTTCGAGTCCAAAATCAATGTAATCTTGTCTGTCTAGAACTTGGCCGCCTAGGATGAAGTTTCCGCCGTCGAAACAGGCGAGGTGTTGGGACGTCAGATCGAGGGTCGTGTTCTCGTAGGCTGCGAGGAAGGTCAAGCCTGGACGGGGTGCTGGATTGGAGGCCAGATATGCGATGGAACTGTCAGCTGCTTTGATCCAACGGTCCTTGAGGAAGACGTAGCGTGGGTCATAAATGAACATCTTGATCAGATATTCGTAGAACGAGTCAGAGCCGCCTATCCATCCTCCTTGTGCATCTGTGAATTGCCCGGTGGTGACGTTGATTGTGGAGCCAAGGAGCCCAGGGAACGGTTCGGCGAAGTCTGGAGATGGGTAGAGGAGGTATTGCTCTGCCTTTTCAACTAGGTCTGCAAACGTTTGGTTCCCAGAGAGGTCAGCTAGACGGACCCATTCTAAGATCAGTGTACCAACAGTCGCGAGTCCATTTTCTGATCCATCGTTACTTCGGTTGTTGAACGTAAGAACGTTCCAGGGCACTCCTGATGGTGTTTCGAACGCATAAGAGAGGTTATTGGCCAAGTTGATAGACTGCGTGAGTAGAGCTTCCACGTTCCTCGGATTATCTGCCAAGTGTGCCAAAGGACCAGACAGCAAATCGTATCCAGAGAGCATGCCACCAAGGTAGCGGATCGTGGTTTCGAACAGGGAGACAGAGTCTTCAGTGAATGCCCAGTTGATGCTAGGGATGTACTCTATGATCTCATTTACAATATCTTTTTGGCCCATGATGAGCGCTGTGCTGAGAGCGTCGACGGCGGAGGCTCCCCACCCGTTTCTGAGACAACTTTAGCACCATCTCGTCTTAACCCGAATTTTATTACATACCTCGAGTTACTACCGTTGTTGCTCAAGGGTCTTAGCTCGTCCATCGGAAACGCATACTTGCGGTACCCGTCCCAGCTTGTTCTGAAAGCTCCCACCACAGCCTGTGCCCGCTCATCGGATGACGACGGAGGCGAAGCATATGTCGGTGGAGGGGCTTCGTCCTGTCTCTTCGGAAGATCTACCGGGGTATTCGACGGTAGAGCCGACACCAGCGACAAGATGCCACTTCCAAGCGCGAAAGATGTGAAATGCATAATGACCAAACGCTTGCTATTCACGGATGTTTGCGGTTCCAAAGATGATTTATAGGAATGTGTTGAGCAGGCCTGGAGTACTTTTCGGGCCGGTCGATGTTCAGCTTGACGGAAGACAGGAGCATGCAAGGATATAGGTCCTCTCCGAACCCGACACAAATGGATGAGGCGAGCACAGAGCAAAGTCGATGATGTCGCAAAAGAGGGGAGTTTGAAAGAACGGGCGGCTGGTCATAGTAGGTACTTACCAAGACTTGTCTATTGGCAAGTGCATCACGCTCACTGTCTACTGCAAGTCTCGCATGCAAGCCCATAATCCTGGGTACATCGGGGCACCATTAAAAGATCCATGTAACATCTGAAAGGGGAAGGTAGTAGCTCTGCGCGAACATACACAGACTCTGGCAGCGGATAACAAGAGGCTGGGTACCTGCGGTTCCCTCGTGTTAGTGCCAGCCGAGCTCCTTGGATGTGTGTAGATAGCGCATGATGAGACAGGGTGACCGCTGCGGGGAGAAAAGCAAGTGGCTGGTAAGGTTTGTAGTATGCAGGCCCTTGTGCGTGCTATGATGCCGATCCATGAGTGTCTGCCTGACTTTGTGCAGATCCCTGAACATGCATCATTAACTGCTACTGTCATCGCGATGTCTGCGTAACCTATGGCTTGTCGGCAGAAGAAAGCTCCCAGTGAACAGGCGATCCCACGACGAGATGCTCATAGAGCACGCCGAGATAGGGTTGTGCGAGAACGGGTGCGGAGCCACTCAGGAAGTCCATGTTCCTGGAAATGGCGGGGTGATCTACGGGAAATGCGGATGTATCGTGGCGCCAATCCCGCATCTTATTTCCACCTCTGTCATTGTGACCTAAAGTGCTTCTTCATGAACAGATTAGACGTTCATAGAGCGTATGGCTGGTACAGGACAAATCGCTCCATGTTGAGTATTGGACGTGTTTGCGCAATTTAGCACGCGAGTAGGCTGTGCGCTTGTTTTATCTGTTGTGTGCATGTCATGATCGCCTGGGTATGTCATTTGCTCTATGCTGCTCGCTACTTGAAGACGCTACTACCAATATGTGCTGTGCAATCATGTCGGCTCGGCCCAATCGACCTGCTCTGTTACCGGAGCACCACCACCTGCCGAGTAACTGATCTTGAGTCGGAGTTTTAGTCTTGCTGGTGGTGGCTAGGTCTGTTAGCATAAGATCTCTAACAAAAGCATGTGATGACTGCTTACCCCATTAACAGCTGTGACCCTCATTTGCTGGGTCGCATCTTGGCCTCCCTCCAATTCGCTAGTGCTGATAGGTTGCAACTGCAGCTTTTGGCTTTTCGGAACGGCAGCCTGTAGATTCACACCTGATAGTTGACCGAAGCTTCCAGTATTGCGGAAGCGTGCGAGGAGTTGCACAGCGTTGGCGTCACGCTTAAGCTGGAACGTGATTTGTAAATCATTCTTGTTGTATGCTGGATGCGCAGGTGGACCAGAAGCCACTGCAGGCGTTGAAGCTTGTGGTGGTGGCGACGACATGCCGCCGAGACCACCGAGAAGGTCCATTGAATTTCCTTGTGGTGGTGCGCGGGGCTGTGCTGGGGCTGGAGAGGTGCTAGGTCCAGAGTTGAAGAGGTCCATGATGTTCGCTACGTTTGATTGTGGTGCTGGAGATGAGGTCTGAGGCGGTGACGAAGATCCGCCCATGATATCTGCAAGCAAATCTTGACTCTGTTGAGTTCCATTGGCAGCTCCGTTCATGCTGTTCGACGGGCCTGCGTCGCCCATCAAATCCAGTAGCAAGTCTTCGGTTGCCGCTTGCGCAGGCTTCTTCTTGGCGATCTTTGACTGCCGTTTCTTGGTTGCTTCTCCCAAAACTCGTGACTCTTCACGAATTTCAGGGGGTGGCATCTTCTCCAGAACACCCCTCCTGATCTGGTCATGACCAAACAGGTTTCCGTACTCAGCCGCACGCTGTTGGATCTCAACATCGAGGTTTGCGGAATACCGTTGTAATAACCGCCGTAGTCGTTCAATTTGAGCAGGGTCGCTCAAACGTGTCGTCAGTTTCATAGAAGCTGTAACAATGTACTGTTGGACGATGAGACCAGCATAACTGCTACCCAATATGGTCTCAAAAAGATCGACGATGTCGCTCTCCTTGACTTCCTTGACAAGTTCCTCCTCTTCGTATTGACCACCTCTTAGTAGCGCATCACCGTACTCTCCAATAACCCAGGAACCAGCCAGGGTAAGACCTTCCTGTGTAATGTCTTCTTTGAGAGCGGCATATAACTTCTGTACGGAGTAGGTTTGGAGGTCCGGTGTAGTGGCGATTAGTCGCACAAAGGACGACAAGATCTGCTCTTTGACGTAGTTTCCAGCCTGATGCACAAGGTTAGTCAGATCCACATCAGGTGAAGACTACAGACTTACGAGTTTCAGAACACGCAGCATGGTATCAACGTGCCATCTCTTGTTCGGTGCGAAGCGATCCGCCGCGATTCCGATCTGAGAGGTCATGACAGGCTTGAACTCATTGTCGGCAACTTCCAAGAAAGCGAGCAGCTCTCTTATCAACACTCGCACATTGCTCTCGTTGATCAGAGTGAAGCTGAGGTCGAGCGCTCGCCGTCTGATACTGATATCGGGATCACGCAAACAATCCAAGATAGTGTTGCGATGTCTTTGTACGGCGTTGGGTTCGACTGCGACAACTTTGATGAGAGTGTTGAGGGCAACATATCTGATGTTGTTGTCGCGGTTGGACAAGAACTTTCCCAGAATATTCACACCAAGTACGCGAAGTCCGGAATCCGCCTCGATGTCGAGAATGGTGAGTACTGCCTCGTATAAGATGGAGTTGCCAACGTTCTTGGACGAATCCGTGTTGGTTGCGACCTGGGCCAGGATGTCGTTGATTTGTTCGCTGACGTGTGCGTCACCGCGGGCTAGGACTCGTAGGAGCTGGAGTAGCTTGCACTGCAGGAATGGATCTGTAATGCCCGTCACATCGTGCTCGGGCGCGTAGCCAGACGAGGAGAGCCCCTTGAGTATCTTGACCAGGCTGGGGACCGTGGGTCTGAAGATGTCCCTGACGCCGTTCTCGTCATCCTCGGCTTCGTCAGCCTCACAGAGGTTTTCCACTAGGGTGACGCCACACAGCAAGACGCCGTGGTTTCGATCCTGTAGTAGCAACTTGGCCTTTTCCAGGAAATGCTCCTGCAAGTCGGGCACTTTGCGACATATCCTCATGGCGCAGATTGCGGCTTTGCGGCGTATGTACGGGTTCGCACTCGATATTATCGTTTCGACTTCGGGGAACAAGTCTCGAGCCATTTCGACAGAGGCGATGTTGCCGAGAGTGCAGAGGGCGAGACCGACGATGTATTGGTTGGGGTGGTTCAGGTCGCTGCGCACCAGTTAGCATCCGACTTGCACAAGTGCTTCTGGTCAGGGCCTACTTCTTGAGCGAGTTGGTCACGAGGGTCAAGACTTCCTGGTTCTCGTCCAGCAGCAACATGGTCCCCAGGTATCCCAAGCGCTTGTCGGCGAAGCGCGGAGAGGCCAACAGCTTCAGACATTCAATCTGGCCAAAGTGTGTCCTCTCACCCAGCGTGAAGAGATACAGTAGCTTGGCAACATTGTTCCTCCTCACGTTGGAGTCGTGGCTTTCCTCCCTAAAGCTCGCGCGGATCGCCGCACTCTCTTTTTGCACGACGGCACGCTCGTCGGCAATTGTCTTTGCAGCGCGCACATTTCGGATGAACTGCTTCACTGTATATCCTTAGCACATGTCCACAGCTGCTGGGGTCGCGGTGCTTGGCGTACAGGAAGCCATTGTGGTGGCCTCTTGGACCCCACCCGGACAGCGTTAATGGATTCGATAGAGGGGTGTTGTGGGAGGACAAGAGGTGGATTCGGCCGTCAGTCGCAAATACGAATCAGTCACGGGCAGCGCTGCGAATTGTTGCTGCTGCGAGTTGGTAGTCGGCAACGTTTGGGCATGGCCTACAGCTGGCCGGGCCGTCATTTGTTCCAGACGTCGGACGCCTGACTCGCGCGACCGCTGATGTAACCGACCCTTCTACCGTCGATGCCAACTCCCCTAACCGCTAGGTCACTGCATCAGCAGACAGCATGCACTTGCATAGTCCTCGCACGTCTACACGTATCAAATGCAAGCCTGTTACTGTTCCATTGCCTGTTTCGTGGCAAGCGCGCCCCATAAGACGAACAGCCTGTGACCCTGTTAGTTTGCTGATCATAGACTGGCCTGACCACATCTGACTGAATCCTCCTTCCCACTACACATCCGCGACATGCGCACGCACCTCTCTTCATAATGGCCGAGTCTACGTCTTATGACGCGACTGCTCACAACGGGAACACAGAGTTCCACTCGCCGCGACCGCGCAAACCCACGAGGATCGATTTGCTCAAGCCTCAACTGAGCGACGAAGCGTTTAACAAGAATGGCACGCTCCGGGAACCTGGCTCCGGCGTCTCTAGGTATCAGAGCCAGTGCTATGGACGTGGTACATAGCTGACCCTTTCCAGTGGAAGAAGCACACCCATACCCCCAGATGCCCCGCCTTCCGTCCAGGCTTCCTCTTCGGCGCGGCGACAGATACGCGCTCAGCGCAAGCAGCGCATGTTCCCTACCATCGACTACGTAGATCGCGTCTCCCACTTCGACCCAAACAGCGACTATCATGATTTCCGCGGCTTCTTCGTTCTCTTCTGGATCGGACTCGCCATCATGGTCCTTACATCGATGCTACGAAACCTGACTGAGACGGGATATCCCTTCCAGATCAGACAGTGGGCGCTTTTCAAGGACAAGGTTGTCGAGCTTGGTCTGGTTGACGGTGCCATGGTGTTCAGCACCGCTTTGTCGCTGCCCCTGCAGAGACAATTCCTCAACCAAGGGCCCCTGCGTTGGAACGCGTCCGGTCTGGTTGTACAGAGCATATTCCAGACAATATGGCTGGCTTTCTGGACTACGTATGCTCGCCCTGGCTCTGGACTGTACTGTAGACTGACCAATACAAAGATACCCTTTCATCCGCGACTGGAGCTGGACTGCCCAGGTCTTCTTCACTCTGCATCTCCTTGCAATCTTCATGAAAATGCACTCCTATGCGTATGGATACAATTGTCTGCAAAATCGAGTGCACAACTAACGCAGACAAGATTCTACAACGGCCACCTTAGCGAAACTCTACGCCGCTTGAACGATCTCGATACACCTGACAAGGCTAGCAAAGTAGCCGCGGTTCGCTATCCGAGTTCCAGTACTCATCTGCACGAGATCCCACAGTCTCCCTCCCAAGAAGAGCCCGATCCTAAAAAGGCAAACGCAGAGTATTTGAGCCAATTGAGAGAAGACCTCGCGTTGGAGCTTGCTTCGCCTCTTGGTAACGTCTCATACCCCAACAACCTCACCCTCTACAACTTTGTCGACTTTGTCTTTTGTCCGACCTTGTGTTACGAGCTTGAATATCCTAGAAACGCCAGTATTCGCTGGTTGGAGGTCTTCTACAAAACTCTGGCCGTATTCGGATGCATCTTCCTGATGATCATCACTGCAGAGGAGTTTATATTGCCGGTACTCGACGTATCTGCTGTGCGACTCCAAAACTCAAATGGCGCTACAGATTTCACCTTAATTCTCGGCGAGACTATCGGTCGCCTCCTCTTCCCTTTTATGATTACCTTCCTGCTAGTCTTCCTCGTCATATTTGAATACATCTTGGGCGCCTTTGCGGAAATAACTCGTTAGTCTCTACCATCAAGCCTAGTAGCTGCTGCTAACAGTCAATGCAGGTTTCGCCGACCGCCAGTTCTACGCAGGTGAGTACACGCGGAGCATATAGCGAGGATTCCGCAGTCTAACATATCATGCAGACTGGTGGAATAGCTGTGACTGGCTCGAATTCTCGCGCGAGTGGAACAAGCCTGTGTAAGCTATGCTCCTGTACAAACTGCATGTCATCTGAAGCATATACTGACTTGACATACCAACATGCAGTCACCATTTCTTTCGAAGACATGTCTACTCGGCCTCTAAGAACCACATGTCGCGTCCTCTTGCTACGACAATCACCTTTCTCATTTCGGCTCTGGCACACGAACTAGTCATGGGTTGCATCACAAGAAAGTTTAGAGGCTACGGATTCATTGCGATGATGCTTCAGATGCCGATTGTGATGCTGCAACGAAGCAAGTGGGTTAGGGGCCGCACTCTGTTGAACAATGTCCTTTTCTGGTGCAGCATGATCTTGGGACTCAGCATGGTAAGCTGCCAACTGGATATGTATCCAACAAGCACTAACAAATGGACAGATGTGTGCGTTGTATGTCCTTGTATAAGTCAACGGGATTCAGCGCCTGTGTGGCGCGGATTAGACTGGATTGGACTGGATTGGATTGGATTGGATTGGATTGGATTGGATTGGATTGGATTGGATTGGATTGGATTGGATTGGATTGGATTGAATTGGCGCACTGTCTAGACTTGCAGAATACCCCTCTCTACTACGTTGTCCAGTACGCTTAAAATGGCATGTTAGACTTGTGTTAGACATGTATAAAGTGTTCCATGTGTGGTACATAGGTCCAAGAGACAGCAGGAGTGAAAGTCGCAATTTCGCAAGCCTCTCCGGACGTGTCCTAGTGTGACGTAGTGGCTACGGGCGTATTCGTATGCAGGGTGGCCAGGGATACGTCGGTGGAGGCGGGCGACCCCGCGTCCGGTCTCACGCGTCGCGAAGGAGCGAGCGGAATGCAGGGATGACGTCGCATCAACAGTACCTGCGAGAGCGAGCATGCAGACAGGTACCGTATGTCCTGGAAGCCTTGCATCTCGGCATTCTGCTCGCCTAGTTCACGTCTTTTCATTCTTAGTCTTTTTTCAAGCTCCATCTGAAATGCAAATGAGATCAAATAAATCGCACGTAATGATTTCATCGCCCGTCACCGGACCTTACTAGCTGGCACCACGGCTACGTCGGAACATTCACAGCGGCGCGCATATAGCTTGACAGCAGCCACAAACAGTCTAGGTATTCTGTGGCTTTGGCTCCTTGGTCGCATCCTCCACACACATCGTCAAAGCCCGGCCTTTACTCTATCGTAACCATGGCGGAGCTCCACGAAGCGCTCGCGTGCCTCCGGCCGAAAGAGTTCAGCGATGTCCCTACCGACAACCTCGAAGCGTTCCTACCCGACATACTTGCCAAAGCGGAAATCATCGCCAATTCCGTGCCTCCACCGCCCAATGGTACGCCATACGAGTCGGCGCAACGAACCCGAACCGAGCAACAGCCTGCGACGAGCTCCAAAGACCTCACCATTTCGCAAGTCCGACGGCCACCGCCCGCGCCAGAGCATGAGGGGCTACAAAAGTCGTGGGGAAAGCCGGTGAAGCTGGGTAACAATGAAGCCGCTACCGGCATGAGCGTCTTCAAGATGGCCGGAAAGGATCGGCACGGAGCCTGGTTTTCGCGGTCGAGCGTGCATGAAGGGCTCGGCTTCGACAAGTGGAAGCGCGCAATGAAGAGCGAGTTTCCTGAGAGTCTCCAAGTCCAGGGCGGCCCGGGCGAGGGCAATATAAGAGGCATTGGAGGAGACCAGAGACTTGAGGACATGACGGTAGATGGCCTGGGACAGCTACAAGGTACGTGATACCACGCATGCTCACCCGCCCGAGATAACTGACAAGACGACAGTATACCAGCTGTCCGCCCAGTTCCCCGGCCCAACCTCGCCGCGAGAGTTCATCACCCTCCTCATTACCTCGGACACATGTCTCACCGACGCCTCCAAAGTCGCCAGCTCGGTACCGCGACATTTCATGGTTGTCTCCATACCCTGCTCACATCCGGATGCGCCGCCGCGAACCAACATGGTAAGAGGCTTCTACGAATCGATTGAGATGATTAGAGAGATACCCATGGGCGACGGTGACGCCGAGACTAACCCAGTCGAGTGGATAATGGTAACGCGCAGTGATCCCGGTGGTGGCATACCCCGATTCATGGTCGAGCGGAATGTCCCTAGTAGTATAGTGCAGGACGCCGTCAAGTTTCTTGACTGGGCATGCGCAAAGGACGACGACGTGGAAGCCGAAGTAACGGCAGGCACAGACCGCCCCACAGAAACACCCAAAGTGCACGATACCGAGCGAACTTTCTCTCCCACCGAAGCCAATGGCATGGGTGCCGGTGTAGGAACCAGTATAGTAGATAGAACTGGGGAAGCCGGTAGCCAGTACAGCCTACGACGCACAAGATCTGACAGCTCTTCGAGCACCTCATCTTCTGCAGAATCATTTGCGTCCGCTGAGCAATTCACCACTGCTCGCGATGGACTTCCCATCGACAGAGAGATCCCGACACCGTCGACCTCGTCACAACAGTCTCTGCCATTAAATGAGGACACCCATCGTCATAAAGGGCTACAAAAAATTGAAGAGAAGAAGGAACAGTTGAAGGCAAAACTCGAAGAAGCTCGTGAGAAACATGAATCGGGTTTGCAAGCTGAGACCCAGAAGACGGATAAAGAGATGCAAAAGGCAAATGAGAAGCACGAGAGAGAGAAGAAGAAACAACAGGAAAAGTTTGAAAAGGAAATGCGCAAACTCGAGGAGCGCCGCGAAAAGGAGACACGGAAATTGCTCCTTCGCCAACAGAAAGAAGCGGATAAGAACCAGCTTGCCAAGGCTCAGCGAGAACGAGACGAGTATAAGCAGCGCATGGACATACTGGAGCAGGAGAACAAGTTGCTCAAGGAGCAGATTGGAGACTTGCAACACGAGAACACGGCGCTTGTCTCTCGTCTAGGCAAGACCGAGGAAGGCATCAAAATCTTGAGGGCGATTAAGGAAGGAGAGAAGGGTAGGACTAGAGCAAGCTCCAGGACGAGTATAAGCTCTGGGAAGAGCGGAATAAGAAGCAAGGGCTCGAGTGATTCTTCGAGTACGCTGCCGAGGGCCGGGACAACGAGTTTTTGAGTTTGAATATGGTCACCAGGCGTTGATTCCCTTTCTTCCTCTTCTTTGATCTTCTCTGTGACGTACGTTTAGCGAGTAGGCAAGGTGTGGCGCAAATGCGGGCAATGAATTGATACAGGTTGCACAGCAACCAATGTGAATATTCAGTAGTAACGACAATGAAGGGCAGAAAATGAACGGAATGCTTAGAAGGGGCGCTCTTAGCTTGAGAAGTGCTGGTCAAGCGGATGCATGAGTAACTAGAGATGCATCTCCCACCAACCAGCCCCACTTGAGCGGCATTCTCGATCTTGATTTGACATTTTGTTTAGATAACTTCTCGTGGTCTACCAATCTCCCTTTCTTTTTCCCATATGTCTTGACTAGTCGACCATAGCGATGCTAGAATAGATCATTCTTTATGAAGCGAGTAATACAGACGTTCTTGGCGAATGACGACCTTTGCGGTCCGATAAGCGGACATCCCTCCACGGTTACAATACACCAGCCTCTCGACCCTTGTGAGAAAACAGCCAACACCTTGTGCGACTTCAGTTGCCTATCCAACATTGGTCAAAAGAGGATACAGGCTATCTGGCGGTGTAAAAAGTAGTCGACAGACGAAAAGAAGCAAACACTCTTCCCCACCCACCATTTGGAAAATCAGGACCAGCCCTTGAGGGTTTCCATTTCCTGCAGCGAGCAATCCAGGGTACATCCACGATACTCAAGGAAGCTTCAGGACGACTCCTCGCCAATCGGCCTTCAATCCTATCTGGAACTGCATCTTCTTGTAATGGCGGCCCCAACAACAAATAGCACATACATGACTCCCGGCATAGCACCACGAGCTGCAGGCTTGGAAGGCGATATGAAGCCTACATTACTTGCTTTCCACGGCTCAGGCAGCAACGCGACGGTGCATACGGTCCAGTTAGCAAGATTGATGAGGGTGATTAAAGGATATTTCGAGGTCGAAAGTCTAGAAGGTAAGTACACCGAACCACCAACGGCCTCTTTCCATCAACACCACATCACTACATTTGGCCCTTGGACATCTAATTCCTCGGATGATTGGACAATCTGACCAAGCCTTCCAGCGCCATTTCCTTCCCAACCTGGTCCAGGTGTCCTCCCTTTCTTCGAAGGCTGCGGCCCTTTCAAACGCTGGATGCAATCCACCGTCACCATCTCCGATATGAAAGCCGGAAACTCTACAAACGCCATGTCACCTGAAGTCGAGGATCTCGTTCGTACTACCGTCAAGCGTATCAACTCCAGCGGCGGCAAGGTAGTCGGTCTGATTGGTTTTTCTCAAGGCACCAAAGTCGTCGCCGGCCTGCTCAAAGGCTGTCAGATGCGTCGCGCGCTCGCAGACAAAGGAGCCGATGTAACAGAGCTTGATCATCTAAATTTTGCTCTTGGACTCAGTGTCTGTGGTTCATACCCGCCGCCGCTAATTCCGCCCTCTGTTACAGCAGCGCTTGAAGCGTCCGGGATGAGTGAAAAAGAGCAGAAGGAGCTGTTAGCGAAGAGGATTGAATTACCGGCATTTCATGTTCAGGGCTTACAGGATGAGTGGAAATGGGCAGGGCAAGGATTGATCGATGGGTGGTATGAGATTGGGGAGGGGAAGAGTGTGGTAAGGCACTGGGAGCAGGGCCATCTTTATCCAGTGAAGCCGGAGGAGAGTCAGGAAATCGGCGATTGGATGCTGGGTGTGCTGGGCCTTGTAGAAGGTCAGATGGGAAATCAGGCTCGGTAACAAAAGGTTGGGCATGTGATGAGCGTTAGGAGCATGGGGCTAGCAGTGAACATCGCGCGGAATTAGAGGTAAGCGTGCTTTGGCTTGTTGTTCTAACAGACCAATAAGGCCGGAATTAGTAGCTGCACAAGATGTTGCGTGTGCTCACGTCCCTGCGTTGCGCGCTTTATCCAGAACCATGAATGGCAGTACTAGGATACTTATTATTTATTTTGGCGGGCCACTAGTCTAGAAGCACATGGGTACTGCTTACACACGAATGAGATTACGATCTTAGCAAGCTCTCGCCTTCTTACGGTCACGAGCGGCTGAAGCGATTGTTTTGGACTAATAGGGCTGAGATAAGAACACGATTTAAGAATGCATTAAGATGCTAGACAATACCTAGCAATTGTTACTAACCGCTAATAGGTAGAGGCCTATTTAGATTACAACTATAGTCGTGATAGAAACATTGCGATAGTACTAGGTACTAAGGGGGAAGAACATGAACGCAGCTTGTGATAAAAAGCGCAGCTGAGCTGAGACCTGTACCTTTTCTTCACACTCGACGGCATCACCAGTACTAGAATACTTAACAATTCGATGTGTATCACTCAGGTACGTGAAAGAGAGATTCTCGCGCAGGATCATCAAGACGTAAAGCGGATGAAAACAAGTCAGGCACCGTGCTTTACATCCTCGAATGCTCCCAAAGAAGTCACTTGCGCAAAATAACCAAGAATACGAAGAACAGACACCATCGAAAAAAGGCCCTGTAAGAGTAACGCTCTTATTCAGACATTGTATGGAACCTCTAACCCAAGCACAAGTGACACACTAGCTTCTTATTAAACATCAAGCCAACAAGACAAATGCATGTCAATCGGCAATCTAACCCGTCGCAACGACGTTACTGATAGCAATCTCGTTAGCAGCGAGTGCGGCTCATACCAGCTGTATTAGCTTACGATCGCACCTCAATCTTCTCTATACAGTGCCGTCGCTTACCAGCCAACAATAAGATACAACTCAAGACGATTTCAACCAGCTCAGCTGTTACAAATTCTGTTGCATTCTGATCCAAGACATCCCGCTCACCAGAGCCGGGGATATAAGCAGCCTCTACTACCCTCAAACACGACACTACAGAGATAAAGCAAAAACTGCGCGTGAAAATTACTCGGTAGATAGCAATGGAGAAAAGTGCAAGACTCATGGCTTTGTGTTATGCGCTGTCGAGATCAAGGAAGCAGAGACAGCGATATAAGGAAACAATTTAACAAACAATGACAGCGTAAAGCATAAGATGTGAAAGTCTGGGATAGCAGCGCCTTGATCGCTCTTGCATTTCCGAGTCTGAACATGACACAGTCAGTAAAAAGCCCTTATGATGGCCAGCATGCGCGGAGGGTAGCGCCGTCCTTTCCAAATGTCGTCGCTCCAATCGCGTCATTTTCCTCTCACAATTCCGATGTAACGATGCGGCGATAACGTCGACTTCCTGTATGGGCTCATGTCTATACGGGAAAGCAGTGCAGCAGACGGAAACATTACCGTGGGTCATTCATAGTGTATCGACGTGGAAAGAATGATATTTACAGAAGCAACGATTATATATAAGAACGCAAAGTCGCGTTCTGATGAGACCATGCGATAGCGCGATTAATGCTAGTGCAGGCGCCATTGAGTTCAAAGGCATTCGCCTAGCTAAGGCTCAGTAGTGATGGTTGTAACCGGCGTTGCCTTACTGCAGCAAAGTCAACATGTAGTGAGATATAGGAATCGTCGACCTTGAATCTGATCAGTTCATGGTCCAAAATCAGTTTGAAATGACTACAGGTTCACGGGGTACTTGCCTCAACTGGCTCATAATTTTTCCGCATGTCGCACGCATTGTCAACCGACGAGTAGGATGATCCACCGAGATGCTGCTCCGAAATCCCGTTGTGAACTTACTTTACATGTGCTACGACTTCATTTCCAGGTTCAACGGCCCATCTAGGTATTGAGCGACTGTAACTCGAGCTAGTTTTGCAACGGGACGCCTACCTAGTGTACAATCCTTCTCCGGCGTTCTTTCCTACTTGGGATATATCGCGCGGAGCGACACGACGGTACATGTAGCGACATCCTATTCTTCCGGTGGTATTGTAAGCACCAAGTACATGTGGAGTAAACTTGCATCGTGTAGTGGCATGTCGGAAGCTGCACCAGCCTATACGGAAAGACTGACAATACTGTGGGGCGATGTGGGGCACAGTAGATACTATGCCGAGGCGCGATCTTGTGTAGTCGAGATCGTGGACGAATGCTTATCGAAATTGTATTAGGAATAAGTACAGTACTCAGCTTAGGGAGAAGACAAAGGGCGTGCGTATTTTTCAAGTACAATGCCGCTAAGTTGGGCATGGGACACGACACGACAACATGAAAAGGCTTTTGTGATGCAGCAACGGCTGAGCCGCGTCAACCCTGCAATAAAGCTTCATCGATCTCCCAACCTTCCCAAGTAGGGTTGTCGAAACCGTTGGGGCGGGAGCTACGCAAGAAGCCGTTCCAGTAGCCTTCGATATCGACAACTGGCCGGATGGTCCTAACGTTGGCATTAAAACCCTTACTGAAGCATTCCTGCATATGTCTATCCTCGAACAATTCGGGATGTGTTCGTCTCATGGTCTTCAGAGCTCTCTTTCCGACCTCATCTACCGAATCGTGATGTCGCAACTGGAAGAACTCCTGGTCATGCTCCTTCCTTAGCTCAGCCATTATATGCTCGTCGTAAAGTCCGAGTTGAAGTAGATATATATCGTACTGGCATAACGACGTGGTGCCTAGATAGCTCCCGCCAGCCTTCGCTCGTCTGTGTAGCCCGACAAGTGCAGCAATGGTGCCCATGCAGCCTGTACCGTAGTCGCTCATGGGAAACGGTGGAACAACAGGCTCATTCAATCCCATTGCTTGACCCTGGGCCCAGGCTACACCAGTCACGCAGTCTGCAATTTGCTGCCAGCCTGGTCGTGATGCCCATGCTCCAGTATGTCCGAAGCAATTTTCGGCAACATAGACGAAGCCCTTACCACGCTTCTTGGCAAGGTGGAGGAGCTGTTGGGGTCCATATCCGAGGCGATCCAGACTACCAGGCCGATAACCATCCAAAACTACATCTGCAGACTGTAGAAGTTCTTCGAAGATAGCTCGATCTTTTGGCTCCTTCAGATTCAGGTCGGTAGTGTGCTTGCCAATATTTGCATCCACTTGGAAGAAAGGTACGTCGGAAAGGTTCGGCGACGTGACTTTGATGACCTCAGCGCCGTATTCGGCCAGACCACGACCCATTGCCGGGCCCGCAATGATGCGACAAAGTTCGAGGACGCGGATACCGGCAAGGATCTGTGGCTTAGGCGCACGCGACGACTGGAAAGGAAAAGGAGTCGCAGGAGTTTCAGTTTCGAGAGTTTCTACTTTCCAAGGTGGTTGTTGAAGTAGAACCTGTCCGTGATCGGATTTCTGGAAATCCTCCCATTTCAGGCAAGTTACACCGGCTTGTCTGATCTTTGAGTTCATTTCTTCGAGCTGTTCGGCAGTGTATTGTCTGACATGATCCTCGATGACCTGGATACATTCATGATAGTCTGTCAAATCGGGCCGTGATCCTTCCAGACCAATCATGTTGAGCGCTTTGGTTGCTTCAAGAGAGCCATGAAGATGGAAGTATTCTCCTGGATTTTTTGTCTGGTAGAGGTTTGCCGACAATCTGCGGTAAAGAATAGACTGCGCTTGTAGAAGATCGGTATCTGTCTTAGTCAGTGACGACCATCGCATGCTGAAGCAGCAAGTCAAACCTTTGAGTAACTTCTTCGCTTTTGGGTTTGACTTATCGAACCCTCCTACAGTGGCTAAATATGTTGAGAACAGAAAAGCGGTTGCTCTTTCGAGATCCACAGCAATGTTCCGTGGCCTCTGAGCATGTTGTAGATCAGCTATAGCAGATGCAACTCCTGCTTCAACCGCCTTAAGAGCTGAGATGGCTTCCGTTTGCTTCAGTGGACTGGGAAAGTAGGGGGTTCCTGTATTGGCAGTCAAAAACTTGACGTTGGTAATGTGAGGCAACGACTCTTCGGGCAGGTTTTGCCTCGCCTTGGTGATTAACTGTTCTAATGCTGATGTGGTGCCCGCCAATAGGGTGTTGGCTTGTGTGACGCATTGATGCTGATGACTATCGGTTCCCAAATATGGAGCCATTTTGAGTGATGTAAAGATTAGACCAGATGGGATGAAATGGCAGCGAAGGGGTTTTCAGGTAAAAGACTGGTTACCCTTTCAAGAACGGGCCGAGGGAATTGCTGCTTGGTGACGGCTTCGCTGTTGAAAAGTTGATTAGCGGCATGTCGAGCATGGTGACGGCTTGCGATCGTGGCAATTGCAATCAGCGTCGGCTAGCAGGTGTCCTGCACGTCAACGGGTTGAGTCTAAAGGGCGGGCGCTGGGGTGTGAACGTGCCGCCGATTTCGTGATGATCGGCAGACATCAAGCGCTACTCGATTTTCGGAACAGTGGCAGCCCAAGCTTCGCGGCCTCGCGACAACCGCGAAGCAGTTACCACCCATTTTCATCAGCGAGACCACCTCAATCATACTGTAACCGTCATCCGCTCATCAATCTAACCAGCGAAGGTTGCACAGGGCTCTTTTCCGGGTGGTTTTTCCGTAGTGTTATGGGACTTCCGTGACTCGCTCTCTTCATTACCGCGAGTGCATCTTCCGACCAGCTCATCCATCCGTCGCGTCGGCAATGTACTCCCAGGCATTGACCATCCGAATTCGCACGTGATAGCGATTGCAACCTAGATACTGTCGCAGGCTTTATACAGTAATGACGCGACCTAAGGTCCCACCAGGTACGTCTGCGCTCGTACTGGCGAAACACACGGCTAATATGACGCGTCCTAGACCAACGACAGCGTACAGCACAGGCGTGCGAAAGTTGCAAGAGAAGAAAACAAAAGGCAAGTCAAGCTCTCAGACTCGTCAACTGCTGCATCGTGAGCCTATGTGCACTCGGTTACGAAAGCCCTTGGCACAAATCCCTGTCAGCGTTCACGACCTGCAACTCTCTGTTCTTGCATGATGCTGCGCTAGCATATTGAGGTTGTCTTGCACACCGATCAAGCTTCGCTGCCTGCTTAGAGCATTGCGGGAGGCTTTTGGTTAGCTCCGCAACCCCATAATTTTGTTCAAGAGCGTAACGAACTCTGTAGTCACGCATCGCTTTGTAATCGCAGATATCATCTGTAGATCAGATCAAATCGGCTCCTTCGCAAGATGACTCAAGGACACGTGCAATCACGTGCTTTGCCTGGTAGACCAAGACTGACAAAAGAAAGTGCAACGGCTTATGCCCATGCAACACGTGTGATAAGCGCAAATTCACATGTATATATGCGGATCGGGATCCTAATTCCCCGAATGAGGACGGACCACCCACAAAAAGACGCACAATTGAGAACAGCAACGAGAATGACAATCCGTCGTAAGTACTTTACGTTCTACTACGCTATTGCGTGTATAGAATTGTATAACATTGATACTCCTTTTTGAATCACTACGTCCCTGATCAACACTGCCTACTCAGTCTCAAATACAATCACTAACTGTCTCCATAGCCTGAATGAAAACTCTGGTACGGGCACATCCAACAATGAGCATACGCAGGCAAACCCGCTGTTGTCGCATAACCGAACGTCTTCCGGTACTCGTCCAAATCACTTGGCACGCACACTCAGTGTAAAGCAAGAGACACCATTCAAGTCGCCAGGCCCCAGACCGAGCGTTGAGCACACAGGTGTTCCAATTGATCGCCTGTCTAGCAACCTTGAGAATGCACGCGAAAGACCTAATTCCACGAATGTTACTACACCTCACGATGGTGCGGATGATGTGGCGGAGTTCCCAAGTCAGAGCCGTATGCTACAAGATCCAACCGGTCGAGTGATATATATAGGCGATGCAGCCACCTTGTCTTTTCTCCAGCTCCTCCGGATGATGGTCGAAACGGTAGCCGGCCCATCACCGTTCACAACTGACCCTCGACGACACAAGATAGTCGAAGGCCAATACTCGCTCCCACTGGGTTATCGACACACAAGTCTCCTCCCAGACGAGCAAACGGCTCGCCTGCTCGTAGATGCCTTTTTTGTCAATACTCATGGCTTGTTACAGGTATTCCATCGTGACTACTTTCTCGAGAAATTAGACCATTGCTTTTCCGATCCACTATCTGTGGACGCCTCCTGGTTATGCCTACTCAATCTAGTCTTCGCTATTGGACTGACAATGGCTACACCACTTTCAGGAAGTCCTGACGCGCTGATTATCGACAAGCTTCGAAGCGAGCACCTCGATAGAGCCGAAGCGTTCTACCTCAATGCTAAGAACATGAATGATCCAATGACTGGGCTGGAAGACCAGGACTTTTGGTCTGTCCAAGCGCTGCTCCTCATGTCCTATTACATGTTGGCCAAGACCAAACGAAACACTGCTTTTGCATTGCTTGGCATGGCAGTACGATCTGCGCTTGCGCTCGGTCTGCACAGAGAAGAGACTATGGTCATCTTCAGTCCCGAAGAGCAAACTCAGCGGAAAGATCTTTGGCGGTCGATCTTTGTCATGGATCGATTGCTGTCCTGCTCTCTGGGTCGCCCAACCGCTATATCGGAGGATGACTGCTCAGGAGACACCCTGCGGCCGCCAGACTGTGTTCGCGACCAGAACTGGAGCTTCAGTGCAAAGACTGTTTACGATTTCAACGAGACTGGTCCTCAAGCTTTAGAGGCCACCGTCCGGAGCTGTAGAGTGATTGGCGTCATCTTACGGAAGGTTTACCAGCAACGCAAGATTAGCACACGCCTTGCACAGGAGATATCAGACATATGCAAGACTTGGCCGCGACTGCTGACACCTATCTTGCAATGGCGACAAGCGGCGACTGCTTCGCCCAGTCAAGGCGTGGCTATCTTGCATACCAACTTATTTTACTGTCATTCCATCATCCTCTTGACCCGACCCTTCTTACTATATATACTCAACAAGGAGACTCAAAGACACGTCGAACAGTCTAGTTCAAGAGGACCAAGACCCTTTCATCGTATGGAGAGGTTCAGCGAAGCGTGTGTCATTGCCTCCGTACACACCATTTTGCTAGTACAAAACGCTTACGAAGCTGGTTACCTATCCCGGCGCAACCCAGCTGTCATCTATTTCCTTTTCGCAGCCACACTCGTGATCCTCGCGAGCGATTTTGCCGGTCTTTACCAAATCGAATTGACGGACAATTGCGTGGTTAATGCTATAAACGTCATGAACTACTGTGCTGAGAGCGATCAACAGGCCAGCCGTCTTGTTTATATCCTCAGTACCTTTCGAGACGTCGTCGCCCAACAGCGACTACGTAGGCGACAGGATCAGACAAGCAATTCGACGTTGCCCAGCATTGCATCACAACTCTACGGGGTGCAGATGCCGCAGCAACAACGGAACGCCGCCCCCCAGATGACGGACATGGTGCATACGACGAACCCAGTGGAGGCGACACCACGGCTCCATCAAATCCCAGTGCACATCTACCCTGGGATGCAAACAGCCCCGCTCAACGAACCGATACTCACGTACCAAGTATCTGAGCAACATCATCATCTCGACCAAGATCAACATCAAACCAACGTCCAGCATACACCCGCTGCCGCAGGAGAAGATTTTAGGGTTCATCTATCACCAATCCAGGAACCACCACCAATGGATATGGCCACACCTCCTTTCACATCTACTTCGAAGCCACCTTCGCTATCAGCAATGCTTGATCTCTCTGCTCTGGAAGCAACACGCGTCCCAAGTTTGAATTCCGAAGAGAGTGGGCAGGATGAGCAGATTGACTTCGATGCGCTGTGGGCTTGGCCTAGTAATACGCCTGCAATGGGAAGTCCAAGGGCTATGGAGGCAAGTGGAGTGAGTGAGCGCGTACAGGGTATTAGTGATAGTGCTGTACCCATGTTTGGAGTTAGTAGAGAGGGAACCGATGGCATTTAGAAGATCAATACGTACGATGTATATTTGTGCTGGTTCAGCGTGTGGCATACACTGGCATATGCGTGTAGCTGCTTTTATATTCTGCGTATCCTAATCTCGATTTCCTGGTGTAGAGCGAAATCATAATGACATGATTGTCTGCGTTGATGAACATTTTCCGCCGAGCCCCAAGCTTCTCTTACCATCGCCCAGTCTTTCAGTGTCGTACCCTGATTAGGCTGTTGACGACTACCACGTTTTCTGCTGCCCCGATGCGCTGATTCTGCGTTATCCTGAGACAATCTTGTAAGACTGTTCAATGGACGAGTCGCTCGGAAGACTCGTAACACAGATCCTATATATCGTTTCTTACAAAGCCTCCAAAATGCGTACATCGCTCATCGACTCAAAGGGTATCGTTTCTCCTCCCACACCATTGTGCAACGCCCACTGCAACGTCTTCTCCACTGCGCGTCTACCTGTATGCTCGAGCGGTAGCCTATAAGGTGTTAGCATGTGTATTCTCATCAACAGACTGATTAGGTTCCGCGTACCAATGACCCGCTTCCTTGATGATTACCACCTGGCTTCCCTTGACCAGATAGTCTCGAGCGTTGTCAAGTGAGAGCCGTTGGTCAAATGCCGGTTCATGAAGTCCCATCATCAACGTCGAAGGGGCCTTTAGCGCACCCTCGGGTGCCATGTTGGAAAGGATGCCTGACGGGGATAGAGATTGTGAAGAGGTAGCTTCGGATGAGATGTTGTACAAAGCGGCAGTAATCTCGAGCGACTTCTCCCACTTTCCAAAGACAAGGTTTTCCCGATAGATGCGAATCTTCTCGGACATGCCACGGTCGCCTACTCTCCTCTTGACGGAATCGCCATACCTTTCGTTGTTACTGTTCGTCTTCTCCAACTGAGCGCTTCCAGGGCCAGTCGAAATCGCCATGGCCTCGGCAGCTTCTATAGGATTTAAGACAGCAGGGGTCTTGCTCTTTCCCGGCGTGCCCTTACTGAAGCTGTGGAGAATGCGCAAGAACCAGTAATTGCCGAAAGTTGCGAAGGTATTGTTTAGAGGCCACGGTAGATGGAACACGAAGATGTAGAAAGAACGTCGGAATTGCCCAGCCACAGGGCCTAGCGTATGTAGGCCGTTTTTGAACAGACGAAAGTTGAATGGCGAGCGTATCCATGTCCTCAGCATCTGCTTGGCCAAGAGTATCCTGTTCCTCCCATTTGAACGTTGTAGACCAGGGATAATACCGCCTGTAATAATCCAGTGGTCTGCTAGCACATGTGCCTCGGACGCCAGTCGCGCACCGATGACGGCACCCCAGTCGTGTGTGACTACAACTGCCTTTTTGCCTTGCTGCAGAAATTGTTCTCTGATGCCGACAATGAACTCGCTCAGCGCTTCGAGTACTTCGTTCGGGCCGTATGCGGGCAGACTATCGGAGCCGCCGTAGCCAGGAAGATCGACGGCTATCAGGATGGTGTCCTTCTGTAGAGACGCGGATTGGAGGAGGTGTCGCCAGATGAGGAAGGAGTCTGGGAAGCCTGGCCTTGGTTAGTTGTATTGTTCCTGAAGTTAGGGCCTTTGACGACTCTGCCTAGGAACTACATACCATGTATGAAGATAGCAACGTTCTTTGCCGTTGATGATTCAGCGCCTTGGTTAATGACATAGTGCAGACTCGTGCCAGTGCTGGTCTTGAAGAAAGAATGCTTGAAGCCTGGCAGAGGCTCTCGATCGAGACTCCAAAACCTCTCTTGCGCAGCAGCCAACTCCCGCTTCTCTTCTTGGGTATCCTTTGCCCAAAGAGCACCGTTCTTGACGACCGCCATTGTCCATGCTCCAGCAAGGCTGACAAGTCCAAATGTGAGCTTGAAGCTGCTCCAAGCCAGATGTCCAAGTTTGTCTGCCATTTTGGCGGGTCGCCAGTGTACCGTACAAAGGTACGCCTACAATCGTGTGTATTCAAGTTATGCACCAGCCGAGATTGTTCGTGCTCATGCGTTGGTCGTAGTGACGCGGTACCGACCCGTTACATATAGCGCGGAGTAGAGTCGACAATTTGCGATCAAAAATCAAGGTTGTGGTATCCACCCCCACCTGTTGGGTGGAACAAACATGGCGATGAGCTGCAGGGGCAGATCGCGATGGCAAAGCAGATGACCCTCGAATTCACGCCGCAGCGATGATCAAGGGTCCTGCGCGTCCATGGAGGCTGCAGTGATGATCGTTGAGATATGACGTTATTGGCCAGAGCTTCTCTCTCTGCCGTGAGCTGCAAGTCTGATCGGTCGGGTAGCTTTATCCCCCACTTAGGGCATAGGGCACTTTCGCGTCAGGGATGATTCACGTGCTCTACGGGACCATTGATATACTGGTGACTTGCTGCTCTACAGAGCTGGGATATCGTGGATATTGCGGTCGGGCTGCTGGATTGTACGCGCAATGGTAGTGCGTACGCGGTGTGCCCAGTAAGCATTAGAGCCTGTATCTCTGCACGAACAAACATGGTCATATATTTACCTTGTATGAGGATGTCACCATAGATCAGCCAAGGACTCTATGCTCCTAATGCCCACCAAGACTAAATCGCTGTAGATGAAGCTGATGGCTGCGCCTCTACTAATTTGACACAAAAAATGTCGGGTATCATAACAACTTGGTAGCACATCTCCTGACGGCTCCAATCTATACAAGCATTAGGACACTCTCTGAGCTTCATCTCCTCTTCCCTTTGACTCTCTCCATAACCCTCAGCTCAGCACTCCTCTGTAACCTCAGATCTTCCAACTCCCTCTCAATACCTCTGTTCTTCTCTACAAGCTCCTTCCTCTTTTCCATCCTCTGCTTGGCTTCTTCCAGCTTGTGCCGGACAACATCCTCGACTACCCTCTCCAACTGCCCCGCGTCCTCGATGCCATGCTCTCTGATGAATCTATCTGCGAACTCCTCGATAGTGTGGGGCGATGGACCTGGGCCGCCTGTATGATATCCATTCTTGTGGGTGACGTACAGGCCCGGTATGGCGGAAGTATGTGTACGGAGGTTGGAGGAGAGTGGTATAGGTAGCTGTGACGCGGGGATTGTAGGGGTATCGTCCGAGGGCTTTCTCGGGGATGGTTGAGACGGAAGGTTGAGTAATATATCCATGAGACCATTCTCAAAGGCCTCGTCATATGGGACTGTCGATGGTGAGAAGTCGACCATTGGGGATGTGAGTTCGGGCTCGTCGCGTGGTGTGAGGGGCGCGTTGCCCATGATCGTGTCTTGGTTGCTCATGGTGGCTGTGTCCCGGTTGCAGATAGTTATGCGACGCGTAATTCTAGGAGGGGAGGTGTTGCGCTCCGAGGCTTGTCGGGTTGATGATATGCGTCCCTCAGGCTGTCGCGATGGTGGAGTTGATGCATCGTCATGACTAAGCCGGAATCCCCCCAGCACCTCCGCGGTCGCGACGTTCCCAACTTTTGCCTGTCCAACCCAAACGACCCGATTCGCGCATCTTGGACGACTACCCGAATTCCGTACATATCGCAGTCATGGCCGACAAACTACGCGCACAGCAACAACTTGAAGCCCTCCAAGCTCGCTACATCGGTATCGGGAGCGCAGACACTACCAAGCACGAATGGACATCGAACATTGCGCGCGACTCGCTGTCGAGCTATGTCGGCCATCCGCCTCTTCTACAGTACATGAGCATCGGCCTGGGACAGCCGCGCGAAAAGACTAGACTGCAGTTGCTTGAACGCATGGTCAGGCCAGTTGGGCCGCCGCCTGAGGTGAGTAACAAACATGTGGAGTCTCTTAAGCAGCAAGCTGACAGCAAGTAGCAACAAGACTGAAGAGGATACTTCGGATCCAAACAATAGGGTTGATTACAACGACATGCAGAAGCGAGAATCCAAAGTAACAGTCGCTCTCCATCCAGATGGCACAGACATGCGCGAGGCCGGCTCGTGGGCAGCGAGGAACAGATGGGTACATGCTGCTTGTCTATGGCTGTCAAAGCCAATACTATGAACTTGTTCAGTAGCGTAGCGCACGCTGAGTGCCGGTGGTGAGGTGTAGACACACCTCTGCCTCTATGAAGATAGCCCAGTCACCACCGCAACCGGCGTCCAAAAGTCTTTTCCAACTCATGCTCTGCCTTTTGTGACACCTCAATCGCTATCACTAGCGCTTCCTGTGGGGCCATCATCGTCGTCTTCTACCACGTCGCCGCTCATTAGCATCGAAACTTCTCCCTTCTGTAGCATGCTCCTCAGTTCTGCGTTCCTTGGATCCGCCAGCTCAATGGGCTTGAGCTTCGCCTTGTTCCTTATTCTTGGATCGCATCCCGCATCTAGCAGCATCGCGACGATGGAGTGGCCATGGGGCCAGACTGACTTTTCGAGCGAGTTGACGTAGCGCACGGCTTTGTGAAGGGGGGTATCTTGCTCCATGCGGTCGATTTCGTCAATCTCGAGACCCTCTTGATCGAGGAGCATGTCGATAACCTCGACTAGGATAGAGTCAGTCGATTCATGTCCTAACATGTACCATGCGACGTACAGCTTCCGTATGTTGCAGCAACGTGAAGACAGCCGTTGCCCACGCCGTCGCGTGTGTTGTTCAATATGTCTGCCACATGGTCCTCGGGCTTCTTTCCTGACTTTGAGGCAGCAGCAGCAAGGTCTTTTAGTGTTTCCTCGAGTAGCTCGGTGTTGTTGCGTCGGCACGCTTCGAGCACAAGTTCGCGGGGAGAGGCACCCTAGATGTCCATTAGCACTGCGAGGCGCATGGTATGCAGGTGCATGTACCTCTTCGTCCGCCATGGTGTGTGGTGTTGAGGTTATGGAGAGTGACTGAACAGGGAAGAACGGTCCAGTCAGGTACGCGTGAATGTTTCGAGATGTTGTTTGGCGGGGTACTCGGAAGTGCTAACGGAAAGCGAACAACTCAAGGCGGTGTGAACAGGTGAAGTATCCCTCTCATACGGCGATAAGAAAGCAGGCGATGTCTCCCAGGCCAGCGTGCATAAGCCCCCAATCTGAGACAGTCCGTTCCCAAGTGCGCGTCCCCAGTGGCTTTTCGCTGGGCCATAATCGCCCCGCACTTTGCCTATCCCGGCCCTAGCGGTTCAGGGTCCGCTGTAACTTTTGAACTTGTTCGCCATCATCTCTGACGCGTCCAGCTCTGCGCTCTCTCCGTCGTCGCCAACCATGTTACTCTGTAAGTTGTGCGCCGCCACCTCATCTGCGAATCAATCGCACCCAGCACTAACCAGCCATAGTCTGCCCAACATGCAGCAACATGCTTCGCGTGTCCAAAGTACCCCCCGGTGACCCTACAACCGAAGACTCTGTCGGCCAAAACCGTTTTGAATGTCTTACCTGTCCTTACCACTTTGTAATCAACAAACGTTACTACGAGCGCAAGTACTTGAAGAAGAAGGAAGTCGAAGACATTTTGGGTGGAAAGGGCGCCTGGGACAACGTAGACAAGACAGAAGGTACGTCGCACGATATCCGGGCTTTTCAGAGTCACATGACGCCCAGTCCAGCTGGGCACCATCACGCTCGATGCATATGACTGACAATCCAACAGTCCAATGTCCCAACGAGAAGTGCCGGAACCACGAGGCGTACTGGTACCAGCTACAGATTCGTAGCGCTGACGAGCCAATGACCGCCTTCTACAAGGTACTCTATGCATCCGACATCTCGGAAAGCTTCGCTAACATCTACCAGTGCACCCAATGCGCGAAAGAGTGGCGAGAATGATTTACGAATCGCGTCAGATATCAGGAGTTTGGAAGCGGAGTTCTTGCTTTAATATACCCCGGTTGCATTTGGTGAATAGATATGAATCCCAGTCTGACTTGCAAGCGCCACTCGCGCTTTGAGAAATCTGGCAAGGGTAATTGATTTCCTACATATTGGCTTTTGCTCATACTAACCGTTATGAAATATATGCTTCTTAGTTGGGCTAGCCCTTGTCAGCTCTCCTCTTGTCCGACAGCTACTCACTTTCCTTACTCAGAATACCCAATACCTCTGCCACAAGTGGCCACAATGCAGCATCCCAGATCCGATAGCCTTCCTCGTTTAGATGCACATGATCCACAAGCATGTCTTTGCTGATCACATGTCTCGAATCAATCCACTTCACTCTGTCTCCTTGACACTTGCCACCCTGTGAGTCGTCTTCCTTTTCCATATCTTTTTGCAAAATCTCGTTCATCTCTTCGACGACTTCCTTGAGCATCCTATTACTCTCATCGACGAAACCATCAGCTATATCCTTCCTATACGTCATATCGCAAGCCAGTACCATACTCTCCGGAGCAATCCTTAAGCAAGTCTCTACCAATACCCTCCAACTCTCCACGTCCTGTTTGCGAAAAGGGCGCTTTGCGTGTAGATTGTTGGTTCCAGAAGTGAGGATCCAGACTCTGATGTTGCATCTCTCTTTCTTCGCGTTCCGGAGCATGTCGTAAAGACCTTCATTGAGTCGGTATGCGACGTTTTCGTTCTTGTCGCCGCCAACACCGGCGTTCCATGCGACTCCCATGTTCCCTAGCTTGCCGATGTTTGTATTGGCACCAGTGGTTTTGAAGCGCTCAAGCATTGAGTTGCCGAGGTAGATGACGTTAATAGGGGATGTGTTCGAAAGATTTGGTGAGAGCGCATCTGGTGAAAGTGGAGACGCGTCTTCGTCCGGTAAAGGTAGATGAGGATCGAGCTGAAGACGTCTATTAAGTTCTGGCACGTGTACCTGCTGGTGCGTCTTAAGTGCGCGATCCTTAAACTCGGCTAAGGCTTGAAGCCTACTAAGAAATTCGTCGTTGTATAGACGGAGGTCGTTTGTTTCCTGATCTGCAACTTTACTGAATGCTGCAGCGCTATGCCCAGTAGTTGTATTCATCGTGATGCGTCTTTGGACTTGCTATGGAATTGATGCGAGTTAGAATACTGGTTTGCGTAAATGATTGTGAGAAAAAAATTGTAGCGAGGAGAGCTGCCATGGCCAAAATGCGGTAGCGAGAAAGGGCGACGCTGTGGAAAGGGCTGAGGACTCGATGGGAAGTAAGACATTGCAAGCCAAACGAGACAACATTCATTTTTTGTGCCTAAGCAAGTCATCATAAGCTTTATCCACCTTCCATCGTCTATTTATTGCTGTTTCGGAGATACATTCTGTCCAAATTCTCTTTCATTACTATGTAGAACCGTACCAACCTCCTTCTTTCTACCCCTCCTTCATAGCAGAGTAGCATCTCCTCATGAACTGCTACAACTCTATTTCGAAACCAAAAAGTCTGCCCAATAATGACGCCTTTGCGAGAGATCTTTATGCCGAATAGACACAGATCAACTATCATATGGGTCCAATAACCCAGATGAGGTCGAAGTGAGGACCTCGAGCACCCAATAATGTACGTCTGGAAGGTACGGCCCACTAAGCAAATGAGAGTGAACGGGCTGCGAGCAACCATGACCCCAGCGACACTGCCGAAGTTACCAGATCAGTCCAGGACTATATTCATATCACACCAACAACAGCAATCTCAGTCATGCATTTACAGTGCTCCTCACAATGGATGCGCTCATGCCCGACTTCCACGTGTATCGGTTTGGCCCACAATGGTAGGCACGAGCTAATGAGGATAGTTGTACGGTTCCGTGATCATCCAATCGCAGAAGAGTTTCGGAAATCCATCATCGAAACGACAGATTTCTGTATTTATCTCGCGCTTTGTTTGGTGATGTGCAACTGCCCTGGGCGGATACCAAACCAAAATTGGGGTCGGACGAATAGAATGTGGACAAGCCACCTTAGCTGGTACCGAACAGTGGAAACGCGACCAGTCCAACTTGAGTGTGTTTTCGCGGTAGTAGATTCGAATAGCGACATTACAGACGTCTTTGCTAGCGAGCGCGAGGCTCAACAAATAAAGTTTGTAGATGGAATCATAGTTGGACTTGACGATTTCCTCAGACAACAGACAGAAGGTCTTGGGTTCGAGCCTTTGCAGAGAATCATTGAAGCAAGGTAACATGACGTCTGTGTCTTTGTGGTTTCGGAGGGAAGGAGACATCGGAAGGCTACGCCGCTAGTGGCCCCAGAATCCGGCGAAGACGCTCAGTCCGAGTCTCCTTCATGATCGATGGTGAGCTCTATCAGACCATCAAGCGCATGTGTCTTAGGTTGAATGAACCAACGAGTAGCAGCCATACTGAGCGTGCCCGCCGTCATAATTAGTGTGGCAACATGCGGTTTCGATAGCTCTTCCAAAACAGCATGATCGTCTTTTGGAAAATCCGTTGGCTTTGCAGACCGGGAAAAGAACACGCGAGATGAACGGAAGGGCACGTATGTACTGAGTCGGAAAAATCGTGGGTGATGAGTTTCCGCCTTCGAGACCGCGGTATCCGACCGTGGCCTTTGTGCCTTCTTTGTATCCGCGTCGTAAGTCTGAACAACATCGCGGGCTTTCTTCGGAATCGCTAGCGCTTTGCGTGCTTGAGCTTGGTTCTTTCTCTGCCCGACAGGCAAAGTTGGGGCAGCGTTGTCGGCAATAAACGGACTAACAGACGCTACATCAAGATCCATGACGCAAGGTTGCCAGCTCTCATTGAACTCCACTGGCTCAAACGATGCGCCTTTGTTACGCATGAAACTCTGCTCAATGATGCTACTATCTCGCAGTAGCGCAGGTTGTGAAGCGCCATGAAAGTTGTGTAAATGCTGGAGGAAGGCCTCCTCTGACGTATAGAATTCTTGATTGCATGAACGATAGCGATGGTAGTTCTGTGCATGCTCGACATGAAACGTGCGATAGCCGGAACCGCAAAGATAGCAATGGTGAGCCTTCGCCGAAGGATAGTCCGGGCAAAGCGGTGGTCCTGCATTGTCAGCAGCAACGTCGTCAAAGCTTCGTAGGAAACGGCAGCTCCACACACGGCAATGGGAGTGCTCGTTCATCTCCTTGACATCCGTAAACACTTTCTGGCAGTATCGGCAACGGAACGACTCGTAGGGTGTCGTCGAGTATAGATTCTCCAGATGGTTCTCCTTGCGCTCCCCCCACCACACAGCACGGTCAAGCTCACGCGTGATGAGGTGCTCGGCGATATGCTCACACCGCTCAGACCAGTCTCTGGATCTTTTCCCACAAAAGCCACAATGAAGCATCGGGTCGTCCTTCTTCATTGGAGCACCGAAGCGACGCCACTTCATGGCGAGATCTTTGCAGCCGAAGTAATGGCCCTGAGCGGCTAACAATCGGGCCTGGCATCCGACACGTACCGATGGGTGTTTGGTGTTAGCGAAGTGAACATGATGCATGTGTTGGATGAAGTGGTCGCGGCGATAGAAAGTCCGTTGAGATTCGGGCTTGCTCCTACATTGCTGATATTTGTGGCCAGCCATGTGGGTGTCATCAGGATGGGTCTGACCGCAGAATGGACAGGCTTCGAGTATCTCAGATGACTTTGTGTCACAACAGATCCAGGTAGTCCGAAGCGCATGAACAGAGTCTTCGTGCCGAATCCATTCATACTTCGTCTTGAACGCTCGCGGGCAGAAGGTGCAGAAGAAAGAAAGATCCTTTTGGGGTTCACCTGCACTACTACAGAGGTGAAGATACGAAGTCAGTGCATGTCTCATATGCGTCTTTTGCAGTCACAACTTACTTGACACCATTAATAGCTTGGCGAGGTGACTCTTTCCAAGCCATCCGACGTCTACCCCGCCTTCGATCACGACCAAAAGACGAAGTTTTGCCGCGACTACCGTTAGACGAAACCGTATAAGTCGTCAGTGCAGTGCCTTCGGAAGAGGCAACAGATGTGATGACAGAGCCTCTACGGCCTTGCCTCGAGTCAGACCACCCGTCGTTCGGGTTACTCTCGCCAAGAGAATTACCATCGATGGCGGCCTGTACTAGGGACAACTCTACTGCTTCTTCTTGGTATGACTGTGCAAGATATACTGCCAGAGGTGGTTGCGGCAGTTGATTAGCGCCATTCGCCTGCTTTTCGAGACTCTCTAGGCTATCTCTTGAGAGTTTGGTTTTTAGTACGCGGCAATTGCGATCTGACAACTCTAGTGTAGAGACTTGAGAGTCTTAGGTATGTAAGTCAAAGGATAGCCAATCGGGTTTGAAGCTACTTGCCTACACATTTCTGTCGAGCTCGGGTGTTATTGAACCAGTTGCGAACCTTCTTCACGTCGAGATTGGCTTGATGTGCAATAATATCTAATTCCCAGGTACCTAAGAGATACGTGTACGAAGTCAGTGTATATATCACAGGCGATTCGTTCGCAGACATCTCTTACATGGGTATGGATTCACTGCAAATTCATCTTCCAGAATTTGCCTCGCTTCGAGCGGAATGCGACTTTGGGGTCCTTTACGTTTGGCTGATGCAGGTTTCCAAGTGCCGCTGAAGGCTTCCTGCTGGGCTGCGACCGAGCTGATTGGTGCCTGGCTCAGAGGGAAGGAGGTGTTGGCCAGTATCGTTGACCGATCGATCTGTGATGCAGATTGCTCAAGCCGATAGTCCAGGGTGTCAGCTGGGCTCCCTCTATTGTTGCCATGAACGTTTTTGCATCGCATTAACCCAAGAGATGGTGAATATGATGATGGAATATTGAAATTTGCCTCATCATGTGTCGCCATATGCCGGGGTTTATCTGTTTGCCAACTTTGGTCCGTTGTCCGAGCTAAACCTCTCTCAACCATGCGTGACACCAAACTCTCTGGTTCATGAGACGATGGCCATTGCTGGCTCACATCGCCAGTGGAGAAACATCGACTAACATCGTACATGGGCATGTCGTTTAATTGAAAATCGGCCGTGGGACTATGGTGGGCTGCTGGCTCGACAGCCCAGTCGATATTTGTGACATCATCTAGTTGAATCAACGGCACGCTTTGCTGCTTTGGAACATGGTTGCTTCCAGGATCTGCGTTCTGATCAAGGGCTGCGAAGTCGAAGAATTCGTCCATGTTGTCAAGGGCGCCGGCGTCCATGGTGACGCGCCTAGCGCGACCTGAATGGGCTCTAGGATCGGCTTATCCTGGGGAAAGGCGACCAAACATCAACGGTTTGATAGGTCCGAGGCTGAGAGATGGATGTTTGGTGATTGAGTGTGGCATGACAGAACGTGGGTGTCGGCTTGACGCTGATGAGGTAAAAGGTGATGCGGCGTCGTCTATTGATGAACTGGGTGCACGGCGATCTTCCAGGCAACCAGCACTAGTGGCAGCAAGCATTCCTGCGCAACGATGGGGACAGACACTCCACAGAGCTATACAGAACAAGATGTAATGGTGCGTGTCGACCAACATTCAGGAAGAGGTCATGGGAGTATGACCCAGAGTGGTCCTGATGTTGACGTCCACCACAGTCGGCGTCTGCGCGCGTTCAAGCCGGCAGACGCCACCCGATATCGTTAGCGCGAGTCGTTGACCCACCGAAAAGTTCCTCGACTCGAAAAGCTCACGACACTTGTAACGACACGCGCATTGATCGCCTCCAACACTCACAATGGCCGCTGAAGTACAACTCCTACAGCCTTTGAAGCTGCCAAAGGGTCCCTCGACTCTCACGTCGGAGCAAAACTACTGGAACTCGTTCGCCTCAGAGCTGCGCCTCGACCCGTCGCAGCATTCGTCGCCCGTAACCCATATCTCGATACCGCCTTCTCAGCCCGCAAATGCGCTGTCTGCCGCCCAGGATCTTTTCGCCGTGACGACTGGATCCCGTGTTCAGATCTTCTCCTCTAAGAGCCGAAAGGTCGTCAAGACGATATCGCGCTTCGGCGTCGACGACATTGCGCATTCGGGAAACATACGGCGCGATGGCAGGATCTTGGTCGCAGGAGGCGACACTGGTGTCATACAGGCCTTTGATGTGAAGAGTAGGGCGATTTTGAAGACATGGAAGGAACACAAGCAGCCTGTCTGGGTGACACAGTGGAATCCAACCGACCTCACGGGTTTGATGAGTTGTTCCGACGATAGGACTGTGCGACTATGGGATCTGCCGAGTGAGAAGAGTGTGATGAAGTTTGATGGGCATCAGGATTACGTGCGCAGCGGTACATTCATGCCTGCGCAGAGTGGGCTACTTGTCTCCGGAAGTTACGATCAAACGGTACGACTCTGGGATTCGCGAGTGGGCGGAAAGGCGGTCATGGTATTCAAGCATGCCGCGCCCGTCGAGACCGTTCTACCCATGCCCTCTGGTACTGCTGTCCTCGCAGCAGCCGACAACGTGATCAGCGTGCTCGACATTGTAGCTGCGAAGCCGATTCAAATGTTGCGCAACCACCAGAAGACGGTTACCGCGCTCTCGTTGGCGAACAATGGCGAGCGTCTTCTCTCTGGTGCCCTTGATGGCCATGTCAAAGTTTTCGAAACAACTGGCTGGAATATAGTGGGAGGAATGAAGTACCCCTCTCCCGTTCTGTCGCTTAGCGTTATTCCGAACCAGAAGGAGGATCGGCACATCGCCGTGGGCATGCAGTCTGGCCTGCTCTCAATCAAGACCCATCTCTCAGGCGAGCAGAAGGTGCAGGTTCGTGAAAGGGAGAAGGAAATGAAAGCTCTCATGGAGGGCAAGATTGAGGAGTACGACAGGAGCAAGAAGCGGAAGCGCGGGAAGGGCTGGGAAAAGCGCATACGAGGCAAAGACTTCACAGGCGAAAGCGCAGATATAGTCATTGAAGGCAATGCGCGGGGAAAGATTACTGCTGGACAGCCTTGGGCGCATGCATTACGAAAGGGCATGTATTCGCAGGCGTTGGACATGGTACTTGAATCAAAGGTAAGCTCATGTTTCTCATCGACGTTCTGGCACACTGCTCACAATTCGTAGGATGCGAACGCGCGCAGTCAGTCTCTCACGCTCCTGACCGCTCTACGTCACCGCTCTACTCTTCGCACCGCCCTTAGCAATCGCGACTCGGTAACACTCCAGCCCATTCTCCGCTGGTGCATAAAGAACATATCCGACTATCGTATCACACGTCTGACGACAGACGTTGCCTTGGTAGTACTGGATCTTTATGCCGACCAACTAGGCAGAAGCGAAGAGGTCGACGATCTGATCATGGCGCTTATGCAACGTGTCAAAGTGACAGTTGAAGCAAGTCAAGATGCTTGGAAAGTGAGGGGTATGTTGGATATGCTCGTCAGCAGTGTGGGCGCAACAGAGGGTGTGGAAGCATGAGAATGACCAAAAGGTCTTTTGTTTGCATAGCGAAGGCGTTCAGGATCTCGTCACATGTTTCAAAAAGTTGAGAAGGGGAACCATGTATGTTATGTACCTGGGATGGATGGAGTGATGAATACCCGGATGAAGCGATTGGTATTGCTTTGGATGATGGGAACGTTATAATCTTGAATGGTATATTGTACAAGCCAGCTCTCTTACACGGGCCATATGCTATACACAGAATTCGTACATGCGTCTACCACAGACAGTATTGCCGCTGTGATGTCACGGGTCGGTCGGGTAGTGCAGTCCATAGCTTGCGGTTGTCGCGCTTCTTCTTGAGTTCATCCGAGATGCGCATCCGCGTCTTCTCTTCCTTGAGAAGTACGGAAAAGCCTATCAGATGGTGTCAGCGTGTGATGCGGCAAAGTGAGCTTGTAGCCAACTCACTGGTCGTCCGGTGCTTCAGCATGTTGATGGCACCCCGCGCCCTGAACTCAGGGGACTTCCAGCTCTCTCCGGGCCCCACCCATGCCTGATCAATGTAGATCTCACTGGGGTCGCGCACCACCTTCTTACTGCCATCCTTCAGTTGAATCGTCGTGTCTTTGAAGAAGGGCACTTTGACCTTGTTCGCTTCTACACTACCATGCTCTCGGGAGGTCTTGTAGTCCCAAGTATCCTTCGGCCTCCCCGCATCCGTAGCTTCTCTTTGCTTATTCCAACGAGACACAGCAGCCTCCTCGCCAGCTAGGCCCATGCCCCGGCCCGCAATGGCTTCATTTTGCGCAATCTCGAGGCCCTTGATGACGTCGCGAGCGATCTTCTTCTTGGAGAAGCGGAGTTGGACAAGGGCCTCTGATATGGTCTTTCCGGCGATCTGATTGACGACCTTCTGCAGCTTCTTGGTAGACGTAGGGAGGACTTGTGACTTGTACAGCGATTGGCGCTCGGTGCGGAGTAGCTTCGCAGCCTTTGTCATGCGGCCGTGGCGCTTGACACCGGAGATGATGAGTTTGCGTTCGAGGCGCTTGCGGGCTTTTTCATCAGGGTCGAGGGTCATGCTCATGAGCTTTCTGTCTTGCTGTGCCTTTGCTCGTTGCTCCCTCTGTCTGTATTTTGCCTTGAGATCGAGTTTCTCCTGCGGACTCAGGTCTTGCCGCCATCCGGGCATGTCGTTCTCGGGTGCGAAGAGCGACGTCGGGGTGACGGCAAAGTCTCCTGTGCGCTGTGCGGGGCGTGTCGGGCGTGCTGGCTCGGCCTTGTCGTTTGCGTCTGCCTCGTGCTCCTTCTCCTTCTTGCTAAGATAGTCTTCGAGGATGGGGTTGGTGAGGTCGTCGTCTTGGTTCTTGCGCCCGAAAGAGACGTTGCGCTGGGCGAGTGAAGGAAGCGATGTCGACGGCACCCAGCGAGTGTGCGGGCGGAAGACGGCGAGGGCTACTCGGTGTTAGTCGTAGAGTTTGTGGGGGAACAGGACAGGCGCACCCGACTGGCCCAGGCGCCGTGAGGGAATTCGAGCACTCATGCCGATGCTCAGCACGACGAAGCTGCGGCGTTGGTGATGCCAATGCGGTGGAGTTGACGGGAAATTCTGTGGTTGCGGCCAAAGGCTCCGCGCTTGCAGGGGTGGGGAGTCTCGGCAGATCTTCATGAACCAGACGCAGCGATCAGCTCGCAGAAGAAATGTGCAGGAGTCGTGTCGTCCCGCTCCTGTCCAGACCATCGTCGACGCTGTCCAGTTGGCCCTTCTTGACGCGCATCTGCTGACGCGCCCTACACCCTGCATTGCCCTCTCTACCTGCTCGCCCGGGAGTCCGCATCCAGCTGCTCCGAGTCGCGAAGTGCTCGCTCCATCATTACTTGATTAGTCGCAGGCCCAAGCTCGTCTGGTGCACCTAACCACCTTTTCTTCTAGGCCCAGTGTAGGCATTCTCATCCACGACGCCGACGAGGTCATCTCCCATCACATTCGCTCGCCCCATCGCCGCGCGCCGCCCACCGTCCTTTTCGCGCCCAACGCCCGCCCTCGTCCCATGCCACTCGCTACGAGGGATTCGATGCCGTCTAGTTCCCGCAGCTCGCGATTATAGAAGAGAAGATAGCAAGACGTCGAGTGCGCCTGTGGCGTCCGAAACGGCCGTCTAGTCTGAGCGCATACCGAACAACTGCACCAAACTGTACACAACACCCACCATGGATATCAACTCATTGCTGTCGCCGTCGGACTCGCCTGCGGGCACCCCAACGCCTCAGCCCGCCCCTACTATCCCGTCGCCGTCACTACTCCGATCCCCAGGCAAACGTACACGGCGCCAGATGCCCTCGCGAACACCCTCGGGTCTGAGTCAGCAGATCAGATCCTCTCCACAGCCGCCCCAGACGCTTCAGCAGCGTGTGCCATCTCCAGGCTACGCCCACATCGCGAACGGCGCAAGAGCAGTACACAGTTCAATCGGCACGCCGCAACAGATAGCATCCCCTCGCGACGCGCGCATGACTCCGCCGAATCCTATGTACCGGCAAACTTCGACACCGGGTATGGATACACTGGCAGGTAGGTACCCGCTTTCTTTGCTCCAGCGGCACAGCGCTGCAGTCAGCCCCAGTACGATGGAATTGCAGCGTCAGAGATGCTGGTAGAAAAAAGGACGTGGCGAGCGGCTGCGAAATGCCACTTCACAGGGCCTCTACTAACATCTTCCCAGACCTTGCCAGCATGCAACAACAACAAGCCGCGCGCCAGAACTCTGTAGTTCACCAACGGCCTGTCACGTAAGTTCATCATTCCTACCGAGTTAGTTTATATCTTGGCCCGCCCACGTCGTGAGACCGTGTCTGCACCTGCATATTTACAGGTAGCGCGCATTGTATTTTGTGGGGCGAGCAGTGACGTCCGGGTGTCGCGCTTGCCCGTGGTCACGGGTTTTGCCCGCTGCGCCAGCCTAGCTTTGTTACACAAACTCCACTACTAAACACTGACCATGTCCCAGCCTTCAACATCTTGGACAGAATCTTTCCGGTGAGTCTGTAGCCAGCATCATGTCCGAGGCTTCGCCGCGACCCCGCAACTTCATCACTCGCTCTTTGGACCAACAGCACATCGACTGGCTCAACCAACTGGACAAGACGCTGTTAGAAAATCCATTCGATTATTACAGCCATGTCTCGCTTGTCACTACGCTGCACCAGGGCCTCCAAAATCACCTTGCCTCGTTCGACGCGGACCCAAACGCATACGAGCTGGTGCAAACTCTGCGCGATGCCTACAAAACCATGTCTGACAAGTATCCGCTCGGTGAGCTGTTGTGGCATTACCGATTGAACGACGAGAAAACTCTGGCCAAGGACGTGGAGCAGCGTATGAGCGTGCTAGAATTGCACAAGCAAGCCACACAAGAGGAGCCTTACAGTGCAAAGCTTTGGGCAGCATACGGCGAGTATGTGAGCTACCTAGTCGCTTGCTCTTGGGATCAAATACCGCCAGAGGAGTGGTCTGAAGAGGAAAGGCTGATTGGTCGCGAGCTCTTCAAGCCTCAGTTACTACTGCACGCGCTACAAGAAGGTGCAGAGAGGGTCAAGTATAACCTTCAGGAAAGCAATCTTGTGTGGGACCGCTACCTACAAGTCCTGGAAGAAGATCTAGAGCGCGAAGGCTTCAGCCAAGAGAAGGCGAAACGAGTAGCCGCCATTTACAACGATCGCCTAGGTCAGCCACACGCAACATGGGCCAATACGCTCAGTAGATACTCGTCGTTCAACTCTCGCTACAATACGAGTCACTACGAGCAGGTGATGGACGAAGTGGTGAAGAACAACACACACATCAAACAGCAATATGCCAACCGCGAAGAATACGAGTTTAAACTTCTACAGGCCATCCAAGCGGGCGATCAAGCCGCCGAATACACCGCCATGACTCGCTATCTCAAATGGGAGAAGAGAACTATGGGCGTCTACAGCTTCCATCTTGTCAATGCACTCTATGAGCGAGCCACGCTTCGCTTCCCAGTCGATCCTTCAATATGGGAAGATCACGTCGAGTTTCTTATCTGGCAAGACAACCGATCGGTAGATCTGCTCAACGTCCTGGAGCGCGCGACCCGCCATTGTCCCTGGTCTGGATCACTCTGGTCCCACCGATTGCTAACGCTCGAATCGGAAAATAAACCATTCGAGGATCTTGAGCTTGTTAAACATACAGCTACTGGCTCTGGTCTCTTGGAACACACCGACTTGGATGAACTCATCAAGGTACAACTCGCCTGGTGTGGTTACTTACGGCGAAGAGCTTTTGACGACCCCAGAGCAACAGAAGATGATGTTGATGTAGCCGAGGTCGGAATCCGGTCTGCCCTAGAGTTTGTCCGAGAGGTTGGCATGAAGAAACATGGCAGGGAGTGGACGGACCCAAAGTACCGTCTTGAACGTGCTCACATGAAGTTTTGGCTCCAACGCGGTGAAATAGATCAAGCCCGTCAGATTCAGGAGTCCATCACACAGTACCAGGAAGACTCATACGACTTTTGGTATCGCTGCTACATCTTCGAGATGCTTCTGTGGGCGCCACATGCAACAAGGAACAACCAGAATGCAGGCCAGCCACTATTGCCACCGACTCAGGCTACCTCAATCTTGGAACGTGGCATGAAGCGCTTGCAAACGATCGATCACCCGGAGCTGCTTATCGACATGTACATCAGTCATTGCGAACAGCATGAGTCAGCGTTAAAAGTACGTAGCGCGACAATCGAGCGTCGACGAGCTGAGCGCATCGTATCTGTTCGGAGAGAGAAGGAACGAGCACTCGCGGCTGCTGCAGCTCCACCACAAGATACACCAGACAGCCAAGTTATGGAAAGCTCAGCAAAACGGAAACGGGAGGACGGCGATGAAGATGCGATGTTGAAGAAGAGCAAGACTGCGGGAATTGAAGAAGCTTCCCATTCCATCAACGGCCAGGCAAGAGGCGCGAGCGAAGCACCTTCGGAAGCTCGTTCTACTGGCCCGAAACGGGACCGCGAACACACGTCGGTCATCGTTAAGAAGTTACCACTCGATACCACACAAACTCGGATACGCCAATTCTTTACTGATGCGGGCACGGTCCGCAATTTAGTTATGAAAGAAGAGAAGGACAGTTTCACGGCTATCGTGGAATTTGAATCTCCCGAAGAAGCTGACTACGCTTTGAGTAAGGAGGCGAAAGGATTCGAAGGCCACAATATATCGATCGAGCGAGGCCAGAGCACGACGCTGTACGTTACGAACTACCCGGCGCATGCCGACGAAGCCTGGCTACGGAAGCTCTACAGCCCGTTTGGAGAGATCATCGGCATCCGCTTCCCATCGCTCAAGTTTGATGCCCACCGCCGGTTTTGCTACGTACAGTTCGCTTCAGCTGAACAGGCAGTTGCCGCATCACAACTGGATGGTACTGATGTCGAGGGCTTGAAGCTGACCTCGAAAATATCTGACCCCAACGCTAAGAAGAAACGTGATGGCGCTACTGCCGAGGGTCGTGAGGTCTATATATGGCATCTCAACTTCAAGGTCAAAGAGAGGGAAATCAGGGACGTTTTTTCCAAATTTGGCAAGATCGAGAGGACCAAGTGCCCAACCATCAGGTCTACCGGCAACAATCGTGGTTTCTGTTACGTCGTTTACGAGACTAAGGATAGCGCTGATGCTGCAGTGGCGGAGATGCATGAGAAGGAGTTCTGGGGCCTCAAGATCATGGTTGAGATCGCAAGTGATCGGCCTGCTACGAAGCCAAAGGTGCAGTCGACTTTAGAGAACCCGGAAAACTCAGCCGCTCGTGAAGTGACTCCCAGACAGAGCAACGCTGCTGCTGAAGCCACTGTCAAGCCTGCTTCTTTCATGGACCGGTCTATCGCGATCCTCAACTTACCCGATACCGTCCCCGACGTACGCATCAAGCCGCTTGTCGAGCAGTACGGCTTCAAGAAGATCAAGCTCGAACCTCACCATGGCGGTGCGATCATCGAATTCACGACTGTGGAGGGCGCCGGTAAGGCTCAATTCGCACTTGAGGGCAGGGACTTTGAGGGAAGGAAGCTTCGTATCGGAACAATTCACGACCTCAACAAGCAGAAGGGCGAGTGGAAGGCGAGCAACAGCTTTGTACAGCCGAACCGTGTCAATCGACCTACAGCTGCTCGTGGTGGACGAGGGCGTGGAAAACCTGGTCTTGGTCGGCCAACCATCCCCAAGGGTGCCACAACGACTAATGGCGAGCCGAAGAGTAACGCGGACTTTCGCGCGCAATTCTTGAAGGAGCCTACGAAGGAAGCAAACAGAGACAATGACAAAATGGAAGAGTAATGGCAGGGGATGGGAATACGGTCGCATATCAAGATCCAAACAGGACTTGATCGGTGTTTATCATGGAGCGGGTTTCAACTGCCTCTAGGGTTCTCTGCATACTTTGGCGTTGAGGATTGCTTTCTTACGGATCAAAGCCGATATGGTTGGCTTTCGATGTCCTCTTTCCTCTTAGTTTGGTGCTGCGCACCGTGTGTATGCAATATAATATAATGAGTGTCACAATACTCGCAAGAACAGCCTAGGTGCAGGTACAATTTGAGTGTGGATGTGAGTGAGGTAGAATACGTGGATATCATGCGCGGAGCTGAAATATCATCACCGTACACTGATGGATACCATCTAGACTATGGACAAGAGTGAAATGAACAGCAAGCTTGAGCGAGTGACGGTTTTGATTCATTCGTGTATGTCAACATGTCGCTATCATCCATTCAGGTCGAAGGCTTTCCGATAGACTAGTTGGAGAAAATGAGTGCATCTCCACCTCCACCTATCAAATCAAGCCACAGCAGAGGCAGCAGCGCCAATGACAGTCTTACCAGACATGGTCTCGAGACGTTTGAACCCACCATGCTGTTTAACACCCTCCTGCAGCTCCACCATCCTCTTCTGATCGCCAGTAGGGTCACCAGTTTCATCCTCAAGACCCCAAGCTAAGTACTCGTTCGTGTAGTTGGGCTTGAATGTGTTGTCCAACACACCAAGTCTCTTGCCGTAGCGGGTGACCTTGTCCCAGTCACGCTGGACATTCTGAAGATCGGGGCTAAAGTACGCGAAGCTGCGTTCAAAGATCTTACGGTTGGTCGGCGTATTCATAGTGGACTTGAAGCTGCAGAATTCCTCCCAGGCTTGGTCGGGAGACGCAAGAACGAAGTCAGTTGCGCGCTTGCACGCACGCAGAAAAGCACGTACTTTCTCTGGGTTGTGTTTGATAAAGTCGTTGTTTCCGATGTAGAGAATGCTGCAGAAGCAGCAGCAGCCGAGTTGTGCAAGCTCATCGATGCGGAGCATCTTCACTTCGTCGCGCGAGCGGTTCTGGCTAGCAAGCCACTCCTCAAGCTCAACCATCTGGACATTCTCGAGGCCTATGCCAGCATCGATTTCGCCAGTGATGATAGACCGTGTGACGTTCATGCCCACACGAATGGCTTGGTAGTCATCAGGTGACATACCGTAGTGCGCGGTGAGTTCATCGAGCTGGATTTTACCAAATTCTCCAACGTAGCCGATCTTCTTACCCTTGAGGGTTGTGAAGTCGGGGGTTATACCAGAAGAGGTCAAATACACAACACCGGTGAAGGGTTCGTTGAGCAGGGAACCGATTGACTGAACGGGGAAGCCACGAGCTGCGGCGGCGAGAGTATGGATCATGGCCTTGAAGCCAAGGTCGACCTTTCCAGATCCGATGATTTCCGTGACATCCTGATATGGTAAGTTCATGTTTTCGAAACGAGCAACATTGGCCGTACGCTTGGGTCGTTGGGCTCAAGAAGAGCGACCTTGACGCCTTCATCTTTGAAATATCCCTTGCTCTGGGCAAGATAGAGAGGAGCGTGGTATGGCGTAGCGTGCCTAATAACTGTCAGCATGCACCTCACTTGACTTAGATGCAAAGCGCACCAGTTGGTCAAGAAGGTAATCTTATCAGTCGACATCTTGACTTTGGTACAAATGCTGAGCTAGTCAGTACGCCAACATAGAGGGGAAAGGGTCATCAGGAAGCAGCAGTAGTCCTTCGCGCTGGAATTATCCAGATCAAGTTTAAACGGTATGATCTCAGAACAAGCAATCAATAACCAAGTCTCCTTGTGAGGAGTCTGGATCATCGAAGGCTTGAACACCCGCCATGCTTTGCTTCTGATGGTTGAGATGGGTACCTGATGATGCCATGTTGGGCACCTATTACTTGATCGTGACGAAATTCTCATATGCGAAGAGCAAGACCAGCGTGACCTTGCTGTGCTGGTTCGATGATAGCATCGTACCAAGTTGGTTTCGTGTCAGGGAGAGGTGTTGTAGTTCGGTTTTTGAGACAAAAGAGCAACAGAGGCGGCGACTGAAATTCACCATTTCTACCGGATACTTATAGTTCTGCTCCTCTCCTATCTGTTGAGAAGCAAGGTGGGTAAATTGCTCACTGCAGATGCATGGTGACGGGAGATAGCGGGGCAATGAGGGGTACACTTCCCGAGCACGTCAACACACCTCACAGAACCAAAACACACGCCTCCCCCATGCAAGACCAAACATCTTTATACCTGTTTCTATTCACTCAAATATATCCCTGAATTGTTCGAAAGTTGCAGTGCTAACACAGGCAGTCAATTTGGCCATATAAAACCATTTCCTTTAGGAACGTCCAATAGAACTAACTTTCTTAAGCGAACGGCATGCTTTATCGAGACACCCGGATGTAGTCGAATTGGATGCGTACGAAGAGTTTTGCGTCTAGCGGCACGCTATACATGCCTTGTCAAAGGATAATCAAGGATACAGACGGTGTACAAGACCTTGGTAATGACGATAGTCAGTATTGAAACATGCAACCAATGTCTCGTACAGTTGAGAGTGTGGGACGTGAAATGCAAAGAAGCGCGTTTGCGGGATAGCGGGGGGGTTATCAACGATTCGAAGCTTTCGACCATGATCTAAAGCAGTTTGCGGCAATTTGGACTGGTCAGAGATCACAACACCTTTAACCTCTCTTCCAACCAAGCCTCTAAACCTCGCCACATTGTACTTTCTCGCTCTCTGTGCTCCAAGTCTTTGCAAAATCGGCCCAATGCCTGGCACCTCTGCTTGACCCAAATTCTTTTCTCCTCTTCATGGCCACCGCTCAGCTCCCCAATGATAGCATGCGCAATCTTCGCCTCACAGACAGGACACAAAAACGGGGGCTGTCTTACGTCTTCCCTAATACTACCCGTCCCCTGCATATTACATGCATAATACACACAATGCGCGATGCCGAAACAATGACCTAATTCATGCGACACCGTTCGCGCAAGCCGTGAGAACCATAGCGCCTGGACTTCTTGCACCGGAGAGACAGGCTTGTATGCTGAGGCTAAGGCGACCGCAGCTGCCATTGCACTGTTCTTACTTAGGTCTTTTTGTTTCTTTGTTGCTGGCTTTGCTTCTACGTCTTCCGTAGCACACAAGTCATCTACAAATGTTTTGCAATGACTCCACGGCCACATATGATTTCTATCAATCTGCTCTCCTTGTCGTTTGTCCAGCATCGGGCTATACCGTGCAGTCTGAACAACAGCCACTCTACTTCCTCCATATGCTCTGCCACAACAAAAGTCATCATCTTCAGACTCGTAGATGTCATGATCGACCAAGATAACCAGAGCATAGGCGTCAACAGGGAGGATCGATATAGCCACATCAAGAATATCGTCTAGGTTGAGTTGAGCGGGAAAAGCAGAATCTGGCGGGGGGCGGACGCGGATCCTCGTACATCGATCTTCGCTATCGAGAAGACCAACATACTTTGGCAGTGCGGCACTTCGGTAACGGCTGGAGGGTTTGGAACTAGAACCCCATTGTGTCCAGGTCAAGGGCGTGGGTAGGAGGCGAACGGGCATATTGTGGTAGAAGGCGGCAAGGTAATCAACGGAGAGGTCTGCAGATGGAGGTGGCTCTGCTTCTTGTCGATCCTCTGATGCTCCAAGACCAGTTGGTATTACCCAGTCTCTCATGAATTCCACCTTCTTACTGATCTTGGGTACTTGTGCCACATATAGTGTATCCCTTCCAGTTGTCGATAATAGTCTATTCCTGGTTTCCGCATTCAGCCACTCTTTGGTAGTTTGAGGCTCACTGTCCGGATCGTAGTTCAGATCATCATGCGGTAGAACAAGAGGACCGGGAAAGGTTCCTATCGAGTAATCCTTGCCCTTCTTCGGTGCTCGCCCAGATGTCGTTTCTGCTGCTGCACGTGCCGCGGCATCTGGTTGTTCATATCCTGCTAATTCTGCAAAGGGTGAGGGCTCCAAATGCAGGATGGCATGTTTACATGTCATAGTGAGTGTCGGATGTTATGAACGGAGGGGAGCAAAAAGGAGCTGAGAAAGGGATAGAAGATGTTGCCTAAGAGGGGGCTGAATGTCGCGAACGCTAGTCCGACACAGGCAAGGTTCGCGATTCATGTCTGTACCAAGCTGCTCATCGATGCGCCCTACTCCTGCTGTCTTTTCGTCATGTGCAGTCCATTCATTCTATTCCTTGTGCGCATCCAATCGGCACATCTACCACAGCCGATCATTTCTGCCCCAGTATAGCAAGCTCCCTCCAATCGCCAAGCTGTTGAAAACACCAACGTAATGACCTGCAATCTTGTCTTTTGTTCCATACGCGCTGACAATTACCGAATCCGCGACAGTTGCAACTAATCCTGCCATTACTGCGACACCTAAACTCCTCCTGTCTCGCAGCACCAGCCCGAAAACTGCCAGAAGAACGCCATTTTGAACATTGCGTGCTGCTATAGCCGCGATCAGAGCTTGTTTTGTCTTCTGATCTTCTTCGTACGTGTTTTGATTGTTGCTGGAACGTTTTGCGGATGCAGGTGACGTGTCGGACTCGCGTGAAATGGGCAGACCGTAGCCATCTGCGAAGAAGGAAGGATCACGTAGGCCTATTATACCAAACGGCACAATTTCGAGGGTTGCGATGAAAAGCGCAAGACATTCTGCTGGTGGAGGTAGGTGGTGGAAGAGGTTGCGGACTTGGGTCGTCATGGTAGGCAATCGAGTTGATAACCACGATAGTTTTGCTTAAAGTAGTACCACTGCAGAGCTTTGGATGCGAAAAGAGACATGATGCGGTCTTATAGACGTAGTCGAATCAATGCAGGAGACACGTACAGTAGGTGTAAGTAGACCTCCTTCAACTTCTATTGGCTAACATAGTTCGGACTTCGGATGCGGGGATCGCAGGGCTGAAATCGTCGCCCTTTCCCCAACCAGCTTTCGAATCCAATACTCATTGCATCTTATGCATCTTTTCAAGAGAAACAAAAGGCGAGTAATGCTCCCATCTCTATTAGTGTGTCGTAACAAAGGCCTGCTGATGTATGACTACAGCGAGGACGCGTCCGTTGATGACTGCTACGTTATCCCTTAGGTACGGCAAGCGCATCAGAACATTGCCATCACATATGCAGACTCCAAAGATGTACCCGTGGGCCCAAAGACAATAAACTTTCTGGAACGAGATAGTAGACAGGCATATCAGGGTCCTTTGAGACAACCTTGGAAGGATATCACCTTACTGGAAAGATAGCCTTGGATTGCAGCCAGTAGTTCACACCGCAGGTGGCATGTGTACAGTAGTACTCTGTCCTTCAGTAGAAGCTAGAAGTCTGATCGGATTCAGAGATCCTTTGAGACTGAGCCATGTCGTAACCCTGACTGGGTAGTCACATGGCAGCTGCGTCTCTCCATTTTGTCGTCATATTAGAAAACTGTCATCTAAGATGACAGTGTAGGCACCCGCATCGTTGCCGTACTTTGTCTATGAAAGGTAGCGATTGGTGAATGTGGTGCAATGTGCATCTGCTTGTCTAGTGAAACTCAGGTGGGCTTCTGAAGGTTTGATCACCCCTACTCTCTAAGGGATCTTGTTCGTGTGGCGCACTTTCCTTCCCTTCACTCGCCTCGACGCCACGAAAAAGTCGAAGTCGCACACTTCTACATTTACACGTACTCCAATTTTGCTAGTCGCACGCTTCCCAATACATGAACAGTCTCCCCTCTTCTTCTCACGCTCCACAGACACTCGCTTCTCAACTCTTCTGTTAGGGCCCACACTTCGTCAACGCCAGAGCAGCCCCGCGACTCTCGTCACTTGTGCCTTGTTTTGACAATCTAACTTTCAGAAAGCCATCTTTGCTCTCTCACCTGTCTGACAACACTTGTGAACTACAGTTCAACGACCCCCCTCCTTCCACCCCCGAGCGAACGCGAAAGATGACGACAGCTCCTTCCTTCTGGGCTGCTGGCAATAACAAGATCAAGTCTGCCGAGTCTCCGAATCCTAAAATTGCAGAGGCGCCACCGAAGCCCAAACCAGGCCCTCAGCAGAAGAAGGGTTTCGTGCTCAAGGGCATTTCCAATGGGCACATCACAAGTGACTTCTCTGCAAAGCCCGCTGTAGTCACCGATAGCAGAAAGGCCGACTGGGCTGATGATGACGACGACAATAGCTTCATCGCGGAGTTTATGAGCCAGGACCCGAAGGTCGCCGCACTCGAGACCACCGTCGCTCTGAAACAGGAGCGCGTGAAAGAACTAGAGGCGGTGGTAATCACGAAGACTCTTCGAGTTGCAGAGTTGGAAGGTGCGGTTCAAGATAAGGACCATCATATTAGTGACCTAGACGCGGAGGTCCAAGAGAAGGACAGCAAGATCAGATTACTCAAGAAAGAGAACAGCGATCGACTCCTTCAGAACCAAAAGCTTCTGTGCGAGGCTGACGAGAAGGACAGTCAGATCAGGAAGCTGGAAGTTGAGCTGAAGAAGAAGGCTGTGACCGTTCGCAGCCTTGAGCAGGAGTCAGCTGCGCTTGTCCCTGTGCCAACAAACGATGCTGAGTCGATCACCGAAGACGAACTTGAGGACAGAGAATTAGAAATCACCAAGACAGATGAGACTGAAGGCATTACTGAGGCGGAAAACGAAGTCGATGAGACCTTCTCTGAGGCTTCGGATAGTTTCGAGATCGTTGATCCCCCCAGGGATGAGGAGACTAGAAAGATCAAGGAGCAGGAGACTGAAGCGACCACTACTGGAGAGTCCGTTGACACTGTTTCAACGAAGAAGAGTTGTGGCCCTTCGTTCGGCGACTCTGAATTCCCGACATTCGTGACGAAGAACATGCTGAAAATCGTTCCGCCAGCCCCGAAGCCCAAGACCTTGACCTTTCCTATAGATATGTCTAAGTATGGGAAGAAGTCCACCGCACCACCTATCACGAAGAGTGTACGTCCATCATCAACTATGATCGAGAAGAACGGTCACACGACACCCTGGGGCCAATCTTCCAAGCAGGCACGCGACAAGACCGGCGCCATGCCCGAGTTCAACTACTCGGCTGACATCCGTCACATGCCGCACAGCAAGCGCATGCTCTTTGGCAACGGTCCTGAAGTTGTTGTTAAGCTCGGTGATGTCAAGCTGGCTACTGTCACCAAGTACGTCTTGATGCAGTGCTCGTTCAAGGCTCTTGAGTACTTCACCAGACTACCTGAAGCCACCTCCTGGATCCTTCCCGCCGACTCGATGGACGTAGACTCTGCAAGGGCGCACCTCAATTGGATGGATGAGATGACCTACCAGAGCAGGATCTACTCTTTGAAGTTCCAGACTGAGCATGTCCATGACAAGAAGAACCTCAAGATTTGCCACGCTGCCCGTGTTCTAGGACTCAACAACATGTACGTTGCCCAGTTCACTAAGCAGTTCTGTGACCGTATCCGCGCTGAGGATGTATCGCCCGAGTTCATGGATCTTGTCTGCCAATTAGCTTACCCGGAGAATGACCCAATCTTTGACTGTCTAGCCAACAACTTGGTTAATCGAAAGAAGGTTGGGAATGACAAGGGCGCGGCAGAATTGGAGAAGCTGGTAGCCAAGCACGCACTTCTAAAACACAAGGTCGAGAAGATCGAAAAGCGTTTGACTGGTCGTCCACGCAAAACTTGGATGTCTCCCGAAGGCAGTGCGCGCTGTGGTAGTCACGACCGCAGCAGCAGAAAGGGCCGCAAAGGTGGTGACGTCGGAAAGTCTTTGCCGAATGTTGTACAGCCTGCGCCTGGCAACGAGCCGATTGCCCCAGCGGCTGAGGAGGCGCTATTCACCATCCTCCAGTAGACTAACACTGTGGTATGACACCATACTTCCGAGGGATGGCTGGAGCATGCTAGAAAAGAGAAGACGGTCTAATGACTTTCACGACGTTGGTACAGTCCAAATGCGTTCGAGCGGGAGCTTTGTCCAGGTTGTAGGTCTTTGTATCTACAGCAAAAATGGAGATATAGATCGACAACTTGTTTCATTGATAGAGTGGTATACATCTCTGGACATTTGAGGTCTGGAGACATGTTCGACGCAATCGACGAGTGTCAGGTAGCATAGTTTATAATGCCATCGATGAAATCAACAAACACCTCACATGTACAACTGAATCATCAGGAAGAGTCTGTGGAAGCGTTTGGTTGGGAGTCTGCTTTTTTTTTGCCAGCCTTTCGCAATCAGACGGATGCATCTAGCATCTACATTCCACACCTTTTCGACTGACACATAGATACTTGACACCCTTGTACGGAGTTACACCACTACCCAGACCTTTACTCTTTCTTTGGTCCACGTTCAAGCTCTCCACGCGTATTCCACTCGGCAACCAACCTTTGACGGAAAAGCTGATGGTCGCACAGCTTGGCATGAGTACTTTGTTTGCCTGCTTGATCTTGGCGTCACTATCCGGCCTCGGCGCGTTAGAAGACGAGGCCGCAGGCAAAGATATCTGTGTATTCTGGTCGTCATCATAATCGTATGTTGATGTTGCAAACGAAACCGGTCCACTGGCATCCAAAGCATCCTCCGCAGATGGGTCATCCTGGCCAACAACAGTCCCACGTAGCGTGGCTGTGGCTCCAATTCCTCCGCCCCGGTCTTGAGACATGAGGCTGCTTATCTCACGGCTACTTATACGCCATTCTATTGCCCTGTCGCCAGGGGCGTAGCCTGCATCTCCTGTTCCGCGTGCGAGACGAAGATCAGAGACGTTTCTGACAGACGCTGGAAGAGGAATGTGAATGGTCATTTCCTCGATAGCAGGAGCAGACGTCGTTCCTGTGGAGGATGTGCGGCTCAGGCTAGCCTTTGCGGCGCTGGGCTGAGAGGGTTTGTTTCCGCTGAAGCGTGGGTTGAGTTGGAGTTTGACCTCGAAGTCTGTGCCGCTTGGCCCAAGGGAGGGGGTAACGGATACTGTAGCAGGTATGTTGAGTTTTGGATTCGCATTCTTGGCGCTCTTCTCGGTAGAAAAGGCATCCAATGCTGCGGAACCTAGTAGATCGACTTCGTATCCAGCGAGCACGAAGCGACCATCTGGCGGGACGAATGACAGTTCACCCGGTCTCGCTTTCCATTGATTGAGCCTGACGCAAGGGTGGAAAACGGGGAGCGAGACAGCATTTTGTATGCCACCTGCGCATCCCAAGTGTAGTATGAGATCTGGAATTCCCGAGACCTTGGCAGTGAAAGCGATGGTACCATTTGCCACTGCAGCCAAAGGACGGCCAGATGGCGACATGGTGACTTGGAGTGTTTCCACAATGTCCACATACATCTCATTACTCGTGTGCCTGACATTGGCCCTTCTCCACGGTACCGGTGAGCCTGTCTGACTTGAGGCTGGCGAGGGACCCAATCGCGGACTCGGTCTTCCACCCCCTAGACCAAATGCTCCAGCAGAAGATGGTGTGAGCGAGCTTGGTGTTGAAGATGGCAATCCAACCCCTCCTAGAAGGCTCTTGAGTAGATTCGGAGCTTCGACGACGTCTCTCAGTGCGTTGGGCTCTGTGTTGGCGATGATGCCGCCATCGACCATCTCACTAAGTAGTTGTGCGACGACATCATAGTTTCCTTCGATCTTGCTCGCTAGCAGTGGCGAACCCAGGAAGTCCTCAAGTACGTCGGTGAGGCGGTGGAGGAGGGTGAGAACGGCCAGAGGGTCGGTATCAGCTGATGCCGGGCACAGGAACAGAAGCTGGTCTTGTATTATGCTGTATAGCAGCGTCGGTGGGTTGGTGTTGGGCAGGTATATTAGCGGGGGTCTTGGGGCGGGATGCGCGAGGTAGAGAGGCAGTAGGACAGAAGATGGCGGTGGGCGATTGAGGTACGTGTGTTCGAGGAGCGGGGTGCTAGCGACATTAGCGATGAAACACGTGATGACTGCAGCAGCGTGATCCTACTTGTGCTCATCGAAGATGTAGAGAGCTTCTATTGCGCTCATGGTGTGAGGGTGTCAGCTGCGAGCCATGCGCGTGCGAGGACGTGAGGTTCGCGTCGTGGGGCAGTTTTGGCGGGGAGCTTCCGGGGCTAGACGATCCCTGCATGGCGGCGGCTAGAGCCATGTCGTCCAAACTTGTCGTCGCAAGGCCTTTATACGATACAGTCAGGGTCTTGGTTACATCTCTAGGACACGTCTCGGCAGTGACGGCAATGGCACTGCAACCGCCATCTCCTCCGACCTTTCAAGAAGCCCTCAAGAATGACAGAGCGCAATTCGAGGATTGCACGCCCTGCCGCATAGTTGGTACTGCCCTCTCTCGTCGATAGGAGCTACCTGACCCAGTATTAATACACACACACACAGGAAGCGCAACCTTCCTTGGCCTCGGCGCCTTTACCTATGTCTCGGGTCATTCGCAAATCAAGGCCAATGAAGCGGCGATACGAGCCAGCAAAAGCATGTTCGGCATGAGGAGCAGAGGTATCGCTATAACGGGGACAAGCGCTGTCATGGTGGGCCTGGGAGTCTATCGGTGGTTCTCATGACAGGACGACTGCAGCATGAACTAGATGAGGCACAGCATGTAACGTGTTGGAATTCCACAGAACAAAAAGAGAACTGAGGACCTAGAACAATATTATTGATACCGTCTCCTTCACAAAAAAAAAAGCTCTCTCTTGCTATCTACTTGCACACCACTAAATGATGTCCCGCCCCATAGAAAAGGAAAAGAAAGGTATATAGATCCAAAAGCAATGAACACCACAGGATGCGTCTATTAAGCCTCGCCCAATGCGTATGAAAAATGATGCACTAGCCCTATATGCGCCGTCTGGGGTATGATGCAGGTAGTCGTGATTCGTCGAAGCGTCGTTGGTGTCTTGCGTGCTATGACATGCGTCCGCGCTTGGGTCCGCCGCCTGACGAGCCGTCTCGTCGGTCATTGGAGCCATCGACGTTGAAGAAGTCGTTCATCAGTCGTCTCTTTTGGCCTGCGCCTGTGCCTAGCTGGAAGAGGTTCTGAGCGGCGGATCGTTGGAGGTTCCGGGTCGACGAGCGGTTCGAGGGACGGCGGGGCGCAGAGAAGGCACGGCGAGCGGCAGCTGACATGTCGGCCGAGGCGGTTTCGTTTGGTGGTTCGGACGGGAAGGCTTGGGCGGCAGAGAATTCGAAGACGTGGTGTAGTGGCGACATGTCAGCCTCTGTGGTGGAGGCTTCCATGTGAAGGGGAGCCGCCGAGTCGCATCGTTGCTCGGTAGCCGTTGGCGGGTCCAGCGTGCGGTCCATGATGGGCGAGGAGCTCCTGGCACGGTTGCTGTCGAGGTACTCTTCGTCGCTGTCGCTGCTCGACTGCTTGGGCAGGCTTCCATCCAGCCGCTCCGTCGCCCACTGCCGTATCCGCCAGCCCTCTCCGTCGCCCAGGCCCATCTTCTCCTTGTCCAGAAACGCGAGCAGGTCGTCGAGAGCTTCTTGGTAGCCGTCGGTGCGCGCCCTGTCGACGTCGGCAAGCGCCGACTTGTATAGGTTGGTGACGTTCAACGCCGCGGTCCGGAACGACTGGTGCACATCGGGCTGCCGTCTTGTCTTGGGCAGTGACTTGTTGAGGCTGCGCATCGAATCCATGGCGTCTTCAGCACACGCACGCGAATGCAGCCGCGATGGAGAATGCAAAGTACGAGAGAGTGAAGTGGTGCGGGAACAAAGACAGACGACGAGGCTGTTTACTTGCACGAAGCGTCGCTTCCGTCGTTGTAGCTGAGGTCGTGGGCCGCTGCGGGGGGCCAGCGCTGTCATGATTCTTACCAGTGGTTCCTGGCCCGTGCGCTCATTGCATGTGCCACCTCACATCACATCACATCTGTCCATCGCTCTCCATCACCATGTCGTTATGACTTCACAGTTAGAACGTCTCCCTGTGGAGCTGTTCGAGCTCGTTGCTGCCAGTCTAGAACTACTGTCCTGCAAGAACCTCCGTCAGACTTCCCAGAGGCTGCGTTTCCTCATTCATCCACTCTTTGTAGAATGCGCCTTCTCCCGACTAAAGACTACTCTCGGCTCACCCTCGCTGAGTCGTCTCGTCAGTGTTTCACGGTGTGAAAATCTTCGGGGTGCTGTCAAAGTCCTGCAGATCCAACTTCTGACCTCCAGTGACTATCACACGCTCACTGCCATCAGCCGCGTGGGCAGATTCCCTCCACCCAAACGATTTCCTAGGGTGCCTGGTATCCAAGACAGACATGTCCACGACGAGGCAACTACGTTGAAATATGTTCTGGAAAGCAAATATCCGACACGGCTCTACGATAGCCTTGTCAAAGCGTTGCGAGGCTTCACCAACTTGGAGGCTGTTCACTTTTATCCGAGAAATGACCAGCCGGCTGCATGCCGCCGCCTCATCTCAGAAGACGACCGCTTGTTTCGTAGCAGGTGCTTCCAAGTTGTCGTCGATGCTATCGTCCAGGCCCATGTTCGTCTGCTCGAATTTCGCATGGCTAAATGCAGACGTGGAACCGCTCTACACAAAGAAGCCACCCTACCATTTTCGGTGCTCAATGTACCCGCACAATCTCTTCATGCGTTGTGTCATCGCTTTTCGCATCTCCACACTCTCACAATCTCTGTCTTGACCGTCTACGACGACGTTTCTCAGGTACCTGGCTGGCAGAAATTGATCGCAAGCATTGTTGCCACAGCACCAAAGCTGAGAAACCTGACTTTGAGTCTAGACCGCAGTGCTTATGTCGCATCTGCATTCCGAAGCTTAGCCTCTTCCTGCACATGTCCCAATCTCCAAGTGTTCCAACTCATGTTCTGCGCGTTGCACGCAGACGATCTAGCTTCCATGATCAGCAGTCATTCAGCCACGCTACGACGAGCCCTCTTCTCTGATCTTCGTCTCGTTACCGGTACTTGGTCGTCGATATTACACGCTCTAAAAGAATGCAAAAAGCTTGAACATCTACGGCTGAGCTCGTTGTCTGAAGAAAACCACCCAATTCAACGCTTAGACGTACGACGGGAGAATCGTGACATGGCCGGTATGTTGGAAGAAATCATCGCCATTTATGATACCCCAGCAGATACTCTAGCCCCTGAGAACAGCAGCTCCGTTGGTCCCCATCATGTCGTGGACTTGTCGGTCAACCTGCGCGAACGGCTCAATACCACGGTACCCAGTGGATGAACAATTCATCTATGATTGCCAGCGCACACTCTATCACTTGCTCTTTGTTGTTTGTCAAGACGTGATTGAGAATATCAACCGAGGGATTCACGGTGTTATTCAGTCAAAGGCCGATCTTCGTCTATTCTTCAACAACTTCAGGCCAATTCCGTGGACGTCACCAAGTGAGACCCGCTGATATGCCTATCGCTCCATCGTTGAGTGCTTATCGACTTTACCATTTACGACCGTCATGTGGGCTCGGCTCCTCTCTTCGCTCCGATGACCCAAATTTCTTGGCACATCTGGGAACGAGTTGTTGAAGAAGACCGTCGAGACCATGGAGAGAGAGATAGGTTCCAAGATCGAAGATATCGAGAGAGCTCATGTGATTAGAGACGCCAGAGAGACGAATGTCGAAACAAGCATCATCAAAGTAGACACGAGCGATTGGCAGATTTTCCTGTCGCAAATGGAGGCGGAGCACCCCCCCCCCCAAAAGATAGAAGATAGCTCACGGAGTGGACAGTGCGTAGTAAGAAGATAGCTGGAATGGACACTGAGCTGGTTTATATGACACGGATACTTTGCACAGGCCACTTGGCATAAGACTGAGGGTTAAGCTCCGAACATCTGAGTTCATTTTCAATCGTCTTCGTGGGCTGACATTTAAGCCTGACAGGCAATGCGATGGTGTCAATCATCCTTGGATGACTGTACGTGCATATTTCACGATGATCTCGACCAATGAACACTAGAAAAAGAAGCATAGAGCAACTTGACAATTCACACATGCAGCGTGACTTTCCATGTCTTTCAAAGACACCGCACACGCAAAATGGCAATCTCCTTTCGAACAGTTCACTCCACATCTTCTCCACTCGTTCAATAAGTTGAGAACCGGTGAATTTCGACAGACTAATGCAAAATGCTACAGATATGGCTATTCTCCACAACGCCACTGCAACGACGCGAAAGCTTGATTTGACACGGATCTGCATCGCTTCCATAATTCCGTCCAGTCACGCATGCATGCTAGATTCAGCGATTGCCTGCATTGCATCGGAGAGTGGGTAGTGGGGTAGCGCTGACCGGAACACCAAGGCGTTGCCGGCGCCGCATCTGGCCTGCATCTGGCCTGCATCTGGCCTGCATCTGGCTGGTGTCTGCGCAGGTGGCACAGTACCAAGCTCTGGGGAACCAGCTACTCGATTTCCTGGGTCTGGTTATATTGCTTTGCATGAAGGGTTAGGGTCTGCATCACGCCATGTACTTGCTGTTTGAAACGTCAGTCTAATTAAGGAAGCATGAACAGCGGACCCTGACATCTTGGAAACCATTGAAACTTTCATGGAATCTCATGCCTAGACGGCGACAACCCTCAGTCTTGACCTCGCCCATGCACAGTCTCACCACACTCACACGACACGACAAAATCAAGTCGGCTCTCCATGCTGAGGTCCGAGCAAACTCTGCGACTGCTGTGCTGCTTCTGGAAACGAGTTGTGGATCATCCCTGCGTCGATGCTGTCGATCTCACGTCGGGCATTTTGACCTCCGACAGCAACTCAGCAAACAGTCAAGATCAGCGTTCCACGACCGCCAAAGTTCAAGCCACTTGTCAGCGCGACCGCTGAACATAAGCCTCGTAGCGCCTGTCAGGGTCTGAGACTTGCTCTAGCTCAATAGTAGCGACTACAAACGTGCCACGATGCGCGATACTAGACGACAAATCGCATCAAGCGCCAGCCTGTCAACGGTTTACTCCATCCAAACCCGCCAATGCCGTGGGCCGGAATGGTCAGAAGGTGAAAGTGGGTATAGGCTGGATCCGGTCAGAATGGGAATAAGGGATGCATATGGATGAGCAATTGCGGAGTTTAGGTGGGTAAGATCGCTGTTTAGTGTAATCGATTTTTCGACAGTTTGCACGGAACCGTCAGTGTGGCTATCATGGCCATCGTTCTAACCGCAATTTAGCTCAACTCCCATCAGATCGTTGAGCGGCCAACGTTGGATTTTGAAGTATATATTTCTTTCAAGTTTCTCACGTTTCCCAGCTTTTGGTTTTGTAGGTTTCAACAGTCAGTCTCAACAGTCAGTCTCGGTTTCGTCATTCTTTCTTTTGAGCTGAACAGCCTTGCGCATATATCATTGGAGTTCATCGTCAATATCTTCGGGGTTTGCCAGTCTTCGACACAAGACTACATAGAGCAAATCTCACCACTGCACCAACATGCGTTCCTTCGCCCTCATCCTCATTGCCCTGGCGGCATCGTCAACTTCGGCCTTCGATATCTGGCCTCGCTCAGCATCCAAATGCCCGTCCGTGTGGTCGGATGTCGCCTCCGAACTTCAGTCTGACTTTGCTGGCTGTGGTGCTGATGCTCACGGAGCCATCCGCGCGCCCTTCCATGATTGCATCAACAACGGCTGTGACGGTAGTCTGATCCTCACGGACGAATGCTCGAGATCCGAAAACGCCGGCCTCTCTGCTATTTGCAAGAAGCTAAAAGGTTGGAGCGATAAGTACAACGTCACTGCAGCCGACATGATACAATTTGCCGCAGCAACAGCAATCTCTGCGTGTCCACTTGGCCCTAGGGTTCAAGCATTGGTCGGCCGCAAGGACAGCTCCAAGGCCGCACCCGTTGGGAGTGTACCAAGCAGCCGGGGTACCCTCATCAGCATCTTGGGAGCGTTCGGTGCGAAAGGTTTCTCGGCCGATGATGTTGTTGCACTCATGGGCACGCATAGTGTAGCACTACAGTTCAACGACGACCCATCACAAGCTGGCAAGAGTCTGGACTCGACACCTAGCACGTACGACAATACCTTCTACAAGGAGACCAAGGATGGCACGGCGCCATACAGTCTGCAAAGCGATGTACTTCTCTCCAACTCGTCTCAGGTATGTTTTGACCATGACTTATCCTTGCCTCTAACATGATACTGATTATCTCTGCAGACAGCAAAGACATGGTCTTCTTTCGCCGATGACGCCGATGCCTGGTCCAGCGCTTTCACAGGAGCGTGGAACCGGTTTGCTGTGATTGGGAGTGATGCGAGTAAGCTCCAAGATTGCTCGAGCCTGATTCCTAGTAGCAGTGCAAGCAAGAAGAGGCAGGCTTTCAATGCAAGGTTCACGAAGATGATGAGTGCGAAGTTCAGGGTGTGAGTCACACAAGAGAAGGCATTACGAAGCCATGATAACGACTTGGATGGCATGGTGTTTGGGAGTCAGACCACGAAATGGTCCTAGATTTTGTTTTACATGGGCGCTTTCAGGCAACGTGACAGCATGTTGCGCAAGGATTCGCACACTTCAAATATCCCTCATGTTCACTTGAATCACGCCGCTTTTCCACCTAAACTCAGCAATCATCTCTGACGTCGAAACCCTTCGTCGGAGAGAACCTGACGAACATGGCTTTAAAACACGATCTTTGGAAGTACAAGGGTTCTCGGTCATTCTCAAACTGTTTACGTAACTGCCTCATAATGCAGCTTACTTTTTCCTGTCATGATTGTGCATGTCTTCTCCTCGCCACCATGTCCACGATTCACTAGGGCTTTGGCATCGACCTCACTTATGATCAAAGTTATGCCAGGTTTAACTTTGCACAATATGCATAAGCTTCACAAGCTGGTCGACATCACTACGGACGACTAGGGCGTAAGACTCCATCAATCTGACTACTGATTCTATACTGGACTTTCAGCGGAATAACCTGGAGAATCAACTAAGCACCGTTTTGGATTGCTTCCGTTTCTCACATACTTGTTAGTTGCTACCGGAAGCTAGATTCAGACAATGTGTCGCGGATCTGAAGCAATCTGACTAAGCATTCGTACTCATATGGTATCTGCCAGCGAGGAATGCAATACTTATTTGCCTACCTCACTCACCACATTCATCACGTGCTGACAGAGTCCTGGTAATACAGGCAATGTCGAGTGAGCAACAGAGGCGATGATGGACTACGAAGATTTAAATATTGATACGATGAAGAGTTGAGTGTCAAGGTGGATGAATAAATATGTCAAGCACGCTCGAGAATACTAAGACGGCCACTGAGCGCTTTAGCGTGTTCGATCATGAACGATGCAGATTTTATGGAATTCGTTGCAGAGAGGATTCATCCCTCCTGGACAAACCACCAATAGCCATCATGATTTAGGTCATGATAAATCACGAATCGAAAAACTAAATGTGAAGTGGACAAGTATCATTCCAGAAAATATCGCTACAAGAATCGAAGTTCCCCTTCTAGGAGAAGTATATATACAAATGAATCATCGCATAAGATGCGGAATCGTTTACTGAAGGGCCTCAATCATACGGCGGATCTTGGCAGCAGACTCGCTACCAGCCTCCTGCTCAAGGAAAGCAATGAAGGTCTCGAGGGTGTATGTCTTCTCGCCAGCACCGGCAGTAGGTGGAGAGGAAGCAGCAGGCTTTGAGGGCTCAGTAGCGACGGGTGCTACAGAGGTAGGCTTAGCCTCGGCGGCAGCGGCGGAAGTAGGCTTAGCGGCAGAGGGCTTAGGGGCTTCAGCGGAAGGCTTGGGGGCCTCTGCGGTGGGTTTAGGAGACACGGCAGTGGCAGTAGGCTTGGAAGCAGCAGCGGAGGAAGGCATAGGACCCTTGGAAGGACCGGGCTTGGTAGCCTCAGGCTTGACGCACTGAGAGTACCATGGGTTCCAGTCCTTGCACTCAAGACCCTCAGCACACTCGCCGGTACCCTTGAAGCCCTGGCCACCGCACTGGTAGTACTCCTTGATGGGACCGGAAGCTTCGGCGGTCTGGGTAGGACGGACGGCGGTAAGCATGGTTGTGGGAGCAACGACAACGCTGGAAGTGACGACGGGAGATGCGGTGCCGGGAAGCATAGAGGTGCTGTTTGCTACGGGGAAGGGAGCAACAACGCTGGAGACCTCAGGAGTAGGGGTAGAGACAACCTCAGACTCGACAGGGGCAGCCGCGGACGAAACGGCGACAGAGGTGACAGCTGCGGAGCTCTCAACAGCAGAAGACACCTCAACTGGTGCAGCGGAAGAAGGCTCAGCCTCAACAGCGGCGCTGCTGGTAGCAGGAGCAGCAGTAGAAGAGACAGCGACGGAAACCGGAGTGGAAGCAGCGGGGGTCTCAGCGGCACCACCAGTAGCGGTGGCAGCAGGGGCACCAGCGAGCTCGCCGAAAGTGAGGAGCTGAGGGGTGGCCTCAGTACCGCCGGCGATCAGCTCAGGGCCAGGGGCGGGGTATGAGTCGAGGTCGGCGTGAATTGAGAAACCAAGACCGGGGCCAGTCTTTGAGTATGCCTCAGGGAAGGTGACACCCTTGGGCTCGAGAGTCCCGCTACCAGTGACAGTGAGCTGGTAGCAAGTCATGTAGTGCTGAGCACCACCGGCTGGGCCTGCAGCGTGTAGGGCGATTGCCTCAGCACGGAGAAGGTAGTCACCAGGAGCGATGTTCTTGGGAATGGTGAAATCGAGCTTTCCGCCTGCAGAGATATTAGACGGGCCACTAGAGTTATGCATATTTGTACGTACAGTTGTAGTTGAGGTCCTTTGTACCCCAGAAGTCGTTGTCGCCTTGGGTGGCATCTGGGTTCTTAGCCCAGGTGTTCTGGTAGACCTTGAAGAACTCGCTGGAACCGTCGGCGGTGGCTGCGTCCTCAACCTTGGACATGTATGCGAGAACAGGACCCCAGTGAGCACCACCGAGGCCTTCCTCTTTGCAGTCACGGGTGTTGTGCTGATGCATCTCGATGGTTACTGTGTCACCGGCCTCGAAGTCGCACTTTCCCTCAGCGGGAGCGGGGCTGACGTTGCCTGTACTATTGTTAGTATTCATGAACGACAGAGTTTACAGGAGACTGACATTGGAGAGCATTGCTGGTGTAATCCTCGACGGGGCTGTTGGAAGGTGGCAACCTGGCACAAGTGCTCTCGAGATCCTTTCCGTTCTTCCAGAGTTGTTGGAAAGTGGCGTGGGCGTTTGCAAGCGCCAAGATGGCAGGGATGACAGCTACGGACTTCATAGTGTATGTTGATGCGAGTAGTGATGTTTGGAATGAATGACTAGTCAAATATGACAAAAGAGTGACTGAAAGAGCAAAAGAACGAATGAATGACGAAGTCTCGTAGTGAAAGAATGTCCAGCGCAGCTGCGTTACTGTTTCAAAAGCTGGCGGGCTCCAAGACTTATATCCTCCTCCAGCACAGGAGATGAGTTAAGCCGTGATGCCGAGGGATATGTGGCACGCTGCATAGTTAGCCGTTTCGTTTACCACCGGTCCAATCTCGAACCTAACGCCAGGGCACTATGTGTCTGCAGCCACAGGCGGATAGATGAACGAAGGATGGGGTCCTATGCCACGAACAGAAGTCTTGGGAACCAGAACCAGGTCCATGGGTCAAGTCGAAAAGTGACAGGTTTGACGTGCGGGGCGCTGATTGGTGGATATGTACGGTGCCTGGAGTTCGAGCCGAGTATGGCTTAGTGCTGTTTTGACCTATGACAAGGCGAGATTCCTTTGCATTGCAGGGGCTCTTAGCCATCCTTCGCAAATTGTTGGTGATGCCATCCAACACAAGTGATTGCAGTGCATATCGATGCGTCTATCTTGGTGTTTTCTCTCTGCTAGAACAGTGCTGGTACGACTTGTAAGACATGAATTGCAACGACTATTCGAATGTATTGGGCCTGGCGGCAGCTCTGTCTCGGAGATGATTGTGTGACGGCGCAAAGCTGCAAATTCTATTGATGGCATCCTCCGCAATTTCAAAGAATCTGCAGCTTAAGATCCGATGCGGGTCTTCGAGCCCAGGGTTGAGATACTGGCACCGGCTTAGGAGTGAACATGAACATGAACATGTTCATTGAGAGATGACAAGACGGTTAAATAGCGACAGGATAGTACCTTGAACGGGTGTTTGCAACATAATGCGGATGAAATGATGGACAGATACCCGCTCGTGTATGTTTCTCGCACGGCACGTTGAAACGTCGTGGTGGGGCGAGACGAAACACTAACTGTAAGATCAGCACTGGGTTCACAGGCCGGAGCCTCAGAGGAAAGTATTGACGCGGGTCGAAGCGCAAAGCGACCAGAGGCGGTATGGAACAGGACGTATCGGTTGATGGGTTGTGGCGTGAGCTGTTGTGCGAAGGAAGAGGGAGGCCTATTGCGCGGCGATAGCAAAGGACCATGGTGATGTCATGCGCTAGTGCGCCGCACCAGCCACAGTTCAGAGTGTACTCAGGTAGTCATCCTCTCTGATGGAATGATGGATCTTTTGCAATGGCATTGCGCTTAAAACCCGAGCCTGTAAACAGACTTCCCTCTGGGATATCGACGATAAGCAAGAACAACTGACGAGGATACCTTTGTAAGTGGCTCAACCAGCGATTGCCATAACGAGCACGTTAACGATGTGAGTCGTCGCTATGTGCTTCCCACGAGACTCAGCGCCATGACTACATCGAGTTATCTCCCATATATGAGAGATTCCGAGCTTCTCATGCCGTCAAAATTGATCTCATGTTGGCTCTGATGTGTGACACGCTGGGTTCAAAAATAGCCAGCATCAAACGTAGGCTGCCTAGGAAGCTATTTCTACTTCAGTCCAACTATACGCTTGAGGTGCTTGCCGAGCACTTGTCCATACACGCGAATGAGTTGAAGGATATAGCTTGCAGCCGCTGTGTTCAAGTTTAACAGAAGCTTGGCGATGAAAGTCTACTGATGTTAGCATACCTGCCACTATGACTATGGAACTACTGACGGCCTAATTTGGACAACAAACGCGGTCGCACTGTTTTGAATCCCAATCCAGTCAAACCCACACAGGTTTGCTGCGAAGACAAAGAGACCTCAATATCGCGCACTGTACTCCAGGAACCGGAACGGCTACGACAGTTTTCGAATCGAATAAAACGATGCGAGTGCCAGCTGACTCTGGACGCTAGAGCCGCACCGAGCTCGAAAGGCTTGTCGAAGAAGAGGAGCAAGCAATTGCGGATCAGCAGCTCGCTTTGGCCCTGTCCTATTTGTAAAGCAATGATTAAGACTTTCTACCCGGCTCTACTTGCGCTTCAAACCTAGCTCGCGATCGTTGTCTTGGACCCGATAAACAGTGGGCACATGGTAAGGGACCTTATACAGACATGTGGGCGTACGAGATAGCTCCTGGCACTCTATCTGGTCTCAGTGCGTCAAGTGACAACAGAGAGAAAGCATACCACGACACGGAACTGCTCTCAGAAGCGCACCTCAAATTCTGGGAGGCATGTATTGACGGTGTACCGGCCGTAGACACCTTGACACTTGAGCGTGAACACGTAGCTTACAGCTATTGCCGGCACTGCCTCTTTGATTCCTTCACTATGGCTCTCGACGACGTCTCCATCTTTCTTCCCAAGTGCTGGAGGGTTCTTACTTCTCTCGATGTCTGCGGCAAGATTGTTTCGAAGGAACACATTAAAAAAATCGACCTCATGGTGAGCAAGCTCACGACGCTCAACCCAGCTTATTGCACTGATACTGACTGCACGGCTTTCATTCGCCTCGAATATATCAGCAGCGAAGCAGACACTTGAATCGAGTGTAAGAAGAGAATCTGTATGCAGTGCAAACGTCAGGTACATAAGAAATTGTGTCCCAGTGACATACATGTGTGATTCCTTATTGAATTTAGCCAAGTAATGGAAGTGGTAGCAATGAATATGGTCTAGCTTTCTCGATGTTGTTTCTATATGACTTGCTACTAAAGTCATTCATTCTGCTACTTCTGTGGCGGACCTTGGGAGGTATACACGTGTCCACAGTGAGAAGAGCATTGTCTCAATCGTCCTGGTCTTACCATCCAGATAGCTCCGGTATTAGAATTCGTTGAGCATGTCTACTCCCAGCAAGGCATGGATTGTAGTGCGGATTGGGTTCGATTCGTCATGCACTGTAGCGAGTGCGAACTGTCGAACTGTTGGCGTTTCATCGACAGCGCGCGAAGAGTAAAGATCAATTGTGTTGGCTGTGGGATGTGATAGAGAACCTCGAAACCTGGAGTACTCCCATATAGGAAAGACGCCTATAATAAGCGCGCGCGGTTTAGTGGATCCCGGGTGGGGAGCCGAAACAAGATCTGCACGCATGTATAATGGTGTAGGATGATAGATAGGAACTACATCGGAGGTTGAGCAGTGTCGTCCAGTACATACCTTCTATCAAGCAGTATCACGGCTCTCTAGAGTTTGGTGAATTAAACCTCATGAAAATCGCCATTTGGGACGCGTGAACACAACAAAGTGATGCCCTTCACCAGAAGAACAAGACTGACAACGAGTCATGTAAGATTCATGCTTATCGGTTGGGCGGGATGTAGCGCGCCACAGCAAGCGTTAAGAGTTCTTCTTTTCGTATACTCATCTTCGAGATTTCGACTCTGTGGTACCTAGGTACCGACAATCGTGGCGACGAGTTGTGTACCAAGTTTCCAACCTCACATGTAGAGAAAACCACCGACCCAGTTAGAATGCGTAGTCTCTTATGAGTCGTAACAACGTCCTTTACAACAGGCAGCCTAGAGTTGGAGCAAAGATGGACGTGGGAGATCGGCACCAGACCCCTTTCTAGCCGATTTGGCCTGTGCGGGGGAGTCGTCTTCGCTAACCAGTGCTTATCCTGGCGCCTCAAACATCACTTTGCCAATGACCTCTGCTTCCGCAACACAGCCTTCGTCACATTATTTCCACCACCTCAGGAGAACACTTTACCGCCCGACCCATTCAAGCCACAATTGCTGAACGGTTCTACGCGAGCTTACCTAGCATGTTTTCAGACTCCTTAGGCACACGGCACTTACGGCAGCACTACACAAGGCGTCGTAACAACAAAAGATTAGGCTGAGTGACCCGCTATTCGAGGTATCGAACTGTAATAGTCTTCTGACATACCACTGCAAGCTAGACATGACTCAACACCCCCGACCTCGTGGCGACCTGTGGTGTTGTCAGTATGTCAGACGCGTCGCCGGTACGTGACTGGACATCTTGACAGTTGTCGGCACGTACCTGCATATTCTCCGGTGAACTCTAAACGCGTAAACGGCAACGGCATGAGAGGTCACGGACTATGCGTCTGCAGATCTTTCCTCAATGTTCATGACGCTGACGCTGAGTGGCTTGCCTGGTCCCCCCTCTCCCGCCTCAGGGCTTGAACAATGCAAAGGGAAATTCGAGTTGAACGTAAAAGTAAGGTTCACCTCGTGTTAAAATCCTTGCATTTTGCTTGCCTGATCCGTAAATGGAAGACCTACAGCTCATTACTTCTTGCGCCTCGCCTCGGTTTCGGTTATCTCGACCGCATTCAGGTTTCGAGTCTGTACTTTTTACCGCCACACGGCTTGTCTCTTCGTAACTCAAGCCCCACAGCCAAACTTAGCACATTGGTACCTGGCATAGTCTCAAGGAAATCCAATATAATACTGACCGTGATCATGTCTTCGAATGATGTGCCTTGCTTTTCAACACAATCGTTCATTCTTTTCGCGGTCATTCTTGTCGCGTTCGCTCATTAAGAGTAGTACGACTTATTTCCATTGCTACAAACATGGTAGCATACGCTCCTTACCTCGCTGCTACGGCATCTTTGTCATCTGTTTACCACGCAGTTACCCCTTCTGCGTTCCGCTCTGCGCCTATCTGCCATGTAGTCACAGCGACAGTGACTGAATATGCCACTGCACGGCCCACTTCCAACGCTCATGGACATGGCGGACCATACTATAATCCTTACAACGACGTACCCCTTCCATTCGAGTGGCCGGGAAAACCATCGCATGGGGAGGAATACCCTCCTCCTCGACCTTCGATTCCATATCAATACGGAGGGCCTGCTAAAGATGCGTATGATGAGCCATGCTGGATCCCAAAGGGTACTGGGCAGCTCAAGCCTTCGCTACCAAATGTCGAACAGTGTGGCAACTCACAATGGGGACTAATTGACTCACCTCATCTTCCGATCAACGGCCTCCCCGGTAGTAATTCTGATAACGCCTACACATCGAACTCTACAAAGCTTCCATCCACATCTCCGCCTTATCCTACCGTATCTGGTCATCCAAACAACCATACCAACGCCACAGGCTTCGAGTCTATCAGGCAATCCTCCACCAGGACTCTCGGATCCGTTATTACCGCAAGTGCTGCCAGCACACCAACGGCAGATCCCCTGTGTCCTACCATGCCGGACACTGGCGTGACAAGGACCTACGATCTTCATGTAGCTTATCAGACCATTGCTCCGGACGGTGTTACCAGGAATGGTTTGACTGTAAATGGCCAATTCCCTGGCCCTCTCATCGAGGCAAACTGGTACGAGGTAGCGCGAAATGACGTAATGCTTTAGCTGACCGTAAACTAGGGGCGATTGGATCTTGTGGAGAGTCACAAATGATCTGACCGATGAAGGTACTACACTTCACGCCCATGGCCTCTTCCAGACCGAGACATCCTGGTATGATGGAGTTCCTGCTATTTCTCAGTGTCCAATTTCGCCCAACGGTGGATACTACGAGATGCTTTTCCGGGCCGATCGTTATGGCACATCTTGGTATCACAGTAAGTTCATCCAAGTTAGACTACGAAATGCCAAAGCTGAGTTTCTTAGGTCACTACAGTGCTCAGTATTCTGGTGGTGCTCACGGCCCTATGGTCATCCATGGACCAAAGCATGAAGAGTATGACATTGACGTAGGACCTATCATCCTTGAGGATTGGTTCCACGCCGACTACTATTCTCTTGTTGAGGGTACCATGAATGGCCTATTCCCGCCTTCAAACAACAATCTGATCAACGGAAGAATGAACTATCCTTGTGCAAACACAACGCTACCTTGCACTCCCAATGCAGGCACCTCCAAGTTCAAGTTCGAGTCTGGAAAAAAGCACCTACTACGTCTTATCAATATGGGTGCAGAGGGCAACCAGAAGTTTAGCATCGATGGGCACCAGCTGAAGGTCATTGCCGTCGACTACATTCCGGTTGAACCGTACATGACGAACGTTGTTACTCTCGCTGTTGGTCAGCGTACTGACGTCGTGGTCGAAGCTATCGGAAAGCCCAGTGATACGTTCTGGATGCGCTCTCAGCTCGCCCAAGGATTCCGCTGCACTCTCACTGACGGCATCTCGCCAAACGCCCTCGCGGCAGTTTACTACGAGGATGCCGATACCAACGCCATTCCTCAGACAAGCTCTGATGTCACCCAGGCTCAGCTTGAGCAGTGCAAGAATGACCCTATCACATCCGCCATTCCGCTCTGCAAGATCCCTTTGGAAGAGCCTGATCATGTCGAGCGCGTAGACTTCGATTTCCGCTCCAATGGCACAAACTTCATCTGGTATCTCAACAACAGCACATATCATGGGAACTACAACGAGCCCACACTCCTGAAAGCGAAGCGTAACGAGTCAGACTTCAATCCCGAATGGAACGTGTACCAGTTTCCTGGTGCAAAGAACGTCCGGATTCATCTTGTCAACCACGGTCTTATTGGTGGCCACCCCATGCATCTCCACGGCCACGACTACCACATTCTTGCGGAAGGTTTTGGTGAATGGGATGGTGTCGTCACAAATCCGGAGAACACGCTGCGTCGCGACGTTCACCAGATGCAGAATGCGCGCAATGTCACCGGAACAGTTGAGCCCTCGTACCTAGTTCTACAGTTCACTCAAGACAATCCCGGCGCCTGGCCTTTGCATTGTCATCTGGCGTGGCATGTTAGCGGTGGACTTTTCATGCAGATTTTGGAGAGGCCGGAGGACATCCAGAAGCAGGCCTTTGAAGACGAGCAATTTGAGCTCTGCGATACCTGGGATGCCTATACGGCTGGAGTTGTTCTTAACCAGATCGATTCCGGCTTGTAGCCGAGGTGCTAGAGTCATGAGATGGCGGCAAAGTCTACGGATGCCGCCTAGGTACCTATTCAGCCCCCACCAAGTGTCTCACGTGATCCACTCACGAACGCTCACTTGGTACTTTATACTTCTACCACATTACTTAGCTTTCCTTCCTTGTACATAGAACAATTAATTTACTCTTAAGTTCTGTTATACATCTTCAGATGCCTTTAACAAGCGCGTGCGATTCGAATGTACCCTAAATCACCGTGTGCAGTGATGCCCAGGTGTCACGTCGGATCGTTACAAACATCGCAGTTGCGGCAGTTCCATAATCTGAATCAAGGGTGAGTATGGTTATGTGTCCGTGAGCCCTCACAATGGTTACGACCTTTATCTCTCTACCACGCATCGTTTTGGTAGGGCATAAGCAGTGGAATCGTCATGGCCATGACGTCATGGACCACGCAAACTCTACTACTTTCCATTGGCGAGATTAATCAATGTAGCCATTCGCGTACATTCAACTCGTAATCACGACACACCGGCTCTATCATCGTCTCCTATCAAGGGTTCATTAAAAATGAACGCCGCTCCCCAACAACTCAAAGTTCTGCTGACCGGCGGTGCCCGAGGAATTGGGCGCGGACTGTTTAGACACCTCCTGACAGCTGGACACGATGTCATAATTCTAGACTCCAACAAGGAAGAGCTAGAGCACGTTAGATATCGAGCACAAGAATGGTCGAAAGGGCGGAAGGGGAGCTGGTTTGCGCTTGAATGCGACCTCAGCAAGCGAACGGAATTGAAGACTGCTGTCGACGAAGTTAAAAGAAAGTTTGGGGGCAGGCTCGATGTTCTGATCAACAATGCTTTCCCCACCGATCTCTCACTATCCAAAGATCGAAGTATGGAAGCTGAAGGAGAAGACATCGAAAAAGAGTGGGATTTGAAGGTTGCGATTGGTCTCACTGCGCCGTACATACTCAGCCGCCTTTGCGTCCCACTTCTAGCTGCTGGACGCTCTACTCCGAACTCTCCTGGTACTATCATCAACATGTCATCAACGCGCGCCCACCAATCTGAATCTGACCACGAAGCCTACTCATCCGTCAAAGCTGGACTGTTAGGATTGACACAGTCGATGGCAGTGTCTTTAGGCCATCGTCACAAGATCAGGGTCAATGCAATTATCCCGGGATGGATTCACGTAGCCAACGAGAACAAAGCTGCAGATGATGGTAATGTCAAGTGGGAGGAAGGCTTGAGCAAGGAAGACACTGCTTGGCACCCATCTGGGCGAGTGGGTAAAGTGGAGGATATCGCGAAGGCGGTAGAATACCTCATTGGAAACGAGTTTGTGACTGGTCAGGAGGTTGTCGTGGATGGCGGTGTCGGGAGAAAGATGGTCTACCCCGAGTAAGTTCATAAGATCGACGCATCAACGCCTTTCGCATCAGCTCAAAGATCCACTATGTGTTCCTCATCCACATGTCGGATCGAAAGCTAGGAGATCATGTTTCAATCTATATTCCACTGACACGCCTTTTGGCCACTACCAACAACGTGTCTTTAGGATAAACGCAGTGATGTAGACATTTCTAGTTTCAAAGGTAACAGTGCTTGTCTTTGGGACAGGTCTTTATTCCTCAAACATGGCTCATAGATTGACGGCAATTTTCCTATGCATGCTTTCGTTAATGTCTACTGGATCAGGTTTTGCTTGGATAGAGTACAAACCTAATGGTTGGACCTTGCATCGAACCAGAGTAGGTTGTATAATCATAGACAGAGACTAGGCTTGGAACAATATGCCTTCTGCGCGCTTTCATACAGTCACAGGCTCGTTACGACCGTGATTTGCCTCAACGATTGCGCGTAAAGAGGAGCATTGCTCGGAGCTTGAGATTCGCGCCATCCCGTGTGAGATTGGCCGGCGCCACTCATGGCCGCGAATGCACGCGTGACGCTAACGCGACAAACCCTTTACTGTAGCACGACTTTCTTGTGTTTCACTATCTTCGTCTAGACTGCACAGGCGAAAGGTGGTCAAACGGAGACCCAATAGTACCTAGATAGTAAATGTACATTCGGATCAAAACAAAACCCTACAGAGAAACTTGTCCTAGCTAAACACTACATACAGTCTTTGTCTATGGCAAAGATCTTGTGTCGAACAAAGGGAGAATGCCAAGCAGCTTGCCTGTCAAACAAAAGGTCTATGCAACTCAGATCTGGTCCAACTCAGAAAGAGCTATGACCATGTTGAAGATTAATGGTAGTGAGAGTGACAGCCCAGCGCCACGCGAGGAAGACTTGCAACGATATCCTGCAGAAAGAGAACCGAGGAAGAGGCAAGCCCTGAAAAGAGAGGGGCATGGAATGGAAACGACTAGCCTACTTATGGCCAATGTCAATACTGTCCCCTATGCTCACTAACATACGCAAGCTCAGACGATACTTTCTTCCATTTACTTTGACTTGGCGTTTGTATCCGCCTTTCGACCGCTTTACGGGTCGTTGCTGACGAGTCACGTGATGACATTATAGTCGTTTGCAGGTAAACAATCTGTGCGTCGAGCTCCCCAGAGAAGACTACAGGCCACCCAAACTATTCAAGAGCCTTCCCATCCAAGATCTCTCTTTTTTCTCCATTTCGGACAAGGAAGATCAAGTTGGATCGCTAGATTTGCGCCCTTGTCATCATCGAATTCACAATGACAACAGCCGATAATGCGACAAACCTCTCCACCAGCGAATCGTCGTAAGAACCACTTACTGTAGCATCTACATTATGGACTAACTACAAGTATAGTGAGCCACCCACACTCCACGAACAAGGCATGCCCAATGCTGCGCGCGCCCACCGTAGCAGGACTGCCAAGAAGAACGCACTTTCCAAGGACCTCAACGTTACTATTTCCTCTTCAGATCAGGCTTTTTTGACCAAATCCTTCAGTACCGTCAAGAACGTCATGACGGAGCAAAACGCTGGGTCGACAGCCAATGCTCCCAGCATCAGTGATGCTGGTGTTTCAGCATCTGATGCTTTACCTAAGAAGCCAGGTCAACTATCGTCTTCTCCTATCGTGGATCAGGCCCTAGACAACCTGTTGGTGATGATACGACCTGAGCGTCAAGCTCTTCTTCAGGGCCCATGCATTACCATTCACGTGGGTGAAACGTCGGTTATCGATATCTCCAAGCGCGCTGCAATGGCTGCTTCTTCTGTCCTTCACAAGCACTTCACCGCCAATCCTGAGTCGCTGGAATATCGTTTCTCGCGTGATCAAGTTCATTCTGGCGCAGTCCGCTTTCTGCTCATTGACTGGATGCAGGAGACGTGCAATGAGTTTGAAGCCTATGCCATCCCAGCTCAGAAGACCTTTGGCGAAGACGTTGCTATCTTGTGCGCCGCTCGCTTGTTGGGCATGGAGCGTTATTGCCGTCATATTCTCACCGGCTATATTGGTTACCTTAAGACCCAGCTTCCGAGTTACGAGGAGATCATTGCTATCGAACAGAACGCCACCTCTGATAAAGACCCGCTCTGGACTGCGATGATCAACCACCTCTGTCATGATCGCTACAAAGGTCTTCTACCTGATCCTGAAGACTTCGAGGCGTTTCTGGAGAAGCACACTCGTCTGAAGAAGGCTATGGAGTCGGCTGATATCTTCTTCGCTGGATACGCGAAGAAGCGAGCTGAGGGTCGCGAGAAAGCGCGCCGCCAGCGCTGGGAGCAAAATCAGGCCGAGAAATGTCAGCGTATTGCAAAGGGACAGCTTGCTGCTGAATCATTGAAGAAGAAGCTAGACGAGAAGGGCTCCGGTCTCATGTCTGTCACGACGGATGAGGCGGAGGTGCTACGAGGGCGCACTCGCACCCGTTAGAAGACCGCCGCGCCTATTCCCTTGACTCACATTGATCTTTAGTCAACATGGTTTCTTCAGATGTGGAATGACGCCTATGTGTGCGAGACAAACATAGCTTTGCCCTGTGAGAACGCTGACGTTGATGAGTATAGGCATGCGCAACGGGCCTGGATCTGAACGTGTCTTTTACTTGATGTTTCTCAGCGCAGTGGCACACTGCTCATGTAAAACCCAAGATGAAAAGACATGATCATACATGATGGATAGATATAAGTGTTGATCAAATCCAGTCTCCAAGCTTTCACATAAGAGAGTTATGCTAACACCTCCCCTGTCTTCTGAGTGTCCCTGTTACCTTATGCCTCAAAAGTCGTCCGCCCAGTCATCACTGCTCGCCTCATCCCACTTTTGTTCTTCCTGCTTGGCCTTACTTTGGCCCACCCACCGAGTAGGCACTGTTACAGGCGGCTCACACTCTTTGCACCTGGCTTTTATGTACACCCTGCTGTCTATACCAGAGTTTCCAGCGTCGAAGTAATGTGGCACAACGTCGATCATGTTGTTGCAATGGGCCTCTGCGCAAATGATTGTGCGAGCGCTAGTTGAAATGGGTGACCACGGATGGGACGTTCCAGGAGAAGGCGATGATGGAGATAATGATGGGCCTGACGAGCAGGGCTTGGTGATATGAATACCGTGTTGCGGACTTCGACGGATGACGACGGCACTGTTCGGAGGGTAAGCCATTTCACTCTCTTTGTGTGGATCGCTTTCTTGCTTCTTGACGAGATAGGTAGAAACTTTGACAAGGAGTGGGTTGAGTGGGGAGTAGAGTCAGTTATGAAGTTGCTGATTGATTGTGCCAACTTTGACAGTGATGATTGCGTGAAAAGAGCCAACAAGCAGCCCTAGAGAAGAGCGTAGAGCGGAGCGACTAGAGAAGCGTTTAGAAGACATGAGAAACCTACCTCATCGCCTGCCTGATACCTATCGATTACACAGCCCACACACTCCGTTAGCAGTCACTCGCTCATCTTTTAGAAGTCTCTCGCGCTCCGTCTGTCCATGCGACCTAGCTCCATCATCATCGGAACCGATACCATATTCCTCTTTGAGAGCTTGGTCTCTGGTATCGTTCTGAACAATGTTTGCTGCTCTGGTAGACTCGCCTGCCTCAGGGCTGATAGGTTACTTGCAGTTACTGGGCACGTAGCAGGAGATGTTTGTACATGAGAAAGAGTGACAAGGGTTGGGAATTGGCGGCCAATGGGAAAATGTAGGTTGCGTCTCAAACCATGATTGGTTGATAGGCAGAGCTCCTTCCGTCTGAGGTACAGCCCCGCCGGCTAAAGCTGGACCCGCTCTCCCCTACTTGTTTAGCATCATTTGCATCATCACAACACGTTACATCCTACCTACCAGTGCGCCTCTCACCACTGTTAGTCATTTCCTACACTCTCCACTCGCGCTTGGTTCTTCATTGCCACCATGGTGTCTACGCGCTCACATCCCCAAGGCGACTTCCCCGCCACCGAACCTTCGCCCGTTAAGAAGGCGCCACGGTCGCGGACTTCGACTGCGTCCCCGGCACCCATATCTTCCCCGGACCTTGACTCCCCACCATCGGCAAAGTCGCTTGCCAGACGCGCAGTTTCCAATGCCAAAGCAGAGATCAGCCCTCCCTCTCCATCCGAGATCAACGAGCCGGCCTGGTGCCACACAGCGTCAAATCTCACTATAGTGTGGCTCGCCATATCCATGCCTCTCGTGCTATGGGACTCCCTGTACATCCTTTTGCGCCCGCACACTATGGCTGGCGGCGCACTTCAGTGGCCAATCTGGAAACCCTATGAAATCTATGCCTCAATTGATCACGTATACGGATGGCCCGGGTGGGAAAACAACGATGGATTTGGTGGCGCGCAAGGCTTTCTGAACGCTATCGAGCTCGTGCTGTATGGACTCTATGCCATGATCATCTATAACCATGGTGTACCTACGGCCGGAGGCACTGGGCTGCAACTCAGTGAGGGCGTGAGCAAGTTCCTTGCCGGAGGCCGGAAGGTACGCGGGCAGAATGGGAACCGCGCGCTGATTATCGGCTTCGCTGCTGCGGTTATGACTCTCAGCAAGACAGTACTATATTGTGCGTATCTATGCGGCACATAGCCAAAGCACAGGCTAACAATTGTAGACTTCAACGAGTATTTCTCTGGCTTCGCAAATGTCGGCCATAACGACTGGGCTACGCTGCTGTTCTTCTACGGTATCATGAAGTGAGCCAACCTGCTTTTCCGCCTGCGCTTGGCGTCTGAAGTGACAGGAAAGCTGATTCGTTCCGCAGTGGTCTTTGGGTAATTTTCCCAGCATATATGACTGTCGTCTTCGGTACCGATATCCTCCAGGCGCTCGATATTGCAACTGAGTCTTCGTCTAAGAAGCGTTATTAGCTTGAATCTTGAGGAAGCTGTTCACACACACCAACGCTTCAAACTTTGGTGCCAACTTACAACAATGCCCAAATCTTCAATCAAGACGATTTTGCGTCCTTCAGGTGCCCGCGAAGGCGTCGAATAGCCGTACGAAACAGTCCTCTCAAACGTTCCAAGATACTGCCGTGCGAGTCCCCAGCGGCCTCGGCATCGTCCTGCATAGGTGATGGCGGCTTTATAGGAGCTAGGCTCAGTCGACTATGCAATTAACAACGCGATACCACTCACCAGCACCACTCCTCCATTAATGCCACGCTTCAATTCAAGAACGACAGATTCCGAGTGCCAGTCGTCTGGTGGCAGGCTTGCCGATATTCGCTGCGCATCGGCGGTTATATGATCAAGCATGTATGGTGCTTGTACTATCATTGGCGCCATATCCATTGGTGGTGGTTTACTTTCGATGCGCTGAGTAGCTCCAAGGAGTGTCAGCCGAGTAGAGGGTTGAATGTGAAATAGGTGTACAAGGGTGCATCACGGATCCGCCGGCCGGAAGTCGAATTCACTGTTTGATCGCAATACGTTCACTTTCGCAAGCATTTAAAATACTGCCATGCGCTTATTACTACAATATCATAGGCCTGAAATCGTTTGAGGCATCAAACTAATGGCCGCTTCATCACTCATTCTTGTCACTTGCATCCTGTATTCAGAAACCTCCAATCGCTCCCTCGCATTGACACGGAGTCAAGACGAACGTTTTCAAACTTTCGGTGAGCCCTTACATCAGATTGCATCCCACTCCCAATCCGCAAGCCCTATCTTTCCTCTTCTTTTGACTACCCTCTGCCTCCAAGATTGCAGCCCTTCGATCGTCTCCCGCACGCTGCTCACTCACTACCCTGCGTCGCTCATCCAGATCGGCCATGCTCATCGCTTTAGCAAATGGACCTTCATCGTCCTCGACAAGCGCCTTTTTTCTCTCCATCTCGTCTCTTCCAGGCGTACTGAATATAGATTGCTTGCTGGACGCTGTGCCTCCAGACAGGTTGGAGTCCTCGGATATGGATACCTGTCGCTGCACATTGGATGCTGGCCCTATTACATTCTTCCGCAAAGGTGTATCCACGGTGTGCTGTCGCGGTGCTAGGTGCATTCGTGGGTGAATACCGTGCTCCCGTTCTGGTCGCTGCATCGCCGCACCGTCATTTGTTGACGATACATAGCCAGGCTGAGACATGAGTGTCATTCTCTCCATTGGCCTTGCTCTTATCTCCATAGCTTCGCGCATCTTCTTACGTTCGGCATGAGCGTAAAACTCTCTGAGCATCTCTTCTTTTCTAGAATACGTTTGCGGAGGAACGATATCGAAATATCTAGAATGATAGGGTGATTGCTCGTCGAACGACTCGAAAAACTCGAGCTTTGGTGTTGGGTTTGGGATAGCAGAAGTGAGAATGAGAGGATTTGATCTCGACTTTGGTTTAGAAGAGCGTTTGGAGTTGGGGCAAGGCGTTGGGTTGCCGAGTGGGAGATATGCCGAGCGCTTCTGGGAATTTGTCATAGGAGTGGGTGTATCTGGGCAATCCCAATTTGCGTCGCTGTCGCCCTCGACTTGAACCTGCTTTTGATGTGGACTCGCACCCTGTTCTCGATCATGGCCATGTGATGGCGACAGGCGAGGCAAGGATAGCTCCGTTGGTGTGCTATACGGCCGCTTCTTGGGACTATTCGACCTCGAAGTGCGCTTCACTGGCGATTGCCTTTCCATTACACTACCACCTCTTTTGGTAGTCACGTTGGCAGTGATATCTGCGGGAAAGCTGCCGAAGTTGCCGTTGTCCACGGTTGCGACATAGTTTGCAAATTCTGTTTCTTGTTCGCCGAAACCATACATGTATGTCTGATTACAACCATCACTCTTAGGCCGCTCTCTTGCGCCCTCAGGTGTAATTTGGTGATCGAAATTCGGCGTGCCAGTGCTTGCTAGATCCAGTCGCAGTGCGTCACTCAAACTCGGCGGCGGTGATGGAGAGATTGCGCGAATCGTAGAGCGTGCTGTTGATGGACGAGTAGGGCTCGGAGGTCCTGAAGTAGGCGGACGCGGGCGAAAATGTGTTGACATTGTCGCGATCAACAATTGTGGTGTTGTTGACGAAGATGCGGGTGGTTGCTGTGAGGATACGGACGTGACCCAAAAGAATTACCATGCAGGGCAAAGCCGATCAACGGGGCTCTCCGAACTTGTTGCCACCTAGGATGGAAAGGCAAACACGGTGTTCTAAAGAAGCGAAGATGAGTGTAAATAAGTGACGCGCTAAGAGTGTTTGTAAAATACTATTCAATGGTATGAAGGCGAGATACTCGCGGTTTGCGAAAGCAAACCAACCTCACTTACCTACCAATACCACAGTACTACTACAAGCTTTACATCGGGGCGCTCAGAAAACACAGAATAGAACTCGCAAATGATGCGACAAAAATGTTCCAGCGATAAGCCAGGTGTTGTTGTTGTTGTTACACAAGTACGTCATTGTGTAGCCTTTGCGGTACATGTGCCGAAGTGCTACAGCATAACGATCCGATCACCATAGCGAAAACTTCATATTCAGTAAAACTATAGCTTTCCAAATAAGATTACTGAATTCTGGTTCTTCTACCATGCTCCGAACTAATTCACTCAATCAAACCATTCTTCCGTGTAACGCGACCACCTCTGCTGCCGCCATTCCAGTCTATCATTTCTTCGCATGTAAAACAGCCAAATACTCTATCCTTACCTCTTCCCCCGAATCACCGACATCATCTGAACTATCCTCTGAATCACTGTCGGTCTCGTCGTCGCTATTTTCAGAACTTAATTTTTTGTCGTTGTTGTCTTCCTCTTCATCGCTCGAAACATCCGAAGAGGATTGGTCTGTATCCGTGTGGATTTTAGCATCGTTTCTAATACCATTTTCGTCCCAGGTATCTCTTTCGTCTTGATCATCACTACTCTCGCTGTGGTACTCGATTATAGTAGCTAAATTGTGCGCATGATGATCCTCCCGGCTTGCAACCTTGGTTACTTGGACGGCATCGTGAGATTCTTCCCTTCCAATTGCTAGTAATTCCCGCCACGCCGTTGGCTCGTCGCGTACTTCCGCTGCCTTGGAAACACCACTCCGAACAGGTACAGAATACACCACAGTCTCCCTCCATAGCCCAGGTTCCTGAATTTCTCCGTCCGCACTACTCCTGTTATTTGTATTCAAGCGGTCCTTGTGCTCCTGGCAGTGCTTCGACATGTCTTGACTCTCGAGCTTCTCTAGCGTCAGTGCAGCTTTATCAGTCCATTTGCCGAGAGTCCGAAGTGCGACAATTCCAATTTTGATGTTGCGCTTGTCTTTAATGTTGAGATTGTGATGGGTCTTTGCTGCAGCTGTGGCTTCTGAAGTCTTGGAAGTCATGTTGTTGGCCGAGTGTTGAAGAAGGGGGATAGAATCGGAGCGCAGCTTGAGCTTCTGTGAAAGATGCATTCTGTATGGAACCTTACGAACAGACTTTCCATATATCTAACAAGGCTTGTTCTACAAGCACCGGGCGCGGCTGATGAGGTATCGTGGTAGTGGTTAAGACAGCTGGACTCAATAGCATTCATGAGGTGGCGACACCGATGGCTTTATATGAGGCCGTATTGGATAGACGTGCGCTGTGTTTGTAGCACTGATTGACGATGCTATTGAACTTTCCAGGCTGTGACATTCGATCGTATAAACTTCCTGACTTCCAATGTGTAGATCACAGAGTCCTAAGGTGAAAAACCATATCTACAAATCTCATTGATAGCCGTGGAGCTTGTTCATGGATCTGATACCGATCACATCATAACACAGTAACACCACCTCGGATCACCTAACCCATCGTCTCTGTTGAATTCCATGTCGGGATACACGCCAAGTATCTGTTCTCTGTACTGTTCTACCTCCCTTGAAGGAACCTTACCAACGCTGTCAGAAGATATTGACTTCTGATACATCGACGCGCTGTCCGCTATCAAACGATTCAATTGAACGTTGGTGCGCTCCCTTTCATCCCCGCGTTGTCGACGTTGGATCTCGAGATCTTCGTAAGAGCCCCAAGGCGGCGGTCTAGGACCATTCTGAACGTCGCTTGACGAGTGAAACGATGGCGCAGGATTTGCGAGGGAATGTACTGGTTGGAGGGAGCTATCGCGCTGCTGGGAGATCAGAGACGGCAAGGCCAACTTGTGGGAAGGTAGCCGTCCGGATTTGTATCCCTGACTTGCGTGTTCGTCTTGGGTTTGTTGCAGTGCTCTCACATCATTATCTATATCTTCCCAGTGGCTACGAGATACGTGCTGCTTGGCGCTGGAACGATTTTGGGCGCAATCGCTGGAAATACTGCGTTCCCACAAATTTCGACTCGACTCGCACACGGTGGCGTCATACGGATGTCCAGTTGAGCTCAGAGGTGTGATCTTTTCCTCTGGTGCAGTGTCTCGACTCCATAGGCATTGTACAGGCGGGTCCGGCAGGGATCGACGTGGTATAAGATACTCAGCTGACTTCCATCGTGGCAAAGTTTCGGTGTTGGAGCTGCTGAGCTTCGAGAAAGGTATGAATTTCTGCGTATGAAACTGTTTATACACTTCTTTGTATGCCTCCTTGTTCCGCGTGTCATCTTTTTGATTAGGTCCGGATCTCAACGAGTCCGTTTCTAGTGGGAGCTGTGGCAACGGGCGCTGATATGTTCCCATACGATCCTCATGCTCCATTGGTCTGCGTGAAACGGACCTAGTGTCTGTTCTGGTGGAAGGTTCCAATTGTCGCAGCTGTGCATGTGATGGTGGCTGGTCGTACGCGACCACTTCGGATGAAGCTAACGAGTGGCTGCCGCGTGGACTGACAGCTCGTGTAATGTGATTTGGATCCTTTCCCGATCCTGTACGCTCACACAATAGTTTTCCGTTGGACGGAGATGTTTGTCTTTTGCTATACTGTTCCACCTTGCTTAATGTTACAGATTCGACATATCGCTCAGGACTGCTTGCCGCAGCTTGAATGCGGGAGTTGTGTTGCTCGAATCTTTCAGTGTCCGTAAAGTGTGCCTTATCAGCGGCCGGCCACAAGGGTGGCGCGGATGCGCAAAAGGGTTCCTGAACAAGAGGGTCCGGACTTGGAGGGCGTGAAGAAGCTTCCGTTACGCAGTAGGCCTGATAGGGCCGCCTAAAGGGTGTATCGTAAAACGAGAATAATGCCTCGCCAGGCGCATTTTCAGGAATATCAGAGAGCATGAGATGACGGTTGTCAGTGATTCCGGCGGTTCCTAGATGTCGAAGGTTTGCGCAAGGTCAGTTTCGAGGGTGAAAGAGGTATCAATAGTAGGGCATCAAGAAGAAGAAGTGATCCAGTACACTTAAAGTCAACTGTACACTGTTTGTTACTGGAGCGCATCGTCCCTTTAGGTGTTCCACAAAAGGTTTCCACAAAAGATCAATATTCTTACTGTTGGCTATAACATCATCGCACCAAGCACGCACCTTGTGATCGAGGCAATACAAGAAACGGCAGTAGAGGGGGGTCACATAGTCCGTGCACAGACCCTAAACACCCACTGCAGAGTAGCAGTCTTGTGCACCTTTTCTCAGACCTTGCTCGAATAGCCAAGTGAAGCCTCCTCTATATCCACTTTCTCTAATCCGCTTGAGGATCCATATCTCGAACATGCCAATTTTGTCGCCTTGTGTTCCTCTGCCCTCAAAGAAGCCGAGAGCATCTTGATAACCAACCTGCCAGCCGTATTCGTACTTTTCGTGCTCATAGTGACCGTTGGGATCCACGCCGCGCCAATAAGACACGTGCTGTTGAATCGCCTCATGCATACGCCCGTCCTTCTCGTGTCTAGCTTTTTCGGTCATCCGGAGTCTGTCATCAGCGGTCGTTTTTGTGTACTGGGGTGGCACAATACTCCCATCTTCTGTTTTAGCTTTAAACCCCCACTCGCCGCCAGGCATCCAATCCATTTTCCAGGTCCAAAAGAAACTGCCGCCAGCTTTCTCTTGGTACCTTCTGCTCTGCGCTTGACCAAATTGTCGTACGAGCTCCTCCTTGGGGACTCCGCCGCCCTTGGCCCAAGAGTCTTCAGTCATAACGCAGGAGTATTCGCCAACAACAACCTGTACTGCACCGCGATCATGCACAGAGCCTTCTTTACCATCCAACTGTTCTAGCTTGGTGCCAGCTTCCTCGATGATCTGCTGTGGTGTTTTCGCTTTGTCTTGGTCTGTAAAAGCCCAATAATAGTGCGTGTCAACCACCACTGGGCATTGCGGATGCGAGTATATGGAGTTCTTCTGCAAAGACCAATCTACCGCTTTGTCTAGGTTCCAGCCATCAGATATTATGATAGGAATTCCGGGGTCTATGGCGGACACGGCGGCTATACACTCGTCGTACCACTCATACATGCGCTCTGATTCCCATTCAGCCTCGTTGACGAGTTGCAGACCAGCAATCTCAGCTCCCGCTTTGGTATCTTCTGCAATGAACTGGCAGCAGCGAACACCTAACGCACGGTTACTGGGATTGGTCCATAGCTCGGCACGCCCACTGTTAGTGCCTGAGTGTTCCTGCGCGTTTCCGCCCCCTGGTAGTGCATGCAGATCAATCAGAACGCCGATTGAGCGTGCGCGCAGACGTTGGATTAGGGTGCGAATACTATCCCATGCTCCTGTGTAGATTTCAGCATAGGGCTCGAAAGGTGTTCCCTGGGTGAAGACGGCGCCTGGGAGGTCGTAGTAGCCGATGGGCAGGCGGACAGTTGTACAGTTGGCCACATTAGCAAGCCATCCAATGGCGTTATCGTGAATAATATTGGCCCAGTGCTCCTCGAACTTTTGCTTCGTCTCAGCGACACCAACCCTGTCCACCCAGGCTTGCACTGCTGCAAGCTCGCTTGATCCCTCAGCACCATCAGGAAATCGAGAACCCTGAAGCCATCGTTCAATAACGTAAACAGATCCAAGATTGGTTCCATGGTGATAGCGATAGCGAAGAACATCCAGCGTTGTCGGGTCGCTGATACCATGGTGTTGATCATGGCCATGGTCGTGACCGAAGCCACCTTGCTGATGAGCTGGGGGAGAGTGCTGTTGATGTTGTGCTTGTTGGTTTCCAACAAAATGGGAGTTACCAGACTCGTCACGCTGAGAAAAGCCTTTGAGCTCCGCCTTGGCTTTTTGAAGGAATCCCTTCATCGTGAATGCGCTGATCTCATTTAGTGTGCTGGTGAGGGTATGCATTGACCAAGGAACATACCAACTGATGTTGAAAAGAATGACTCATGTAGCAGGACTCGAGTAATGTCTTGGGTCTCAGGTCTGAGCGTATCCTCTGTCGTGATGGTTGTGAGCCGAATGTTGGGTGCAGTTTAGTAGGTGTGCCTCAGCCGTGGTGGAGCCGTGGTGGAGCCGCGTAACCACGCATTTACATCTTTGTGATGACGTAAAGCAAGGAACTGGAGAGCCGGTAGGTAGGCAAGTGCGTCCGGCATGCATGCAGGTGCGTGCACGAATTGTGGCTGCATCTTATCGTGCTATCTTATCTGTGGGCCAATTACCCAGCTTGCCTCGGTACCTGGGCTAATTCGAGCGTGCTCGCGCTCAGGACGCGTCTGCTATGATCACTGTATATCGGTCGCCATGAGTCGTGTGTGTGTGTGTGAGAGAGAGAGAGAGTTGGTCAATTGACGCGTAAATGCCCAACCTGTGCACTAGTTGGATGTATTGATAGCGGCCTTCATGATGGGGCATCAGAGCTTGCGGCAACGGCAACTGTGCAAGGTGCAATAGCAAACAGCCGCAGTGTGTCTCTCGGAAGGCTCATCGTGTTTACTGCCGATTCAGAGCACGATGAGGATAGAGGACAATGTACACAACTAGACGCGGAGTACAGTTGAAGTACCTGCGGACTGTCCTGACTTTTCGCTCTACTAGTCGAGGCGCCATCCCGCCATTTCGCCAAGCTGGACCCTGACATGCCACCCAATCGCGTCGGCTGGCGCCTGTAATGCGACTTCCCCAACCACGACGCGACTGCTCTCACGCATCTTCCACAACTCCAATTCTGTTTTCATATCTTTCACTTGAAGTTTGAAAGGAGCTGGAAAGACTCATTGCCATTCTGTTACTAGTCTTCTGTCCGTAAATCAACAGTGCACCCCTGCGCGTCGTTCGTCCCCATCTTAACGCGTCGCAACAGCCGACAAGCCGCAGAGACAACATGAGCGCCACAACACCACAGAGACCAAATATGGCTTCTCAACATACTCCCTCCAAGACGCCCTCGCGACGCGTGCTTGGTGATCTCACCTCCAAAGCCATCAATACACCCTCTACCCCAAAGGCCTACGATCCAGCTGAAGCCGCTCGCGCCCAAAGCCCACTAAAGCAAGTCACGACGCACACTCCAACGAACCCTATCGGCAAGGAAAACCTCATGACTCCCCAGACGAATTCAAATAGCAAGAAGAGGGGCATCGAAGAAGTTGAAGGTGTTGAATCTCTCGAGAGCGTAAAGATGCTTGCTCGTGCCTGCGACGAGAGTCTTTCCAGCACCGGCACGCGCCTAACCACCGACGCTGTCCAGAAATATACGGTAGATGATACATCGTGCCCTGCACCTTCTCACGCCACTAACAACTGCAAGGAGAACAATCCCATCGGCCTCGCGGACCCCGGATCACCCACCGAACGCGCCACACCAACACCATCGCCCGAACCAGAGCCAATGCAAGCTTCTCAGAAGAGCAACCAGTCATTTTCTGACCTTCTCAACTATGATTTGTGCGCCAGTCAGAAGAGTGAACACGGAGAACGTGTAGCGATGCCGGCCGCTGCCCCCGCGCCGGCAGTCACAGAAGGAAAGAGGAGGTCGCGTGCCGAACAATTGCGAACACGCCTCAAGTTTGGCTTGTACAAGATCAAGACGAACCAGGTCACTAAGCGCGACGCGGATATCATCGGGCCTTACGAAGCCCGTGCCTCTTACCCGTCAGACGCGCTCAACGCGTCGAGATCAACAGCCATGACGTCTTCCGGCGAGTCTTTGGGCGCTTACCGCGTACCAAACATCACTGTATCATCCCCGCGACGCGATCAAGGACCTGTTTTTGTGCAAGCAAATCTGGATCCCTTCCGTCCTATAAGTAAACTTGGTCCTGCACCAGTTCAGTTCGCAATCCCACAAGGCAATATGCCAGCATCATCACGTATGGTACCCGGATACGTCCTTTCCTCCTCACCGCCCGGGCCTCAGCTGCCCAATTCTGTAGCTCCTGATCAGCTCTCCTCACCCATCCGAGCTAGGAATTACTACGAGCCGCCCTCTGAGTCCAGGATACAAATAGGTGAACACGACGCGGATCGCATCAACCTGCGGGAAGAAGACCCGCATTATAGACTCCAAAGACTCAAGCAACAACAGTATAGCTTGGCTCGCAGTGTCGGCGGTGTAAAGGGTGATGCGGCGGAAGGCCTGCTGCAGCTTATGCAAGACTCGCGGTAGATATCTCAAGTACAATCAACAACGAATATTCGCTCCCGTTGTTGTATTAGCAACGATTGAAATTGCCAGACTACAAAGTATCCTCCCCTTGCGAAATCCTGGTTCATCCAATTGTCATCTTGTTTTCCGTGCTAGCAATACTGATTGTGAGCCCGTGTACGAGATGTCGGTCGATCAAGTCATGGCCACGAGCGTCATAGAAGGTTGATTTGAGGAGGTGAGTTCGATTTCATTACAAAGTGCGGGTAGTATCGTCTTGTCTTTCCGCACGTGGGCCGTCAGATCGTGACTCCTGTTTCACACCTGCAGGCTGACCCTCTACCACCTTTATATCAACCTCCATATCCTCTTCCACCTTAACATCGTCCTTATGGTGAGGATGCTGCCCCAAAGGCTCAAGAACACCGTTTGCCAGTTTGACGTTTTCGTGGGCAGCTTGAGATTCACTAGTCGACATCTCGCTCCTCTTCGCCTTGCGTTCACTATTCCCATACCGTGGGCGAAGCTGTCTAGACACAGGCAGTGTCTGCATGCTGGCATCGGTAATCAGGTCTACCATATCCAAACAGTTTTCCACAAAAGCTTTGACGGTAACTTCATTGCGCAACTCTCTATCGCCATGGCCGTCGTAATGTGCCGTGAGTACACCGCCCTTTGCACCAAATTTGCCAGACTGCACTGTGCTATATGAGATGTCTTCACCGAACAAGTTTCCGGTGACAGATTGCCGAAATTGGACACCAGAGAAGTGGTACGTGACATTGCGCGTCCCCTTTTCCTCACTCGAAACTCCGGGTATAGTCCACTCGGGAATTTCGATGCGAAGGGGTGGAGCGGTGAGGCGGCCGCCACTCTCGATGTTCTCTACCACAGCATCGACCCATGCCTGTACGTCCTTGTCGTTGTGGTCCTTGACGCTGAAGTGCAGACTTCCACGGCGATAGAATCGTACATCTGATGCTCTATCAGGGAGCAGAACATCGTGGATGCGTTGCTGGAAGCTGAGTGTCATTTTGTGAAGAGTTGCTCTGGCGCCACTCCTGCCAGTACGCATCTGTACGTTGAGACTGGGGAACAATTGGTCAGACGCGTTCGAGAGATCAGGTCTGAATTGGTAGTGTAAAGATGGCGTTTGCAAGCGCGCAGTAGCTGTCAGATTGGGTGAGGCAAGGAGGTTATTTAAGCCAGGGATTGTCGGCAGAAAAGGCGACTGAGATGGTTGGGCGAGCGCTGCTTCTACTACTCGTTTTGAGTCTGCATCTTTCAGGGGAAACAATACCTGACCAAATTCAGCAGAGAGCTTATATGTCGGTTCCGGGATCCAATGGTTAAGCTCATGTGTAGGCAGTGACACATCAGAGGCAGATTGTAGTACGGTCGCCGTAGTGCGGTTCACTAGAGCGTGCAATGCTGTCTTCGGGGCTTTCGCAAGTTTCTCGGCCTCAGAATCAACATATTCAGGTTCCGTGAGGCGTACGATAGGCATCGATAGACGTCCTAAATCACCTCTGCGGTACTTGTACTCTACAGAACTGTCTTCTGGGAACACTGGCAATAAGAATGCTGCGCTATCGTCATTTCCCAATTGCTGCGTATCAAAAGTACGTGTAACTGGCTCTTCGAAAGGCAGGAAGCGGATCAGTGTTCGTTTCGCTTCGTTTATAGAGTTCTTGTCGAAGCCTCTGATCGTTAACTGCAGGAATCAGCTACATTCAGAACGTGATACAAAACCCAGGCATACCATGGTCTTGCCGACAGCCTCGATACTCGTACGAGTCAGCATCGAGACAATATCGAAGTCTTTCTGTGTATAGAACAACGAGACCAAATTTGGTTTGGGGTTCGATGTAACATCGATGTTAGCATTCTGATGCAGATAGCTGCTCAAGTTCATCCCCTTCATCTCCGTGCGTTGAAAAGCTTCTTCGATATCGTCGGCAGCGTACTCGGCTGTGGTCTTATCTGCTGTGATGCGAAGGATGCCGTGCTGTTTGTATACATCGAGTCTTGCTCGCCGGGTCCGTCGAATCTTGTCCAACAGTGTTTCCTTTTCTGCAACCATGTCAGCGAATTTCATGATGACATGTGCTAATGTACGTACCGCCGGCCTTCAGGAGCGCCAACTGCCATGATTGCAGGGAAAGCTCAAGCTCTCCAGGCGACTCTATCTCTTCCAGAAGCATGAGATTCCAGACGTCCCTCAGTATGCGATCAACGAGCAGCTGTTTGCTGACATTTTTACGGTAACGTTTGATTTTGACATGACGATCGACGCCAGGCAAGCGCTGGGTGATATCCGTGGTACCAGGCTGCCACTCAGAGCGCTCTACCGACCGATCCTGGTCTCCTGATCCTGGCTTCTGTTTGATGCTGTTTATGACACCCTGTTTCACTTTCTCCTTCCGTATGTTCTTAGCGACCGAATAGAATGCTATTAACTGCTGATGTGTGAAACCATTCATGAGTGTTTTCCTAAGCTTGACAAAGGTCGTTTGCTTGACATAATGCGGCTCATCGAGGCCGCTATCATTTTTCGGCCGCAAGGTTTCAATCTGCTCGTATATCTCTTCCGACGTGACGGCCTTCCCTTCCTCCTGCAGCGAGGCGACTATGTCTGGGATTTCAGGAGCTTCAGAGGATACGGTATTTTCAGGCTCTTCGAGGTTTTCGGCGGCTTTCTCTGGTGTCAGTTCTGCAATTTCCCTCAGAACTAAAATATCGGCATCGTCGCCCAATCGCTTCACGCCCAAATTTGCTGTCTCTCGTATGACTCCACCCCCCTTCTTTCTCCTTAGTCGGTTCAGGGGCGTCACTTCTCTTGTGATCTTCAGCTTTGGTTGTTGCGCCTGCGACGGCACCGCCAGCTCTTCGACATTATCGTGGCGGCGAGTAGATGCGGAAAACTTGGCGTGGGATCGTGGACGAGCAAAGGCAGGAAGTCGCCGTCGGGCAATTTGCGCTTCACATCGGAGGCATACAAATGCACTAGAGGTACAGGGCGCAAGCATGAAGGAGTTCGGCGTGGTGAAGACGTGCAATGGTGATGGTTGTAACGGGTTTGGAAAGTGCAATGCGTGCATCAACTTTCGTGACCGCCCAATTCTGCCATCGCGCTTTCACGTGCGAGGCGCGTCATACTACATAGTATGTTGCGTCACTTCAAAGCTAGATATTAGGTGCTGGGATTTGTGTCTACAGTGCTACATTGGGATTTCTTAGGCTGGACGATGCCAGCTGACTAGGTCTTCTCGCAAATCAAATTCATCCACCTCGTGGTGTGGACGATGTCGTTTTCGCGCAGCCTCCGCCTTCATCTGCGATGCCTGCTGCTCCAGACTTCCTCTGCCCCGCACGTTGGGTGAGTGACTTGAGTTTGTGTCTCCAGGGCGCAGTGTCTCATGCGACTTGCGATGAGAGCTGCTGCTGCCGCGCATGTGTCTGGGCTCGCTCTCGCTCACAGAGCTGCTGCTATCGCCCGCTGCGAACCGCAAGGGCTGGGCTCGCGGCTGCTGAGAGTATGGTTTCTCGCGATCGCCCCATCCATCTCCTCCTGCAAAAATGTCCTCGATGCATTCGTCTGCCTTGAGCTCACCGGGTTGTGCGGACCAATATGCGGCGAGCGTACGTCGATACATGTCTTGGAGTTCGCCGGCTTCGCGTGACTTACTCGTCAATGAGGGCGCAACTGTGGATATGAGTACAAGCGTGGTTGAGTCGGGTGCGCCTTACCTCCGTGATCCTCAAGCTCGGCCTGCTCTCCTGCCATGATACCAGCAATACCACTGAAAACTTGCGCCGTCTTTAGGGCAGGCGCAATGAAGTTCTTGTCGCCTTCCGTCTGCTTCATGTATATCCCAAGCTTGAGCGTGCTGTTGATCTTGCTGTCTTGCATGAGGTATCTCCGTGTGACGCCTGGCTCCTCACCCGCCATGGCCGCCATCTCGCTCTGCTCAATGTACTCGGCGAGATTGAGCTTAATGATTCCCAGTGTGATGCGTTCGCCTCTTCCCGAGCCTCTGCCGTATTCTTGCACGACCTCGAACTCGATGCAACACTCCTGTAGCATGCCATTCTTGTCAACAGTAAGGCGGACAGGGAGGGTGATGTCGTAGTTGTAGGCGACTTTGTGGTCCTTGACCTGGCAGTTGGCTGTGCGGCCACGATGCTCGGCGGCTGTCGAATGCGAGAGGTGCCATTTTATAAACGATGTGCCAGATACGAGTGGTACGTTGTTCAGGTCGATTATCTGGCGTCGTCAACATAGCATCCTACGCCTTGGTACGGGCAGCTCACTCTTAGGTGCAGGTCAAACTTTGGCTGCGCAGATGTCAGCCCATGCAGCTTCCGTGTACTAGCTCTGTCTTACTCGTCGGTTCTTGGGTACTGCAATCGTGAGTGTTTGAGTCGCAAATGCGACGGTGCGGCGCATGGCCATTGCTCACCAAACGCTTGCATGTTGAGGAGAGAGGACTAAAACCAAGGCGGTACGTGGAGGTGAAGGCAGCCCGGGTCTTACTCGTACTGAGCGTGTGACAGGGTTCTTTGTGATTGAGTAGCAGGAGCGATGCTTTGCGACCGCGAAGGTAACAATGGACCCTGGCTCTGCCTGGCTCCCCGGATCATCCGAGCCCTAACTCCGCCCACACTCTTTCCACCCACAACTTGCACTCACTGCCATGCCCCCAGATGCAAATGCCATCGCAGACTGCGTGTTACGGGCTTTTGCTCAGCTACCTGAAAAGAGGAAGCCGAGACCCCGCCACGATGGCGCGAGGGAATGGGTGCCCCTCGCCGGAATCGTCTTATCTAAAGGTAATCGCTCACTTGCATCCGGAAGGAGCTTTACTTGCTTATGCTCATGACTTAGTGAAGGCCAAAGCCTATCATGTGTATCTTTAGGGTGAGCCATTTCCATCAGCCGACCTCCAAGGGTGCTTTCTCAAGAAACGGGCATCGTGTAGCCCAGTAGTTCGCCGGGTGAGGTATCAGCCATACAGGTCAGACAGGGCGCACGGGGTTGATTCAATTGACCCTGAACAAGCTAGCTATTGCATAGAATCTGCTCGTAGACGAGGTTAGCGACTATGGACATACACTGAGCCTTTTCCAGCACTGGCATGAAATGTCTCCCTGCCAACAAACTACCCGTCGCACACGGTAACATCCTCCACGACTGGCACGCCGAAGTCATCGCCATTCGAGCCTTCAACCGTTACCTCTTGGACGAATGCACTCTCATATCAACGCCACCTTATCCAACGTCCGGCCTTCTTCGAAAAGTATCACCTGACGAACAAACCAGAGACCTACAGCAGCCTTTCACAATCCGAGAAGATGTATCCCTTCACATGTACTGCTCTGAAGCACCCTGTGGAGACGCAAGCATGGAGCTCACTATGGCTGCGCAAGAAGATGCAACGCCGTGGACCAGTACGCCGCCAACTCTTTCCTCCACACCACATTCCGGTGATGAAGGAGAGGCCTCAGCACTCCGGGGGCGATCCAACTTCTCTCTTTTGGGCGTCGTTCGCGCGAAGCCTTCGCGACCAGATGCGCCGCCTACGCTGAGCAAATCCTGCACAGACAAGCTTGCAGTGAAACAAGCCACATCCTTGCTCTCATCAACATCATCTCTATTCGTTAGTCCTCAGAACGCTTACCTGGAAACCTTGGTGCTACCAGACTCCCAGTACATACCACAAGCTTGTGAACGCGCCTTCTCTTCGTCCGGTCGCCTCAGGTGTCTTGACTCGAATGAGTGGAAAGGCGGCTACCGCTTCCAGCCCTTCACCATCCTTCCCACAGATCGAGAGTTTACTTGGTCACGCCGCGCACTATGCTCTACCGAAAAAGCGGTGCCTAGTAACATATCTGCGGTGTGGACACCGACTTGGCAGGAGACTCTGATTGGCGGCGTAATGCAGGGCCGGAAGCAATTAGACCCTCGAGGAGCAAGTAAGATATGCCGAAGGGGATTGTGGCTAGAAGGCCTGCGCTTGGCGGGAGTACTAGGTGGAACAGTGGTGACGAGTGGGGCACTGCGTAAGAGGAAGTATGCGGAGATGAAAGGATCTGAAGAGCTCATCGAGAGGACTAGGGCTAAAGAAGACATACGCAAAGCCTTGAAGGGATGGGTAAGAAACACTGGTGACGACGACTTCTCCATCAAACCCTCACTATCAACACCCTAGAATCGTGTTCTTGTGTATTGAATCCATCTCAAACATCTCGGATTCCATCTTTTCCCTCGCGAAACGTACCCCACGCTCCACTCCTCCCTTCCCACCGATCGCTCACTATCTCCAACACACCTACCATTTCAACGCCTCTCTTGTGTCCTGACCTCTCGGTATCACTGTAGTGAACTCTCGCATCCAGTGGCCGTCTTGGTATCCGACTCACTAATATCTCCATGTCTGTATATCTTCCTAGGAGATCCATCAAGCCAGGTACAGCGTCATTGCTCGCGAAGATGGAAGGCGGGAGAGGCGGGTTCCAACGTTGTTGCTGGGGCAGAGGACCTAGTTGATTCTGTGGTGCAAAGCGTTTCGGTGAGGAAGCGCGGGGAGGGTGAGCCGGGTTTGTGAGGAGGGTATGGAGTGAATGAGACCTTGTTAAGTCTGTGAGAGTGGTGAACAAAGAGGCTGCCATGGTATTCGCTGGGAGCTAGTCATCATTCCTGTTCTCAATGAAAATGTGATTGTGACCAAATACCTCGAATGTAATCGGTTCTCAACAATGGGTTGAAGACATGGGCAAAACTGTCGACTAGCATGAATTTGATGTAGCCTCGCTTTGCTTCCGCGTGCGTGATTCCTAGCGTTCCCACTGGCTCGAGTTGTCGTGCCTCCGCTCCTTCTTGGTCTTTTGCTGGTTGTGCTGCTGCGGTAACGGTAGATTCTGAATCGAACAACATCTCCTCGTCGTCTTCCTCGTCCTCAGAGTCCGCGACATATGTCCGCTTCATCTTCACCTTTTCGACTGGTAGCGCTTCTTTCATCTTCTCATTTACCAGGGTGGGTTCCGCAACATTCTGCCCTGCAATATCATCCTTAAGCTCCTCGATGGCCTCTCTCACACCAACAAAATCAAAAACCCGCATGATCTTAACGCGGTCCAGAATCCTGGCTGACAGATCCTCGGTCGAAGCTCCGGGTTCTGGATTGATTGCAGAGTGCAGTGAAGCCGTGAGCCTTGGTCGTTGAGACAGTCGTGCAACAATCATTGCGTACAATCGGACCACATCGAAATTGCCTGTTGTATCAATAACAGCAGCCGCCGAGTTCTCATATTGAAGAAGAGAGTCTATGAGTAGGGTACAGCAGATCTAAAAATATTAGAATACGAACATTCCATCCTCACGGTTTCTCTAGAAAGTAATTTTCGATGACAGTAATATTCATATTACTCACCTGGCTCGCACCCGCTCCAGCTTCTCCGCTGATTCTCACAATCCGTCCACTATGTAGTCCGCCGCTCAGTGCATCATCGAAGCTCTTGACTCCACTCCGCAGTCGTTTCTTCTCGATACTGACGCTGCACAAGCTCTCTAGCAGCTCACTGAGGTCTTTGTCGTCGATCGAGTGGGATGCGAGTAGCGGCTCTGCAGGTCTTGCGCTTTCACTCAACCCATTTGAGGTGATATCAACGGCGGCCATGTTGCTGCTGCTAGCCGCATGGTTGTGAGTTGACTCTGAGGCCAATCGGAACCGAGTTCGGAAAGGAAAGTGCTAGCGCAAGATGGAAGGAGAAGGCGCGCGCCATGTAGGCAACTCATGTAAGTTACACTCGAACTTCGCACGGTATGACTAAATTCAGCAAGCACACAATCTATGAGAGACGTTACGTGACGACAAGTCTTTCGTGTTGAGATTCGGAAACATTCTCCTATACTCAGGATTTTGTCTCACTTCCATCCCAGGGTCAACGACATATACGCACCGCGTACATTGAATTCAGCAGTTAGCAAAGTAGGAACGTGTCTATGTTCCTATGTAAACTCCGCAATTTCGCTCGCTCAAATCTTCATAGTACAAATTACCGAGCCAACACCATATCCATCATCTGCTCAACCCAACATCAAGGCATCCACTAGCTTCCAATCAGTCCTGACGAGCAACTGACGCCCTGGCCAATACCATACACATCCCTCAGAGTCGTGGCACCGAAGATCATGCTGGGGGGATACGATGGTGGCTTGCGATCCCAAAAGTCCGCTGTCGATCTTAGTGCTGGTCGGGTGCGGCTGAGAAACATGTCGGCGATGTAAGTCATGTGCCAGGGGCAGCAGCGGCATCCAGGTCCGCGCATCGAAGATTGGGCAGTAGGCTGAGTGGGGGTTTTGGGCGACAGAAACGCGTCAAGGTCGATCCTGGTGGGACATCTCCTGCCCCTGAACATCGAGCAGGTCTAGATGGCGATCAAGGGGGGGCAAATCAACGGCCTCACACGTGCATGTCTGATTTGCTTCTGAAGCAACGTCTACTAAGATAGCAGATACGGTAGGGCGCAACGGTTTGGTCTTTGTAAATTTCGATTCAAGCTACGGATTTTTCACGCCTTGCATCCCCCCAAAGTGTCGCAAACTTGTTTGTAGAAGCTACACAAAGTAGCCCAATTTCTTCGCATTAAAAGAAAAGTGATTCGACTGAAAAGTTGGAGATTGGTGATTGAAGAAAAAAGACCCTTGTCAAGCATTTTGGAGCGCCATGATTTCTGTTACACATGAGTGGTATCCAGACCTCGTGCTTTTCAAGTTCAAACTACCCCAGCGCCGGACGAAAGGAAAGTGTATGTCCCGAAAGGATGTGTTTGACAATAGGAGAAATAGGCACTGTCAGCCGTCATCGCTATGGCGCTATGCACGTCGTGTCTTTTTGTGTTTTGAGGTAGTTCTGAGATGACGGAGAAAGTGGTCAAGTCGATCCAACCCTGCCTATGTATTCTCAAGCAGGGCGTCGGCGTCCACCTTTCAGAGACTTGACCCGGTTAAGGAATCCACCACTGGGCTTGCCCTCACCAGTAGGAGACCCTACACTATCTGTCGTGATGGATCGTTGCAGCGCAGCGCCTCGAGGTGGCGAAGGTCCGCCCTCGTTGGTCTTAATAGCTGCACCCTTGGCATCATAGGCCTTGTCGTAGTCGTCGCTGAAGAATGGGTTCTGCTCTGTTGCTTTGGTTTGCGAGATGGCTCCGGCGCTGTAAGGACCACTTGGACTGGTGGCAGATCCGTAACGTGCCTCGGGCGAGGTGATGCGGGGACCATCACCATAACGTCGGGGCTGAGAGATGCCGCGGAATCGCTGGGCAATGGATTTCTTGCGGCCCAAACCACCTTCAGCCAGCTGCTTCTGTCGCTGAGCGTCAGACTCTTCCTGGATCGCTTTACGGGATGCCGGGGCACCCTCGAGAAAAGTGGATGTTCCAAGACCGTGGGTCTGCTCGCCGTGCACAATGTCTTCTCGGCCCTTTGCACTGAACTCTGCAGCCACTGGAGCAGGCTTCTTCCACTCGGTTTCGGCACCGGCAAAGTCGGTGAAGCCCTCAGCACCTCTTCCATGGATCCTGTCTAGATCAATCTTGGTGTTAAGCGGTCCGGAGCCACCTAGAGTATTATTGGCCGAACCGACAGGGAAGGCATGCATAGGTGCGCGCTGGTCCTTCTTACGGTTCCGGTGGGGCTGCACAGCATCGTATGGTCCATCGTGGTGGATCATGCTAGGTCCGTAGATGCCAGTCACATCGAGTTTGTCGATGAGATCAAGACCCTGTGGCCTGCGGACACGCTTTCCGTTCTTATCTTTACCATCTTTGGCACGCTCTTCGCGCTCTCTGCGACGCTCCCTGCGCCTGCGCTCCTCACGCGGATCCAACGAGCCTCGGTCGATGATGGAGGATTCAGAGTTGCGTCGAGGACGGCGGTTCTCACGGCGTTCGGGACTGCTCAGGTGGGGAGGACGCGAAGAACTGGGAGGGCCGCGTGGTCGAGAGCCGCCGCGAGAAGCTTCACGCATGCGCTCAGCGCGCCTCTCCTCTTCGGAGCGAGATGGGCGGTGGCCTGCACGGGGATCTGTGCCGCTCCGGGCAGGAGCCGGGCGTGGTGGGGGAGCTCGCTTCTTGTCGCTGTCATCGATGGTGAGGTTGGCCTGAGTAAGAGCAGGGTAGTCAGCAAACTGCATCACGAAGCGCCTGAAGCGGTCCATGTTGGGTGGCTCAATGGCGACTAGGGATTGTACCGTATTTAATACAGCTGAGGTATGATGTGGCTTGTACGACGTGACGACGTCGGTACCCGTCGCGTCACAGGCAATTGGGGTGCAAGGGGAGGTGAACATACAAAGAGCTCTTCGGCGGCAAAGCCAAAGGTTGATTTCTTGGGAGAGTCCTTCATGGTGGCAGACATGTCAACGAGGTCTCGGGATGCCTCCTTGTTAAATTCGGCCTCGAAGGTAGATATAAAGGGATTGCGCGACATTGGTCTGCTGCCCGAGCTCGAGCGGTTGGCACTGGCGGGCGAGGGGAAGGCGGGTGAAGCAGCTCTGCGGAAGGGGTTGTTGGAGGAGAGGTTGAGCTGCAGGCCTGGCGAGGGTCGCCTCTCTGTAGATAAGCAATATGATCAGCGGCGCGTCCGATTTCGTCACAGGCAGCGGTTTCGGTGAAACAGGCCATTTCAGGAGCCTTACCTGGCATTGACGGCTCTGCAAACATGATGCCGTCCGCTACTCACAACCCTGCTGGGCGGCCCAATCAAACACTGGCGCCGCGGGAGACGACAGGCGTGCTTTGTGCAATTGTTGGCTGGTGACGCACTGGGGACAATCCTGTTCCGGCGCACCTCGCGTAGAGCAGAAGCAGCAAAAGGGGCGGCAGCGGATTTTCCCAAGACCGGCGGTGGTACCGATGCTCTGCTGTGTTTCGTGCTGAGGATAGACGGGCCCTGTTGGCGGGCAGACGACAGGCGGGCGGGGCGCGTGTTTGATGGCTCGTGTTTGAGGCCCGTTAGTAGTCTATGCAACGCCTAGTGAATACAAGACAGCAATGCGCGGGTAGTGGTGGTGAAGGTGGTGGTGGTGGTGATGGTGAGGTGGTGAGGGAGAAGGAAAGCAAAAAAGCAGGTGGTGCAGATGGTGCAGATGGCAGACGATCAAGCGGCAGAGTCAGGAGGAGGCAGGAGGTGGTAGTAGGAGTGCCTGAGCTATAGACCGTCGAGGGCAAGAGCGGCCTAGTTGGGGCTTTTAGAGGCGGGATTAGAGGCAGAGCTTAGCTGGGCCTCGTGTTTACCGCAAGACACCGACCGTGGGTGCGTGGTTCCGTGGCACCGTCCGGCTGTGATTCGAGCGCCCGATCACGAGCTTCCTAAACCGCAGCCACTTTGGCCGGAAAAGACTGTCTAGACGGTAAATCAGGGTGCTAATCCGCTGTGCCTGTGGGGTCGGGGCCCGAGCTGCACTCAGTGCACTGCTGCATGGCAACGCATGGGACAACAAACCTCTGGATATGCACTTGCTGTTTGGCTGAATCGCAGCCTCTGCGATGGCTTTTGATCGCGTCTAGTGCTGCTCTGCCTGCCCAGCTACGGCGCGCGCCCATTGAAACCCCCTCAACCACCCCCGAAACACAACCTGTCGTTTGACACGACCGCAGACTTGACTCGATTTCTCTACACAAGCTCCTCAACCCTGCTGTCCTTGCACCTGTTTGTGCAAGTGCGCGATCCTTAGCCCGCCTCACATACCCAACTGGATTAGCTGCCGACTCTGCGCAACCTGGGAATTGCGGGGAAGACCCTGAACTGCTTTTCTTCAGCCTCAGTGTGACCTACAAGCGCCGCTCCCATACCGACTATCCACCGTCAGCTGTCAAACTCGCCAGCCATGGCTCACGAGACGACCCAAGATGCCCCGGGCGTGGGAGGCTACTCGCGCTTTGAGCTCGAGCTCGAGGTCCGCAATTCCCCTATACTGCGTCGTCATTAGCCCCTGTTTGACCTTCATTAACACACGCCTAGTTTGTCCAGTGCCTTGCCAATCCCGTCTATCTCAACTACCTGGCCCAGCAGAAGACGCTCGACAAGCCCGAATTCGTCGCCTACCTCGGCTACCTGCAGTACTTCAAAGACCCAAAGTACATCAAATTCCTCCAGTACGTCCACCGCCCATCTCACCGCCTGCTTACTGATCGCGTCGCTTCAGTCACCCTGGCCCCACGCTGCGTGCGCTAGAATGGCTGCAGCAGGAGCGTTTCCGGCAGGACATTCTAGCCCCGGGTCTCATGGACAGGCTCGTCATAGAAGGCCAGCGCAACGCAGTCCCAGTGAAGAAAGACTAACTCCCAACACCAGCCATGTCTGCTCGCACGTGGCTTGGTAAAGCTGAGACATCGTCGATCACTGTGGGTTAGCTTCGTCACTATGCAACGTCTCCCTCGACTTTGTCATCTTCAGTCCGACAAGTGGGCAGTTGAGAAGCACGAGGCAAGTTTGGTTCAATAGACTCGAGCTCGTTCCATCACTCGCACTCGCACCCGCACCCGCATGCGACTTTCCGTGGGTCGCCATTGGCATTCAGCCTAAGATCCTGCATCGTGAAGTTAATCCTTCTGTTCCCGTTCTTAGCGAGCGTAGTGTGGAGATGGAATTGGAAAGCCACTACGCACTAGGCTATTAGATATGCTAGACACCATCGTCCGATGCTACGCAGTACTGTGCCTTGATCGCATTCGTGTCATGCAGTTACGTGACGTCGTGATCTATTATCGTTCCCTCTAGCAACCAGATGCAACACAGACAACAGACCCTGACCCTGACTCAACAGCACGTTTACAAGCGGCATCCTAGCAAACACGTCGGATACACTACCATGCGTATCTTCCAAGCGTTCCGTGATATCTAGGATAAGCTCGAGCGTCCCATGTACCACGTGACGTCTCGGTCGGCTCGAATTGCCCCGCAGCGTGCTATTGCATCACAGCGCAGAGCTACCAACAGGGTGCTTGGACATTGCCGACACAGTACTCACACTGCTCTCTACAATATTGCACTATGCGCTCTGTATCCGAAGCTGAGTGAGCTATCATTGTGCGTCTATGTGATTCCAATTCTAACCTTGCACAGAAAGCACTGGCGGCAGCTCGACGACTTCCACTCCCTGACCGACCTCAAGATTCACGTCTCTGCGCACAAGGAACCCCAGATCACCGCAGGACTCCGGTCCGTTTGTTGGAAGGTACCGTTCACTGCGCCCTTCCTCCCTTCTCAACGCTCATGGGAAGATTAGATCTTCCTCGTTTTCAAAACGCTTGATCGCTCGTCGTGGCCTACCCACCTCAGCCATGCGCGCAAGACGTATAACTCTCTGCGATCACACTACCTCCGTGCCATACGAAATCCAGACGAATTCGAGTCCTCGGTCGACCCATTGAGCGAACTATCAGAGGTGTGTACACCTGCGACCGGCCGACGCCGCCATCAGACATATCGCTTATTGACAAGTACTAAGTGTTAAAAGTCACCATGGGTAGCCCTCCGTGCCGACGAAGAACTCCGTGCCGAGATATTCCAAGATATTGAGCGATGCATGCCGGACAATGTGTATTTCCGCCAGCCTGCCACTCAGAACATGATGCTGGATATTCTGTTTGTTTGGTGCAAAATGCATCCTGATATAGGATATCGCCAAGGCATGCACGAGATACTCGCGCCTTTGCTATGGGTTGTGGAAAGAGATGCGATAGACGCGACCGATGGGAACACTGCCGCAATGGATCACAGTCTCGCTGAGATGTTGGACTCGGAGTACATTGAGCATGATACGCACATGCTCTTCTCCATCATCATGCAAACAGCAAAATCATTCTACGCGCCGGCTGAAACTGGATCTACAACCAAGGATACACCAATGCTTGCACGAAGCTCTAGGATATTTGAAGGCAGCTTACCAAAGGTAGACCCAGAACTGCATACCCACCTCGTAAAGCTGGAGATCGTGCCTCAGATATTCCTTCTGTAAGCTACCACATGCATCTGTACTTGACTAGTCTAACATCAAGTAGACGCTGGATACGCCTTCTGTTCGGACGAGAGTTCTCACTCGATGCTGTCTTCGACATGTGGGACGCACTCTTTGCGATAGACTCTACGCTAGAGCTCGCTGACATGATTTCAATAGCTATGCTGTTGCGCATACGATGGGAGCTGATGGCAGCTGACACGAATGAAGCATTTGCACTTCTACTGAGATATCCCGAACCAGCTACGCCCCCATATACGTTCATAAAGGACGCGTTGTACCTTCGCGATCACCTTACTCCACCTGGTGGCGCAGAAATCATCACGCGATATGGCAAGCAAGCGCCTATCATTGAGCCCGAGCCAAGAGTCAACGCCCGCGAACCGTCGCCATCGCCTTCATTCATTTCCAGTCGAACGCGCCAAAGCATCGGGTCACCAAGGAGTTTTGTGACTCAACAGGGCGCTGGTTTCGAGGCCTTGATACAAGGTGCTGCCAAAAACGTGCTAGATCGTGGTTCGCAGTGGGGTGTAGGGAAAGCCTTACGGGATGCAGTAGGTGAAGTGAGGAAGAACGTCGAAGCTTATCAGTCAGCGACAAACTCCGGTCAGTCGACACCACGCTCTGGAGGGAGAGAGTTCCGAAAGCCCGGTCAACCGAGTACGGCCGCTGCCAGCGGGCGACCAACCCTTGAAAGGGTGCATTCAGCCAACACTTTCAAGAAGATGGAAGAGCTGGATCGCAGGAACAAGAGCCTAGCTAAGATGTTAGAAGTTGCCGTCGGAGATTTGTGGGAGTATCACAGGGAGCGTGATGAGGCACAAAAAGCAAAAGAAAATGATGAAAAAGGGAAAGAAGCAATGGAAGCCCTTAGCCTTGCGATCGCGAAAGTGCAGTTTGTTCAAGTCTATCTTGATGACTCTTCCTTGCCACTTCCCGTCGATGAAGCAACGGAACAAGCTTCAACTGCACAAGCCGCGATCAGCTTGGCTTCTCCGACTCCTCAATCTCCGATGTCATCGGGGCAAGCCTCCAGTGTTCCACCTCTCTCTTTGGGCACGACGTCTCAGTCGACCACTCCATTGAAAGCCAACTCTAGGAACGCTACCCCGTTGAGCTCCCGCCCCACATCACCGCCGGCCCGCACATTATCACCCCCGTCAAAGCTCGCTTCGACTCTTTCTCCCCCTTCACGGCCGCATCTTACATCCTCAAATTTTTCCTGGATGCTTGGTGAAGACTCGGCATCCTCAAACTTCGCCTCCGGTGCTGCGCACTCAACCTTCTCATCTGATGAGAAGAGACGCATGAAGGGCAAAGGCTTTCTGTTTGGAGACGATGACGATGATGAGGGTAGCATCAAGGATGGAAAGAAAGGGAATGTGAATAACAAAAGTGGGGCTAAGGGCGGCAAGAATGCGAAAGGGAAGCACACGGTAGAGAATGAGGTGGAAGAGGAGGTGATCGATCTTGCCAACATGGGGAAAAGAGGCGTGATTTGAACATATCCCACGCGTCGAAGCTGAGTACCCTAGGCGCATGAACAGCCTTGAAGGCTGCGCAACAGATTCGGTGTTTCAATATGTCTGGCCACTTACATTGGATGCTCACAATACGGCTATTCCATCATGCCATATCTTCGCCACATGTAAAGCCACAACTCGACGACTTCGCTGGCAAACAAGAGAAAGTACACAGGACATGATAAGGAAATGACGTCGCATTCGTATATTCCAGGGTATCTACAGTGTTGTCTACATCCCGGTGGCACATGCACCGTCTACGCCCCACCCGACAAGCTTACACACTAGCTCCCACGTAACTTGCTCAAATCAGGTTACATGCTTGCGCCGACACCTCATCCAGCCGCTCGATTCGCCACCACAGCCACTACATACATCACCTTTCTACTCATGATTCGCCGATGACCCGCCTAATAGCAAGCTTGGAAAAAAGCCCGTGTCATAGCGTAGGATCCATTGGTAAGTGCGGCTATCGGTGTCGCATCTTTAGTTCCGGAAGTGGTATGTCACCGAGCCCTGACATATAAAAGGCGTGCCCCGCTTCTACCCCTCCGACTGATTCTCTCTACAGCAAACGATCAAAGCAACAGAACGACACCACTCTTTCAATTATCAAACCAAACTTTCAACCTCTCCCAATACACATCAAAATGAAGGGCGGCTGCGGAAACTCTGGATGCACTTGCGCCGACTGCGGCTGCGCACCGGGAGCTTGCAACTGCAACTGTATGTTCCTTTGCCTTATCTCACACGACCCGTCGTGGCGCATCCACCGCATGTCTCACATTGAACTTCGTTGCTAATAAATGTTGTACAGAAATCCATCCTCTCGAAAATAGTTCTTACTACGCGCCACGACGGCCTTCGATCTGACGCCTGTCCTTAACGCTTGACAATTTCACACTGAAGTGCGACACAGCAACCATGACGGTATCGAGTATCACACTGTCGTTGACGAAGAACAAGATATGGTCCGGGTTACAGGATGCAGATTTGAGTAAACTATAAAAAATACATGGCTTCGGCAGGACTTATCCAGAACGTATGCGCTTATACGTATAGTGATACTTACATGACAAACCACGATACTAATGCATAGTGGCAAGGATGTTACAACAATAAAACGAAAGTTACATTCGCAAGATCATCTGCTTTACAAGCCTTTTCCTTGACCATCGATCTTAGTTATACGTCCCTACTCTGTGTGCACCCGACAATCCCCTCACAATTTGTCCCCCACCGCGTCATGCGGCGTCCTTTCTGCTCTTTCCTTTATTACATATGGATAACTCAAATTGCCAAGAGGAGAGGGTTTGAGAAGGTTATGCAGCAAACATGCGCCCCACATTTCTAATTGGCTTTCGACCGTGTGGAGGTACAAAGCAGTGTGGTATGACCAAGTGAAAGCAAGGAAGCTGATAGATCACAATGCTCTTCGCGCATCTTGCTGTTTTCCGTAGATGAACACGTTAGGCGAAGGGGGGGAGGAGAGTTTGATGGCAGTGTCGATGAGTTTGTTTGGTACGATGGGACATGTGTCCTTCTGTTTTAATATAGTTATTAAGTGTTATGATATGCATTAGTTGATGATGAGCTTGTCTTTGATTCGCTGAATATGAACGTTCTAGAAGATTTTACTTATCGCTCTGTTTTTCTGAGCATGTAAGCACTTTGCTTTGCACTAATGCTCTGTTCTACTGTGTAGAGTAGACTTATCGCAAAGGCCACACCATGTACAAAGTGCAAGGGGAGGAGATTGTTGTTTCATCAATATCCTAATGTTCCTCGACACGCCGCCCTGATGGGTGTAAATGTACCATGAACTTAAGCTATGGTTTGCTGTGTTCTCGCTTTTCTCAAGACTCCCGTGCAGGATTGTTGTCTAGTTTCTCTGACCAGCTGCGCTGTATCTCTCCCTGGTTCACGCTGTTATCAATTTCCTATGCGTTCTCGATATCTACAAATTCTCCTTGTATATCTCTAATCTTTTTGTCGAGAGCCTCGCTGCGATTTTTAAAGGCAACCTCTATACTGCTAGGGAGACTCTCTAGTAGTTTTGCCCACTCTCGAAAATAGGTTTTTGCGGCGTGGACTGTCTATGGTCCAGCCTTCTGGAAGTGGGTTTTGCAGTTAGGAATTCGGCAGTGAGAAGCGTCACTCAGTTCTATATCTGAATGGTGGCGGCCTAGGACTTCAACCGTAAGCGGCCATAGGCTATATCGCTGGAAGGGCTTGTTTATGCAGCACCGCTGTAGAAGTTTGCTAAGATCCCCCAACAGGCCCCTCGAATTGTTTTGGCGGCATGAGAATTGTCTTTCGGTTTTTGGCGGGTTCGCTTCTGTCCCCAGCACCTACTCCCGCTTGTCGAACTACATGTCGTTCCTATTCGATGGTAGGCAAACTCGTCGTGTCCGCATTGTAGTGAGGCTTTCGCTTCTCCAAAAAAAAACAGCTCGTCCTTATAGGAACCACTGTGTATATGCATTAGTTGAGCCAGTTCGGCAGGTGAACTGCCCCAACAATATGTACATGAAGAAGTGATAAGGGGCGTACACTTTATTCAAACTAACTTGATCACAAAATATAAAAGTATGGGGTATCAATACAAAACGCACGAGATGACAATACTGGCCGAACGCAACAAAACCCTAGAATACGCCATCTGAGCGCATGCACGCGTCGGAAACAGTAGGCAAAAGAGAATCCCATACCTAACAGAAACTCAACTCGTCTTCACTGTCGTGGTTGACATCAGCCATCATGCCTTGGCCTGCCTTCCACATCTGCCTGCGTGGTTGAATACCCTGGCGGACGCTCGTTCGTTTCCGCATTTGAGAGCGAGGGTGAGCTGGCGATCGACCAAGCTCGTCGCGTTCAGATGTATCACCATCGTTGTTGACAGTAGAATTGATAGGGTGGGAGCCACGTGTACAAGCGCGTTGTGATGGGAGAGCTTTAGTTTGGAAAATCTCAGGGTGGACCTCCTCCACTGACACTAGTGAGGAGTCCGAATCGTCCTGCGAGATGCTCTGGACCTCAGCGTCGCTATGACTGACTTCAAGCGCCGGCTCAATGTAAATGGGTCTCTTCAAATCGCGTAATCCGCTTTGGAGTGAGGTTCGAAAACGTTCTGAATATCTTTGAGGAGGCAGTGTCTTTAACTCCTTTCGGGGGCGCCGAGATCGTCTCGGACTATCTTGCTCCTCATTAGGGAGTTCAGAGTAGTATCTGAAAGGCGGGGTATCCGGAGGTGTTACATTTGTCCGTTTCATAGGTATGACGACCTTTGGTGATGGTGCGCGAATGCGTTTTCCAAGCGAAGGTGTGGAAGTCCGTGGTCTGTTCTTAATAGGCGATGACTGTAGGACTTGGTCGCCGTAATATTCCAAGGACGTGATCTCGTATATTGGTGTGTCCGGTGTGCCACCTGGGAGATGATCTTCAACATCAGGAGCTTCTGTCATATCATCTTCCGACTGCATGGGAGTTGGTAAAAGTTCCAACGTTCGGATTGGCTTTCTTGCTGAGTGGCTTATGTTCTGCCTGACAAATGGTGTGCAAGTAACCCACTCGCCAATACCCTCTTCCCACCTGAAGCCACCACTAGTAGTGGGTGATTCGTTCTTCTGTGGAGAGTGCATGATGACAAGGCGACCTCGTGTCTGCATTGTCTTCTCGATATTACGTACATAGGTCATATGCTCACCGTCACCAGTGCCTTGAGCAAATTCCCTAGCCGATTCTAATGCTAGTCGTTTCAGCGTCCATAGTTTATGAGGTAGTCTGCGAGCAGAGGTAGTCATCAGTGCTGTGACGAGTCGTTGTAGCTGGTCAAAGCCATTGTCCTTCCAGATGCGCCCTGTGCCGCGTGCGATCGAAGAGAATAGAGATGGGAGAGTTGCAAATGTCAACGCAAGGTTGATATTGCTCGACGAATACTGGTCCGATATCCAATTGACCAATTCGATGGATGTGGAGCAATCGAGCGGTGATATTCCCGAGCACACACAACCTTCCAGGTGTACTAAAAACGATGCAAAATGTATCCAGATAGCTCGCTGCGCCATAATCTGGACATCATCTACGTCTGCGCCGAAGAGCCTAAGCTCATCCTGAATATTTCCACGGGCAGATATTGTGATGACAACCGCATCTAGCACCCACACAATTCGCTGAGTGATTTCTTGGCCTGCAAGATCGTCACGATTGGCGTTGACCAAGGCAATACTGCACAGCACCGTGAGCAGACTTGAGAAGGTAGTTTCAAGCGCCTGTCGAAGCTCCTTTCGAGACGATGGTACGAACCGCCGTGATATGAAGCCAGACGGTTCATCTTCTAGCAGCCGCGCGTCCGGTAGCCCCATGCTTGCGATTGTAACCGTCTCGAAGAACTGGTGAGCACTCCGGAGCGTACGATGATCGTTCTCGGTTATCGTTCGAACAAGTCGATCCCATACCGGGCGCATAGAGTCGGTCGCAAGCCACTCGAGAGGCAGAAGTTCGAGGGCAACCATATGATCTAGGAGATCATAGAGCAAGCGATAACGTCCTGTGTGGCGAACAAAGTTCCCCACTGAATGAAGATAGGACGATCTTTGAGGATCAAATAGGTCTGCTCGCGTGTTGATGGGTATTGGTACGGAGTCAACAAGAGGAGCATAGGCTAATAATAATCTCTCAGCTTCATCCCACGAAGAAGAGTTCAAACAATGCGTTACAAGGACCAGCACGTTATCTAGGCCAAACACCTTATCCATGATGGCGTCGCATATCAATGCTGTGGCATGCGCTCGGACAACGCACTTGAAAGGACGCCAGCCTTGACCATGCTCTTGTTCGAATCGCGTTTCCAGGTGTTCGTATATCTCGCTCACGATGTCCCGATCTTCCTCTTCACCGTCTTCCTCGAGCCGGTCTAGCTTCGCAAAGTGCTCCTCAAGTTCAATGTATGCTGGCAGCTTCCTCAAACAAGCGCCCAT